CCCGATTCCCCTGCCACCCCACACACACACACACACTCCCGATTCCCCTGCCACACACACACACACACTCCCCAATTCCCCTGCCACACACACACACACTCCCGATTCCCCTGCCACCCCACACACACACACTCCCCGATTCCCCTGCCACCCCACACACACACACTCCCGATTCCCCTGCCACCCCACACACACACACTCCCCGATTCCCCTGCCACACACACACACACACTCCCCGATTCCCCTGCCACCCCCCACACACATACTCCCCGATTCCCCTGCCACACACACACTCCCGATTCCCCTGCCACCCCACACACACACACACTCCCGATTCCCCTGCCACCCCACACACACACACACACTCCCGATTCCCCTGCCACACACACACACACACTCCCCGATTCCCCTGCCACACACACACACACACTCCCGATTCCCCTGCCACCCCACACACACACACTCCCCGATTCCCCTGCCACCCCACACACACACACTCCCGATTCCCCTGCCACCCCACACACACACACTCCCCGATTCCCCTGCCACACACACACACACACTCCCGATTCCCCTGCCACCCCACACACACACACTCCCGATTCCCCTGCCACACACACACACACACTCCCCGATTCCCCTGCCACCCCACACACACACACTCCCCGATTCCCCTGCCACCACACACACACACTCCCGATTCCCCTGCCACCCCACACACACACACTTCCGATTCCCCTGCCACCCCACACACACACACTCCCCGATTTCCCTGCCACCCCACACACACACACACACACTCCCGATTCCCCTGCCACCCCACACACACACACACACTCCCGATTCCCCTGCCACACACACACACACACTCCCCGATTCCCCTGCCACACACACACACACTCCCGATTCCCCTGCAACCCCATACACACACACTCCCGATTCCCCTGCCACCCCCCACACACATACTCCCCGATTCCCCTGCCACACACACACTCCCGATTCCCCTGCCACCCCACACACACACACACTCCCGATTCCCCTGCCACCCCACACACACACACTCCCGATTCCCCTGCCACACACACACACACACTCCCCGATTCCCCTGCCACCCCACACACACACACTCCCGATTCCCCTGCCACCCCACACACACACACACTCCCGATTCCCCTGCCACCCCACACACACACACTCCCGATTCCCCTGCCACACACACACACACACTCCCCGATTCCCCTGCCACACACACACACACTCCCGATTCCCCTGCCACCCCACACACACACACTCCCCGATTCCCCTGCCACCCCACACACACACACTCCCGATTCCCCTGCCACCCCACACACACACACTCCCCGATTCCCCTGCCACACACACACACACACTCCCCGATTCCCCTGCCACCCCCCACACACATACTCCCCGATTCCCCTGCCACACACACACTCCCGATTCCCCTGCCACCCCACACACACACACACACTCCCGATTCCCCTGCCACACACACACACACACTCCCCGATTCCCCTGCCACACACACACACACACACTCCCGATTCCCCTGCCACCCCACACACACACACTCCCCGATTCCCCTGCCACCCCACACACACACACTCCCGATTCCCCTGCCACCCCACACACACACACTCCCCGATTCCCCTGCCACCCCACACACACTCCCGATTCCCCTGCCACACACACACACACACTCCCCGATTCCCCTGCCACACACACACACACACTCCCCGATTCCCCTGCCACCCTACACACACACACTCCCGATTCCCCTGCCACCCCACACACACACACACTCCCGATTCCCCTGCCACACACACACACACTCCCGATTCCCCTGCCACCCCACACACACACACTCCGGATTCCCCTGCCACCCCACACACACACACTCCCCGATTCCCCTGCCACCCCCCCCCACACACACACTCCTGATTCCCCTGCCACCCCACACACACTCCTGATTCCCCTGCCACCCCCACACACACACTCCCGATTCCCCTGCCACCCCACACACACACACTCCCGATTCCCCTGCCACCCCACACACACACTCCCGATTCCCCTGCCACCCCCCCCCCCCACACACACTCCCGATTCCCCTGCCACCCCACACACACACACTCCCGATTCCCCTGCCACCCCACACACACTCCCGATTCCCCTGCCACCCCACACACACACACTCCCGATTCCCCTGCCACACACACACACACACTCCCGATTCCCCTGCCACACACACACACACACTCCCCGACTCCCCTGCCACCCCACACACACACACACTCCCCGACTCCCCTGCCACCCCCCACACACACACACTCCCGATTCCCCTGCCACCCCACACACACTCCCGATTCCCCTGCCACCCCACACACACACACTCCCGATTCCCCTGCCACACACACACACACACTCCCGATTCCCCTGCCACACACACACACACTCCCCGACTCCCCTGCCACCCCACACACACACACACTCCCCGACTCCCCTGCCACCCCACACACACACACTCCCGAATCCCCTGCCACCCCACACACACTCCCGATTCCCCTGCCACCCCACACACACTCCCGATTCCCCTGCCACCCCACACACACACACACTCCCGATTCCCCTGCCACCCCCCACACACACACTCCCGATTCCCCTGCCACCCCACACACACACACACTCCCGATTCCCCTGCCACCCCACACACACACTCCCGATTCCCCTGCCACCCCACACACACACACTCCCCGATTCCCCTGCCACACACACACACACACTCCCGATTCCCCTGCCACACACACACACACTCCCCGACTCCCCTGCCACCCCACACACACACACACTCCCCGACTCCCCTGCCACCCCACACACACACACTCCCGAATCCCCTGCCACCCCACACACACTCCCGATTCCCCTGCCACCCCACACACACTCCCGATTCCCCTGCCACCCCACACACACACACACTCCCGATTCCCCTGCCACCCCCCACACACACACTCCCGATTCCCCTGCCACCCCACACACACACACACTCCCGATTCCCCTGCCACCCCACACACACACTCCCGATTCCCCTGCCACCCCACACACACACACTCCCCGATTCCCCTGCCACACACACACACACACTCCCGATTCCCCTGCCACCCCACACACACACACTCCCGATTCCCCTGCCACACACACACACACCCCGATTCCCCTGCCACCCCACACACACACACACACTCCCGATTCCCCTGCCACCCCACACACACACACACTCCCGATTCCCCTGCCACCCCACACACACACACACTCCCGAATCCCCTGCCACCCCACACACACTCCCGATTCCCCTGCCACCCCACACACACACACACTCCCGATTCCCCTGCCACCCCACACACACACACTCCCGATTCCCCTGCCACCCCACACACACACACTCCCCGATTCCCCTGCCACCCCACACACACACACTCCCCGATTCCCCTGCCACCCCACACACACACACTCCCCGATTCCCCTGCCACCCCACACACACACTCCCGATTCCCCTGCCACCCCACACACACACACTCCCGATTCCCCTGCCACCCCACACACACACACTCCCGATTCCCCTGCCACACACACACACACTCCCGATTCCCCTGCCACCCCACACACACACACTCCCGATTCCCCTGCCACCCCACACACACACACACACTCCCGATTCCCCTGCCACCCCACACACACACACTCCCCGATTCCCCTGCCACCCCACACACACACACTCCCGATTCCCCTGCCACCCCACACACACACACACTCCCGATTCCCCTGCCACCCCACACACACACACACTCCCGAATCCCCTGCCACCCCACACACACACACTCCCGATTCCCCTGCCACACACACACACACTCCCGATTCCCCTGCCACCCCACACACACACACTCCCGATTCCCCTGCCACCCCACACACACACACACACACTCCCGATTCCCCTGCCACCCCACACACACACACTCCCCGATTCCCCTGCCACCCCACACACACACACACACTCCCGATTCCCCTGCCACCCCAAACACACACACTCCCGATTCCCCTGCCACACACACACACACACACACTCCCGATTCCCCTGCCACCCCACACACACACACTCCCGATTCCCCTGCCACACACACACACACACACACTCCCGATTCCCCTGCCACCCCCACACACACACACTCCCGATTCCCCTGCCACACACACACACACACACACTCCCGATTCCCCTGCCACCCCACACACACACTCCCGATTCCCCTGCCACCCCCCACACACACACTCCCGATTCCCCTGCCACCCCACACACACACACTCCCGATTCCCCTGCCACCCCACACACACACACTCCCGATTCCCCTGCCACCCCACACACACACACTCCCGATTCCCCTGCCACCCCACACACACACACTCCCGATTCCCCTGCCACCCCCCACACACACACTCCCGATTCCCCTGCCACCCCACCCAGCGCCCTTGTGCAGAGGACACCCACCTCTTGTTGTTATCAGCCCTAGAGCCCCAGGTCTGGTGTCTGGTCACATAGTAGCTGCTCAGTAAACACTAGTTGAATTATATGAACTGGGGAATGGCCACTCCCAAAACCATCTTTTATAAGGGTGACATGGGACCTTGAAACTGTGTATTTTTTGTTGTTTTGTCGGTCGTGGGGCCTGAACTCTGGGCCTGGGCGCTGTCCCTCAGCTCTTCAGCTCAAGGTTAGCACTCTACCACTTGAGCCACAGCACCACTTCCAGCTTTTTCTGCTTATGTGGTGCTGAGGAATCGAAACCAGGGCCTCATGCCTGCAAGGCATGCACTCTACCACTGCGCCACATTCCCAGCCCTAATCAGTGACTATTTTGAAGATCTGGTTCCATGCTCCTGTGAAGCTTGTGAGCTGCTTGGGGTCCACTAGCCATGCTCTTTTCTCTCTCTTTCAGGTGGGGACCAGGGCTTACTCAACACCTTTTTTAGCAGCTGGGCCACAACGGATATCAGAAAACACCTGCCTTTCATTTATAACATGAGCAGCATCTCCATCTACTCCTACCTCCCGGCGTTTAAAGCGTGAGTGTGTGTGCATAATGCCCTGGGGCACCTCTCATCTTTCTGAGGGAAGTGAAGTTGAGTGAAGTTGAGCTTTTGTCTGATATGATGCAGGGTGCAGTTCGGAGGAGCTGATCTTGCTGCCTGTGTGTGGGGTGAGCCCCAGGGCCCTGGCGTGCGGTGGAGGACGGGGCTTATCCAAAGCCTGGTGCGGCCCTCTCCCCAGTCATATACACACACGGTCAAGAAGGCAGACGGACCCGCTGTGGGTGCGCGCCTCCCTCCCCCCCGCCCCACAGCTGGACAGACAGACCCGCTGGGGTGCATGACTCCCTCCCCCCTGCTGGACAGACAGACCCGCTGGGGGTGCACGCCTCCCTCCCCCCTGCTGGACAGACAGACCCGCTGGGGGTGCACGCCTCCCTCCCCCCTGCTGGACAGACAGACCCGCTGGGGGTGCATGCCTCCCTCCCCCCTGCTGGACAGACAGACCCGCTGGGGTGCACGCCTCCCTCCCCCCTGCTGGACAGACAGACCCACTGGGGTGCACGCCTCCCTCCCCCCCTGCTCCCCTGCTGGACAGATAGACCCGCTGGGGGTGCACGCCTCCCTCCCCCCTGCTCCCCTGCTGGACAGACAGACCCGCTGGGGGTGCACGCCTCCCTCCCCCCCTGCTCCCCTGCTGGACAGACAGACCCGCTGGGGGTGCACGCCTCCCTCCCCCCTGCTCCCCAGCTGGACAGACAGACCCGCTGGGGTGCACGCCTCCCTCCTCCCTGCTCCCCTGCTGGACAGACAGACCCGCTGGGGTACATGCCTCCCTCCCCCCTGCTCCCCTGCTGGACAGACAGACCCGCTGGGGTGCACGCCTCCCTCCCCCCTGCTCCCCAGCTGGACAGACAGACCCGCTGGGGGTGCACGCCTCCCTCCCCTCTGCTCCCCGGCTGGACAGACAGACCCGCTGGGGTGCACGCCTCCCTCCCCCCTGCTCCCCGGCTGGACAGACAGACCCGCTGGGGTGCACGCCTCCCTCCCCCCTGCTCCCCGGCTGGGCTGGGCGTCGTCACCCTCAGAGGGGTGCACCTCCCAGACACCCAGGGGTCAGCAGGACTCAGTGGTGCCGCTGTCAGGTCAGAGCTCTGGAGACAGACTCAGGCCACCTTCTGGATGGCCACTTGCTGGCTGGGGACCTAGCACGGTGGTTCCACATCATCCTGGGTGCCCAGGAGCGGGGGGGGGGGGCGGGGGGACCCGGCGGGGTGGGGCCACTCACGCCCAGCTGAGGGCAGTGCAGCCCTGTGCTCACTGGAGCCACAGGCAGGAGGAGCCCCACCGGCCTTTCCCTGCTGCGTGGCTCGGCCCCCGCCCCACTTTGCGGGTGCAGACTGAGGAGGGAATCAGGACCCGCTCGGGGCCGTCGGAGGGCGCAGTGAGCGGGCCAGGCGCCGTGTTGCTCTCGCTGTCAGCCTTAGCCCGGGTGCGGCGGTGCTTACGTTCCCCGGGGCCCAGGCCTGTTCTTTAGCTCTGACTCGTGCCTGAGGATCTGAGGAGATGATTGGGCTTCTCTGTCAGGTTGAGCAGGCAGGGCGGCCCTCTGCTGGGTGGCTCCCATCTCTGCTCCGTGTGCCCGGGCATTCCGTCCTCCTGTTTCCTGACCCAGAACTCGCAGGGTGGGGGGCATGCCCACCCGTGCTCATAAGCACGCTGCTCCTTGCAGCAGAACGACTTCCTGTGTGGTCCCTTTGGGGGACAGGCCTCCCCCAGCACCCCCAGATAAGGACTGTGAGGATCTGATCCCCATGGCCTGCCTTCATGCTCAAGGAGCAAACCCTGAGCCATGCCACCTGCATCCTGAAGCAAGCAGAGGACTCACTCCCAAGAGCCCGGGAGAGGTGTCTGCAGACCTGGTTTGTTGTCGTGGGCGTGGCCCCTCGGCTGAAGCAGTAACAGGGAGCTGTGCGACACAGACGCCCTGCATCCTGGGCAGGTGCTGGCCGCCAGACACGATGGGTCTCGTCTCCCCGTGACTCAGCTTACCTCCACGGGCTGCCCACCTTATTACCAGCATGGGCAGGTGCTGGCCGCCAGACACGATGGGTCTCGTCTCCCCGTGACTCAGCTTACCTCCACGGGCTGCCCACCTTATTACCAGCATGGGCAGGTGCTGGCCGCCAGACACGATGGGTCTCGTCTCCCCGTGACTCAGCTTACCTCCACGGGCTGCCCACCTTATTACCAGCATGGGCAGGTGCTAGCCGCCAGACACAATGGGTCTCTTCTCCCCGTGACTCAGCTTACCTCCACGGGCTGCCCACCTTATTACCAGCATGGGCAGGTGCCAGCCGCCAGACACAATGGGTCTCGTCTCCCCGTGACTCAGCTTACCTCCACGGGCTGCCCACCTTATTACCAGCATGGGCAGGTGCTGGCCGCCAGACACGATGGGTCTCATCTCCCCGTGACTCAGCTTACCTCCACGGGCTGCCCACCTTATTACCAGCATGGGCAGGTGCTAGCCGCCAGACACGATGGGTCTCGTCTCCCCGTGACTCAGCTTACCTCCATGGGCTGCCCACCTTATTACCAGCATGGGCAGGTGCTAGCCGCCAGACACGATGGGTCTCGTCTCCCCGTGACTCAGCTTACCTCCACGGGCTGCCCACCTTATTACCAGCATGGGGCACTCTGCCTTTCGGGAGAAGTTGGTCTTGTGTTTCTTTTATTGTAAGGCTGAACAAGAAGCCAGTGGGGCTGAATTAACCCCGGGGGGGCGGGGGGGAGAGGAGGAAACTTGGAATCTTAGTCCTGTCTCTCAAGAACTCGGTTGTTTTAATCCTCTAAGTGAACTTCCCAGAAAAAGGTTGAGATCCAGAGGATGAAAATGGCTTCTCCCTAGAACAAAGCAGGGGTTCTCGTCTGGAAGTCTCCGGTGTGTGGCTTTGCCATGTTTAGGTGACGACCAGGCCCACTGGCCGGGCGTCCCCACCGGCGGGCGGCAGGGGTCAGGCCGGCTCCCCACCCCGCATCCGCCCTCCTCGGTCAGCTGTCCCAGACTGCACAGAGCCAGGCCAGGCGTCCCCACTCCCCCCCGCTCCCCTCCCCTTCCCCAGCTCTCCTCCTTCCTCACCAGTGGCCTTGGGAAGAGAAGTCTGGAGAAAGCCCTTGGGAGCCTGTCCAAGTGTGTCTGACAGTGAAGGCCGAGAATATGGATGGCCATTTAGGGCCGGAAGGGCATGCAGCGGGGCGGGTACGTGGAGAACAGCGGCTGTGGGTTCTCACGTGGGTGGGATCGAGGTGCAGGGGGTGGGAGAGGAGGGGCTCCACACAAGGGTCAGAGGCAGGCCGTGTCGGGGACACCGAACGCACAGCCGGCAGGAGAGACGGTGCGGGGGCAGTGTGGCCAAGTCTAGGGAGAGGCCAGCACCAGGCCACGCACGTGGCCGGCCAGGCCCCAGTGTGTGTTGAGGGTCTGGGCTTTAGCAGTTCTCACTTCCAGGGCTCTCCAGAGAGCACATGCAGGGCAGCTGGAAGGGGCTCGGCCTAGGGGTGGGAGCTTCTCCCACGCTGCTGCACCCCTCCCCTGCCCCCGTGGTTCCCTCCCCTTCCCCCCCCCCCCCCCATGGCCCTCCTCACTAAGATGCTTTCCCCAAGCCATGCTTCCTGGGAGAATGGGGATGCTGTGCGCTCCTGCGGTCCAGCTCCTCCTCCCTTCCCTGCAGTACACCCGCGTTTCCCAGCCGCTAAGCCACTCAGGAAAATTCTGTCTCATCTTTTGGTAACATAGGGTCACCGGGATTTATTTTCACGGCTCACATAAGCAGTCTCAGTGCTGGGTCAGGTTCAAACCATGTCTTGTGATCTGGACGGCTCTTTCCAGATTCTAGCAAGTTAAAATTAGAACATTTATTTTAAGAGATGTGTGCAAGCTGAGACCAATCCCCGTGCTGGGGCAGAATGAATGGCCACGGGTCTTTAGAGACAATTGGGAGAGGCCCTGCATCTTGTTTTCATTCCTGGCTGGCAGTTGGGTATGAATCAGGAAATGGGCTCCGCTCCTCTCAGTGAGGCCCCCGCCTGCCCTGGGCCCGCAGTTCAGCTCCCTGCCTCCCAACCCCACCTGCGTGCGGCCTTCTGGGGACACACGCCACCCGAGAGGGCCCCGCGCCCCTCCGTGAGGTGTGCCCCAGTTGCTCCTCTCCTTCCCCCCCGCCCCGCTTTTCTATTATTTCCCTTAACTTTCTTCTCATTTTCCCCCCTCTCCTTCCGTTCCTTTTTTCTTTTATCCTCGCCTCCTCTCCCCCTCCACCTCTCCTTTCCCTCCCCTCCCCTTGTTCACATGCTAGGCCAGTGCTCTACCATTGAGAGTCATTGCCAGCCCCTAAAATAGTTTAAGCATGAAGCAACTTCTCGTTTCCTGCTGCTTCACTCTCTGTGGTATTAGGTGTTCAGGCATGAGTAGTGAGTCGACTGGGATGGTAGGCTGTGCCCGTCAAGGAGGACGGTGCTGGGTGCTGGTGGGAGCTCCGCGCCTCGCCTGCACGGTGGGTGCGGCTGCGTGGTCCAGCTGTCTTGCCTCGCGCCTTCTGCCCTGCTGCTTGCTTCTTGGTCTGGGTTCTTGGCTGAGCTTGGTGCATTGGCGTCTCTCCTTTCAGATTCACTGTTTGTGGGTGGGCATGGCCTTGTGGATGAACAAATGACAATTCTGGAAGTGTCTCACAGCGAGGCTCCGGCTGGGCGTCACCCACGGGCGGGCAGCCCTCTGTACCACTCAGCTTCATGCCTTGCTTTCCTCAGTTGTTGTGGAGGTAAACTGAGGGAGAGCACGTGACACTAATCTGTACCTGGCACATTCTAACAGCCTGGTCTTGGCAGCCTTACCTGCCACAGCTTCCATTTGTGGGATGTCAGGAGAGCAGGAGAGCAAGGACTGAAGCTCACAGTGCATCCCAGTTTTGGTTTGTGCTCAGTAGCACTGCCACTGTGCTGACTGTGGCAGGCTTGTCTTAGGGACAGGCTTTCTACACCATGGGGGCAGACGTTTAGGGACAGGAGTTCTGGCCCACTTGAGCTTTTCCGAGCGGCTGCGCCCTTCCTGCCTTGGCTGCTGCTTTTACACAGGGTCTTTAGCAGGCTGAATCATTTAGAAAGCCATTCCCATGGTTACAGCGAAGCTGCCTCCTCCCCACCTGCCAGGTGGGGTGCCGCCCACGCCAGCATCCACACCTCCAACCGTTTCCTCCACGTCTCTCCACAGGTTTGGCGCCAGTGCCAAGGTTGTGCATTTCCTGGGACGTGTGAAGCCATGGAATTACACTTATGACCCCCAAACCAAAAGTGTCAAAAGCGTGTCCCACGACACCCCTGTGACTCACCCGGAGTTGCTCGGCCTGTGGTGGGGGCTCTTCACCACCTCCATCGCCCCTCTGCTACAAACCTTCGGTCTGACCCATGGCCCGGGCTCATACCTGAGTGTGGTAGGTCCTACTTTCTCCTCTCGGCATTCATGAAAAGCTAGTGCTGCACTTCTGAAAGGGTGGTAGAGCAGTGCCAGCACGGAAGTGCGCTGTGTGGAAAACTCTAGATCTGGGAGCATGGAGAGGGACTTCCGTGGGTTTCCACACACTCACATGCTGCAACTGTGCGTTTCCCTGCTCCCTGTCCACAGACAGGTTCTGAAATGATCCCCAAAGCAGTACGCGTCCAGGCTGGGCTGGCCACTCAGTGGTCAAGTGCCTGCCTGGCACGTACAAAGTCCTGGGTGAGCAGGAGAGCAGGGAGGCCCCCATTCAACACTGCAGGAACCGCTTAGAAAAGCGTGTGTGTGGTGAAAACCACAGCAGTGTGGACACACGGCGGGTTCCTAGGATGGTGTGGAGGTCCCAGCGCCAGTCTCCGGCGCTGCTGCCGGGCCATGGAGCTCTCTCAGGGAGGCCCACAGTAGCGACTGTCTGTCGTGAGCACGTTTTCTGAGGCAGCTTCTTCTATGGATGGCTTGGAAGAGGAGCAGGAATGTGATCTGACACTAAGACACGGAGAACAGGAGGACACGAGCGGACTGGAATCAGTTACCTCCCTGGCCACAGTGACCAGAGATCCTTCCCTTTTCTACCGCAGATATTGTCCTCATGTAACTTGCTACCATTTGTACAAAATGGAGACTTGAGAGGAGAGGAGGAACTCGCTCCACCTTCTTACTTCACTGCTGCATGCAGGCCATAGCATCACACTTGCCCCGCACCTGGAGCAAGGCGCTCAGTAACTGAGCCCCGCTCACCTAACCCTACCACCACTCCACTCCATCCAGTATGGGCTGTCCCCCTCCCTTCTCCCCGAAAGAGGAGAACCTGGACTCAAATCCAGGTCAGAAAGACTGCAATCCTTACGAAAATTCAAGGTGGGGCCTGCCTGAGGTCTGTGTGGATGGCAGCGCTGTTTGTGATGGGCGAGGGAGATTATGCTTGAAATGCCGACCTAGGCACAGACGCCCAGAATCTAGCCTGGGAGCTTGCTGTAGCTCACAGGCCCTGGGCGGGGTGACGGAGGACCATTCCTGTTGCAAATGGGGTGGAAGGCGCCTGAGCCCGGGCAGCCCCTCCCGCGCTGCTCGGCCACACCCTCCATGGAGACAGACCAACAGACAGGCGTTAGAACAACCAGTGCCAGTGTTTATCGTTCACCCCTTCTAGTACCTAAGTCCGGAAGTCACCCCACTTTCCTTCCTTCAGTGCAGCAACTTACCTAGGTGTTGCAGCCTTTCTGGGCAGGTCCTTAGCACCTGAGGTATCGCTTTGTTTAAGTTCTCAACCTTTCCAAGCCTACCCAGACTGCGAATTTATCTATCACCAGGCTTGTGTTCATTCCCTTGCCCGCCCGTCTTAACGCTCTCCAATGAACTGTTTGCAGCTCTCAGATTGGCCTATTCACTGGCTTTCTCTTGTGGCTTCTGTAGAAAGGTATGCAGAACTTAAACATTACCCCAGTTACTGTTCTATGTCTCCACTGAGTCGAGAAGTCTTCATTTTGTTAGGAGAAACCGCCATGCGACCCTTGTATTTTTGTGTCTTTCCCCGTGTGCTCTATGTAATTATTTTCATTTTGCCACTCTGCATGACAGTCCACCCTGACTCTTCTCACCTTTTTCAGTTGGCTGCTTTCTTTCGCACGGTCTCGTTCCCAGCTCTCAACGTCTCTCATGACGTCTTCTTCTAGGAGCAGGTCTCCGGAGCCGTCTCACACCTGTCCCTCGGGGAGAGCCCCGCCGCACCCCAGCCCTTCGTGTCCTCCGAAGAGCGGAAGGAGAGGTGGGAACAGGGCCAAGCCGATTACTTGGGAGTGGACTCCTTCGATAACATCCAGAGGAAACTTGACACTTACCTCCAGTAGCGGCACCGCCGTTCTCTGTGGACAGCCCGTCTCAGGCACTTGTTTCTGACAAGGCTCATAGTATCTAGAGCTGGGTTGCGAGAGGTCTGTTACAGTTGTGGAGGCTTGCACTTACTAGATTAAGGGTTTTGCACGAAGCAGGTGAGAACTGGGCAGAAGTGGTGAGGAGCTAGGCAGCGCAGCGTCTCCATCATCTCACGCTTTGAGGGCGTGCAGCTCTTAGGCTTGCTGTACACATCGGCTTTCTCTGGTTTAGCTAGTGGTTCGGGAACTCTTGCCATGCTGACTGTGGTACTGGGTGAAGGAGACGCGGTATCACACTGTGGCGATGGCTAGATTGAACTCTACCGTGTTTCAGATCCGAGCTCCACGCTCTCCTCTCACATGGCCCACCTCTCTCTTGCTTACACCTTCACTTCTGGGGACCTGCCTTTTGGAACTGCCTTTAGTGGCACTGCCAAGTGAGTCTTACTTACACAAGACTACCCATAAACGGTGCGTCAGTATTCCCTGCACCTCAAGGCAGCATGTGGAAAAGCTTTTGCTCAGTTCTGTGTATTTGGAATAGTAGTGTGTTCTGATGGCTCCCTGCAGTAGCATCCTATATGAAAAATAAAGACTTATCATGGTATCTTGGTGGTTTAATTCAGTATTCCCCACTTCATGCTTGAACATGAACAGGTCATGTTAAATTATTTGTAATCGGTCAGGGTGTAAAGCTTGACACAGGGATCATGCTACCTAGGAGATTTAAATCTAATGTTCTCCACATGGTGAATGGAGAGCGCAAAGTGAGATGAGACTAGTCTGTCATCCACCCAGGAGTTACTCAGAATACTGCAACCTGAAAACTATCAGGCTGTCAGTCAGTCACCTTTCAGAACATCAGAATCAGCACCAATGCCTTCTAGAGTTCTTATCTCAAGTAAACAGTTAGCAAGTTTACAGATGATGTTAGGTTGCAAGGGATGGCAAGCGAGGGAAAGGACTGGCCCAAAACACCTTCAAAACTGACATCAGAAGTAACTGCAAAGGAGAGGACAAAACTTCTGAGTGGAAGAACGAGCTGAGGTTTGAGCGGAGGCACCTCCGCCATCTCCATGCAGCTTACTCTTATGTGGTGGCGGAAGGGCACCCGGTGGACAAGGATGGCCTAGAAGCCACCCTGGAGGCAGACCACCACGAGCTCAAGGAGAACCCTGAGCGTGTTTACCTACAACTGTAAGACAGGAAATGAAAAATTACTCCAGGGTACCACAGCCACTTTGGACTGGTAGAGACCAAGTTACAGTGATCTTCAAGTACTTGAAACACTTACCAAAGCTTGAAGTGCCTCCATGTGTCAGGTGCCTCCACAGAGCCCTCCCTCGACACACAGCACTCAGAGCTTCAGATAAATACCACCTCCCTTCTGTGGCCATGGCATATGCATTACGAGTATTAGAAAAGCTAAGATCCAGTTTTGATATAAACCAGACATAAAAGCACCCAAGTCAGGCAAAACACTTTTGTGTTCTATGTACTACTTTTTGTTGCCTATCCTTAACACAGCAGAAGAAACTGGCTATAAAAGTTTACATAATTTCTTTTACAAAAGTATTTGGTGAAGGCCATTAGCTTTTAGAAGAAGTGATGTTTGTCACAGAAAGTAGCGTATGATGTCTAAGCTATGTGGCTGGGAAGTTTCTGAATGGGGCTGAGCTTGCTTTCCTTCCATCTGTGTCAAAAATGTTCTTTCCAGGTAGCCAAGACCATCAATCTTACTGAGTAAGGTGGATAAACAGGCTGTATCTCCATGTTAAGATTCCACTGTGGTAATTACCTCTCCTCTGTCTGCTGCCAACACCGGTGGGCCTAGCAGCCTTCGGCCCCAAGACAAACTTGCCCACATGAAGGTCAAATGCATCCACCTGGGCGTTGGTAACATGCTGGATGATCAAAGTCTATAATTAATACACAAATTAGTGCATGCCTACTTTACAACCTCTATGCCTGTATTTTGCAAATGCATTTTAAGAGTCAATGTACTAAAAATAAAAAGGTTATTTATTAGGAGCCAAACATTAAGTCTGTCCTCACATGTTCAATGAATCTTGCCCAGATGCTACAGAAGAGAATGTGGTAAGTGCTGTGAATGAAAGGACGCTCAAGTGTGAGCATGGCCGGGCCCACAGCTGTGCTCTCAACAGTGCCGTAAGCATGTTATTTGTACAGAGCATTGCCCTCTTTTTTTCTTACACGTGAGTAAATTAACTGAAACCAGTGTTTTATTCATAGAATTTTAGACTAAATACATACAATAATTTTTGAACAAGAATTTCAATCTGTTAAACTGATAAAAATAAAAGTTGACTGAGCAAATTATTCTCACAGTACTTTTTGTGTGCTCCAGTTAAAAATTATATAATATAAACAACTTCAAAGAAATGGGATTTAATGAGAGATTCTTTTACTGTGTTTAAACAGAAAATAGACATTAAATTATGGCTCCAGGGGCTGGGAAGGTGGCTCAGTGGTAGAGCGCTTGCCTTGCATGCATGAGGCCCTGGGTTCGATTCCTCAGCACTACATAAGCAAAAAGAAAAAAGCCGGAAGTAGTGCTGTGGCTCAAGTGGTAGAGCGCTAGCCTTGAGCTGAAGAGCTTAAGGACAGCGCCCAGGCCCAGAGTTCAGGCCCCATGACCGGACCCCCCCCCCCCAAAAAAAGAAGAAAAAATAATTATGGCTCCAAAGAAACTTGTAATTTTTTGAAGTTTTTATTGACTTTAAAACAAAATCCAGTTTAAACCACAAAATTCAGTTTGAACCACAATTGAGATTACAATGTTTCCAATGTATTTCTAAAGCTATTATTCTATGCAATAAAACAATTAACAGCATAGCATAAAGTGAAGTTTTCATTCCAGTGGTTTATATATTTTAAGATAAACTGAAATTTCTATTTAACAGCACTTAACTGTACAAAAACAAAAGGTAAATTTAGATGACTTGTCAAACTTATGAATGTGTTTAAAAACACACTGGTGTCAATGGGATGACCTTTGTAACCAAGCAGAGTAGATTGTGGGGGGTTTTCCTTAACGCCTGTTTATCCTTAATCTCACTGGAGTACCAGTATCCAGAGAACACACATGGCACTCCAATGAAACTGATCTGAGTTTTTGTGCAATGCTGGACCTACAAGGGAAAGAACTTCCCGGGGGCTTCTCATGCTAGACCATCCCAAGCTAGACTCCTCACCCTGCAGAAAGGTCTTGGTCTTGACTTAACAACCAGAAGGCCCCTCTGCCTCTGGGGAAAGCACCTGAGGGTTGCTGGACTGCCCACCACGCTCGTGGGCAGCAGGGCTCGGGCAGGACCCACCGTGGGAGACCCACCTGTGTGCCTCCAATCTCTTACCTGTCTCTACCGCTGGAAGTAACATTGAAGGTGTGCTGAAGTCGGTGTCATCAAGCTAGAAAGCATCTCTTATTATAGTACTTAGTTTCTGCGCTTTAAAAAAATGTCCCCTCAAGAAACCACTGATTACCTAACTTGATTGCTAAATTTCTAATTGTTTTAATAATGACTCAGAGTCATCTTGAATTCTGTGGCAAATACTGTTTGCTTATTAACAACAACAACAACAACAAAGTAAGAAAATGGTGAGGATGAGTTACTGAAGTTCCAAATTAAATTGGCTCTAAACACACAAAGCAATGTTTCCATTCAGAGGTCTTTAGGAGGTGAAAGGACTTGGGGAGGGCATCCAGCTCAACTTCCGTCCAGACATCCCGCCTTGCACAAACAGTAGTCTTCTGAATTATAAGAATGTACAGTTACTTCCAAAAAAGCTGCACAAATAAAGCATCTAACTCATAGAAATCTCTATCTAAACTCCATAACTTAAACATTCAAATAAAGATGGGGAAAACTGGTCCCCTCTCACCCCAGACTGTGTTTACACTCTGTGAATGTCAATTACGGTTATGCAGTGACTATAAAACTTCCTGACTAAATGGAGCCAGCAGAGCTGTAACACAGTCCCTCGTTTTTCATAAACGTAATACTGCATACCACACGTAAACTATCAATGAAGCTATTTTTTAAAAAGTGCAAAAACATTGCTAGCCTGGACTTTGGTCTGTCAGTTAAGGTTTGGTTTTGGAATGCAAATTAGGCTTTTGAAAGCCCAGTGAATTCAGTGTCTCTGGCGGTCTGCATGTGTTTGGATTTACATGGACTGTGAGCCAGCACATCACAAATCAGGCTCTGGTGAAGAACCAAACATGTCCAACACAGAAAACAAATCTTTATTGGTCAAGAGTATAAAAGCGTCAGCCTTATTGGAAATATGAAAAAGCCGAGTACTTGGAAGATATATGAAAATACTCAGCAGTTACTATGAAAAGCGGAATAACAAATGTAATCTTTTTTCCTCAAAAATTGTTTTAGGCCATAGTATAGAACAGAACTTATTGCTATTTGAAGTGTCATTAAAAATAGGTTTATATATAGATTACATGTCAGAAATACCTATTTACTAAAGTGAAGCAATATGCCCCTTTTAGAAAACTTAACTCTCTAGATCTCCTAAATCTATTTTTACTTCCAAAACTTATGTATCTGATCAAACTGACCTTACAAAAATCCCACAAATTATAAATCAATTAAAGTTCTGATTTCGTTAATTTTAGCTTGTTTCGTTTCGTTAGCATTTGTTTTCTTTGTCCCAAAAGCTCCAGCTGCAAGTTCTCGTTTTGTGTTTTGTATTTTCAGCATATTTTCTTCAACAGAATCCTTCACAATGAACTTTCCAAAGAAAAAAGGGAAGAAGAAAAGAGAAGGCAGTTAAGTACTTAAGATACTTAAGGTAACAGCATTTGAAATCTGTAGCATTTTTTAAAAGCCCTACAAAGGACACTGCATGAACTATTACTGAGAAGCATCAAAGCAAATATGCTAGCAACAATATCTATTAAAAACAAAAAAATAAACTTCAAAGCCTATTGACAATGCAATGCTGGCAGACACTGGAGTAACTTGTAAGAAAACCTGTTAGCCATTTTTCTGTGTCCAGTGAGAATATCAGAACATGTTTGTGCTGCACCCGCCTTTGCCTTCTTCTACACCCCACTAGGATTTCTGTGTGCAGAAAAGGAAGGTACTCATACTCCTAAGTTACTCTGAGAGCCCATCACCCAGGAAGGACAGCACACACACGCTATAAAAGTGTCTTTTTTTCTTTTTTCTTTTTTTAAATATGGAACGCTTCACGAGTTTGCGTGTCATCCTTGCGCAGGGGCCATGCTAATCTTCTCTGTATCGTTCCAGTTTTAGTATATGTGCTGCCGAAGTGAACAAAAAAGTGTCTTTTTTTCTTTCCCCAGTCCTGGGGCTTGAACTCTGGGCCTGGGTGCTGTTCCTGCACTCTTCAGCTCAAGGCGAGCCCTCTACAGCTTGAGCCACAGCGCCACTTCCGGTTTTCAAGTGGTTCATTGGAGATAAGAGTCTCAAGGACTCTCCTGCCCGGGCTGGCTTTGAACCGAGATCCTCAGATCTCAGCCTCCTGAGTAGCTAGGATTACAGGCGTGAGCCACCAGCACCCGGCTTTTACAAAATTACAAATGAATTTCCAGAAATCAAGTAATGAGTTTTTTATCCAGGACACTATAACAATAAATGGGTGGGTAGGGGTGGGGATAGAACGACTCATAATATGACCTCAAGAGATGTGTATGAAACGTTTGATAAAATTCAGTGTTTAAATCTGATTTTTAAAAATACCTTATTTAAAAAAAAATTCTAACACTGGGATGTGGCTAAGATGTGAGGATTTAGTTTCAAAGTCAGACCAGGAAGACCAATCCAAGACACATCTCCCATTAACTAGGAAAAAACCAGAAGTGAAGGTGTAGTTCAAGTAGGTAGAGCACCACCCTTGGGCAGAAAAACCTAAGTAATAGCATGAGACCCTGAGTTCAAGCCCCACTACTTGCAAACACACACACATTCTCTCTCTCTCTATATATATACTTATATATATGTTTTAAGTTTAAAGATATGTGACAGATTAGAAATTTAAAAATTTTTAAGTTTTTGAGTCTAGGATAAACTATTTTGAACATACATATTATTTGAAAGTAACCAATATATAAAGCACATTACAGCATAAAAGTGTGTTTGTACTCCAACAGAAAACCAGCAAGATGTACATAAATAACTAACAAACCAAGTATGAACAGGTATGACCTCTGCTCATGGTACTAGGTGAGTGAAAGTTAACTAGCCTACTTGGTCTGGGCTTGGTTTAATACGTTTACTTGCAGTTTTCTTTAGAATAGTGCTGCGGCTCAAACCTAGGACCCTGGCATACGAGGGGGACACTCTGCCCTTAAGCTAAACCTCCAAAAAGATTATTTTGAAAGCAACTTGACAATTATCTAACAAAAACTCTAAATCCAGATTTCTAGTTTTTTCAATCTTTCCTGAAGAAATACCTGTGTATATCCACAAAGACGTATGTATAGGAATGCTCACTGTGCAAGTCTCTTTGCTAGCAAATGCTGGAATGGTGAAATGAATTATAATGTAAAACATATATAGGTGCCAAGAAGAATGGGCGTGTAGAGGGGTCCACCTGAGACAGAGCAGAGTGATGTGAAGAGAGTTGTTACTTAAGTGAAACAGTTTCCGCAGGATGCAACAACAGAACAGCTGTGTAGTGGTGTGAGTGTAGTTACTGTGAGTGAAGAGTACACTGGAAAGAATAGTTAAAACCATGTACTGTCTAATGAATATTTTACCACAAAAATATGTGAATCTACATATTAACAGTGAGCAACATTTGTTTAGTGAAAATGTTGTAAAATAATAAATAACCCCACTTACCTTTATATACTTTCACTTTACATCTTTCTATACTCCCACTTATCTTTAAATCCACCTGTGTAAGTGGAGATGCAAGCATAGGAATGTGTGTGTCTACAGAGAAAAGACCCTGAGCAGCCTATTTTCAACTATGCAGGGAGAAGGGAAAGGAAACCTCGCATCTTCTCTGACTCTCCTGCACTCATCACAAGGTGTGCAGGCACTGCTTGCAGACAGGCCCACTTGGTGTCAACACTCACTTTTGTGATGATGACCTCTTGCTTCTGGCCCAGCCTGTGGCATCTGTCAAAGCACTGGTCTTCCGCAGCAGGGTTCCAGGCCTAAGGAGAGCATGAGGGGCTTGTCAGTGCTCCGTAAGGCTGGCACGGCACCCACACTTACCTCGGCACCATCCACTTCTCCTCAGACACTGGGGCGACACAAGCCCTCCCTCCAGGCCGGGTGACAGGCAGGCTGCCTCCTGTGCCCTTTCCCTCAGCCCTGGTTGGGAGGCTCAGCCATGATGCTTACAACAAGAGACTTCACTGTTCAGCACCCCTAATGCAACAGAAATGGCACAGCTGCTCCACTACATAGTGAACCCAGCTCAAACCAGAAATTAAAAGTTAATTTGGATTCGGACAGTCCAAACCCCATCGTAGACTCAAAAAAGCCTGGATCCCTGCAGATACAGCTTCAGATGACAAGGTCTTGAGTATTGCTCACGTAATTCTGGACCCCTTCTAAAATCAGTATTGTACAGTCATAATGACTGCTTAAAGGTTGCTGAGAACATTCCGTTCATGTTTATTTATTTGTCAAATTCTGAACCTGGACCATCAGCACCAAAATCTCCTATGAAGCATGTTTACAATATTCAGGACTTGAGTCCATCCAAATACCCCTACTTTCTTATGGGGATAGGGGCTTAAAGATGCATTCAACCTACTTCTGAGGCACACTAGAGCTCAGACAACCAGCACCCGGATATTAGCCGCTTTATTCACTGCCTGACTCCCAATGTATCAGTGTTCCACCCGACACTCATTTGCTCCATACTCAGGAGAGAAGCAACAAGCACAGCTTACCAGCACATTAAAACAATACGCCAGGCACAGCGGCTCACACCTGTAATCCTGGCTACTCAGGAGTCTGAGACCTGGAGATGAGGTGCAAAGCCAGCCTAAGCAGAAAAATCTGCAAGATCCCATTACCAATTAGCAAGCAAAATACCAGATTAGAAGCATGGCTCAAGAGGTAGAATGCCAGCCATGACCAAGAAAGCCTAGCAAAGGGCAAAGACATGAATTCAAGCCCCTGTACCAGCAGACAGACAGAAACAGACAGACAGACAAACACACATACACACACACACACACAGAGAATCAGACTAGTTTTTTTGTATTATATTTCAGTTTCCTCCGCTAAAATAGGTATAATAATGTTTTCTCTGGTTTACTTTTTTTTTTTTTGGTCAGTCGTGGGGCTTGAACTCTGGGCTTGGGCTCTGTCCTTGTGCTATTCAGTTCAAGGCAAGCACTCTACCGGCTTGAGCCACAGCACCACGTCCTCTCCTCAAGGATATTGTAAGAATTTCAACTAATATATATATATGCAACATGCAGATTAAGATTTTTTGAAGGAATAATAAAAAACTACTCACTGGATCCATTAAAAACACTCGAGAAGCTGCACAAAGATTCAAACCAACTCCACCCGCTTTTAAGGACAGCAGCATTACAGTTGGAGAGCCTTCTTCTGTGTTTTGAAAACACTGAATTGATTCAACTCTTTTCTTTTGGGCCATGGAACCATCCAAACGTGTAAACACAAATCCTGAGGCTCTAACGGTGAAAGAGACAAGTAACATTTACTACAACTTTATTTTATTTTATTTTTTCCCAGTCTGGGCCTGAACTCTGGGCCTGGGCGATGTCCCTCAGCTCTTCAGCTCAAGGCTAGTGCTCTACCACTTGAGCCACAGCGCCACTTCTGGCTTTTTCTGCTTATGTGGTGCTGAGGAATCGAACCCAGGGCCTCATGCATGTAAGGCAAGCACTCTACCACTGAGCCACTTTCCCAGTCCTTACTACACCTTTAAAAAAGAGAAGTTAAACAGTAACAAATCTTAATTTGATCCCTGCATTCATCTGGAACTTCAATAATTTTCACGAATGTTTTACTGAACATATACTAACTTTTCAAGTATTGCAGTCAGTTTTTTTCTAATTAATTCAGGACCCAATATTTTAAATCTTGTTACCAGGAAATATGCTATGGTAACTCTGAATATCATTCTTTAGATAGGTGATATAACTAGAACTACTAAAATATTAGGTCTTTTTTTGCTATCAAAATAACATACACATATAAAGTCAAGTAGAAAAAAACTGTAACTTACTTTAATGGTGTTTCTATTAAAGACAGGAATGTAGTAAACTGAGAAACAACCAAACTTTTAATGTTGGGATTCTTTGTTCTTAACTCAATCAAAGCATGCATTAGAGCATTAATCTGTAAAAAAAAAAAAAAAAAAAATTGAGATGCCCATTAGATTCTGTTTCAACTGGCAATTATCTCTAAAATTTCTAATACCTAAAAAAATTCATTGATATATACTTCTTGTGCATCTTAATTCATTGGTATATACTTCTTGTGCATCTTAATTCATTGGTATATACTTCTTGTGCATCTTAACTCATTGGTATATACTTCTTGTGCATCTTAACTCATTGGTATACACTTCTTGTGCATCTTAACTCATTGGTATACACTTCTTGTGCATCTTAACTCATTGGTATACACTTCTTGTGCATCTTAACTCATTGGTATACACTTCTTGTGCATCTTAACTCATTGGTATACACTTCTTGTGCATCTTAACTCATTGGTATACACTTCTTGTGCATCTTAACTCATTGGTATACACTTCTTGTGCACCTTAACTCATTGGTATACACTTCTTGTGCACCTTAACTCATTGGTATACACTTCTTGTGCACCTTAACTCATTGGTATACACTTCTTGTGCACCTTAACTCATTGGTATACACTTCTTGTGCACCTTAACTCATTGGTATACACTTCTTGTGCACCTTAACTCATTGGTATACACTTCTTGTGCACCTTAACTCATTGGTATACACTTCTTGTGCACCTTAACTCATTGGTATACACTTCTTGTGCACCTTAACTCATTGGTATACACTTCTTGTGCACCTTAACTCATTGGTATACACTTCTTGTGCACCTTAACTCATTGGTATACACTTCTTGTGCACCTTAACTCATTGGTATACACTTCTTGTGCACCTTAACTCATTGGTATACACTTCTTGTGCACCTTAACTCATTGGTATACACTTCTTGTGCACCTTAACTCATTGGTATACACTTCTTGTGCACCTTAACTCATTGGTATACACTTCTTGTGCACCTTAACTCATTGGTATACACTTCTTGTGCACCTTAACTCATTGGTATACACTTCTTGTGCACCTTAACTCATTGGTATACACTTCTTGTGCATCTTAACTCATTGGTATACACTTCTTGTGCACCTTAACTCATTGGTATACACTTCTTGTGCACCTTAACTCATTGGTATACACTTCTTGTGCATCTTAACTCATTGGTATACACTTCTTGTGCATCTTAACGGGACTTAGTATAATGCTGTCACATTCATATACTGTCCACTAATGTGAGCCCAATTTCTGAAGTTTCAGACATGTCCCTTCCCTACAGGCAAAAATTAAAGACTCCTTAGGTTTTTAATGATAAATTAAAAACCTAAGACTGAAAGACTACTATAGTAATGAACCCACTTCTCTTTCCTTTCTAACTCATTACCTGAAATAAATGAAAACTCAGTGCTAAGTACTATTTTGTCACATGGTGTGTACTCCAGTATCTGCAGGTGAGCACTTTACCTTAGAACTAGATGTCCATTCCGTGCTGGACTTCCTCTCACTGTCGCATGCCAGTTCTTCAGGAGGGCATTCTAAGAGACTGTCCCCATGTATGTCATGTCTGCATAATGGGCACTTTGCATGCGGCTGAAGAAGGAACAAAATATGAGCCACAGTTTTCAGGATCAAAATATAAATGGCCCCCGTATCTTTCAAAGTATTTATTATCTACGCCACATGGCTATCATTTTACTAAGGTGTTCTATTACATTCAGATGGACCTGTATGTTGGGACTCTCAGTGCTCCAATGTAGTAAAGGCATGTGTATAGAGGAAGCAAAGTACACACCCTTGACTAGCTTGACAGCCTGAAATACTACGTATTCTGTCACTGCCACTAAGAAGTCAAAAGTAGTAATTTCTTGAACCTAAGTGGAAACATAGCAAGCTATGTACAACTGTTTTTCAGAAGAAAAACCAAATAAAATGTTTTAATGGTTTATGAAGCTAATCATTTATAAAGCTTGTAACAGCTTATCAAGCTATCCATATTGGCTAAATCCTATTAAATCCATTAAAAGCATGATCTAGTTTACTAAGAATAGTTACAAGATGTAGTCACTTGTCCTAAGACTTCCAGTAAAATAAAATTGTATCTTATTTAAATAAGTATCCAATACCATCACAAAAAAAGTAAAACATCAGAATCTCAGTACAGTGGGATGACCTTTTGGGAAGAAGTACAAAAAGATCACAGTGATAGTAGTGTAAGAATTTCACAATCAAGCTGAACAAATGTAGTTTGTTCTACATTATTTTTCTATATTATGTTTAAAATGTTAAAAAAAAAAAAAAACAACACTAGCTCAGACTGCTTATAAATTATTGTTTACTTGAAAATTTACCATACGCAAGATCTAGACCTACTTTATCCAATGCAACAGGACATACCACGTGTGGCTAAGCCATACTTCACTTTCAAGATGACAGAATTACAATCCATCAGAATTTGAAGATTTAGTTTAAAAAGAAAAAGCATGTATCATGTTAATACCCACTTATTTTAGACATGTTGGACTGAATTAGTATTTATTATTAAGATTAATTTATTTTTTTAAAAATACACTGAGTAGGACACTGCAACCACTCCTGTCTCACATTATTGATATACTTACTAACAGCAACAACCTGAGGTTAGTAGAACTAGGATTAACCAACCGTAAAATACAGTGCCTACAAAAGATGCCCATTTCTGTTATGTTACGAAAAATGCATTACCTACTGCAACAGTGAAATAATAAACCATAAAAGATGCAGTATTAAATTCAAGTGCAAAATTCCTTGTGCTATCACGAACTTGAGTTTTTCCTTTCCACTAGAGGTTTGCCACTCCGTGAAACTGGATCTGTACTGAGCCAGACACCAACCTGCTCATTCTGAATGACTTGGCAAATACAAGGCTTACAGAACACGTGTGCACAGTGTGTTATCACAGGAACTGTTAAGGAATCCAAGCAAATTGCACATTCTTCATCTGAACCTGAGCTCAGAATTAATTTCATCTTCCTTATTAACTTCTTTCTCAATTCTTCAGGTGTATCGTTCCCTAGAGAAAAGGCTGAAAAATTAATTTCAGAGCAAGATTTATAACATGGCTACACAAGTTCACCTACCATATATATATATATATATATATGGGAATGTTTTGCTTGCCAACATAAGAAGTCTCACTTTTTCTGGCATCGAGAGTGAGTTAAAGGGTGCCATTGATCAAGATGCATTATACTCACAACCTGAAATGTTGCATTGAAACCCCTTTGTAAAACTACTTAAAAAAAGAAAAATTCACATGACAGAATAAAAGCCTATTCACATAACAGCCGCTTTCACGCAAAGGCATTATTAATGTCTGCTCATATTGTAACAGAATGAAAGGTGGATGCAATCTGACTTTTCATGTACGGGATCTATCCCTGGAGATTCTGAAAAGACTTCAAGGCTGCCTTAGTGGCTAAAAAGAGACTTGGGATGCCAGGTACAGTGGCTCGTGCCTATAATCCAAATCCAAACTTCTCATAAGGCTGAGAACAAGAGGATGGAAGTCAGAAGCCAACTGAGCAGAAGAGAGCAGGAGAACCCCTCTTCTCTAAGCTTTCCCACGCAGTGGCACACTCCTGTCATCCTAGCCATGTGGGAGGCTGCAATTGGGAGGATTCGAGGCCAGCCCCAGTGGAAAAGTCCAAGAGACTATCCCAATGGACTGCGGGGGGAGCGCCTGGCCAAGCCTAAAACAGGTGGAGCACATGCCAAGGCTGATGCCGTGGTAGGTGGAGTGGCTGCCTAAACGAGTAGAAACCCCTAAACCAACTCCATACCAACAAGGAAAAAACTCTTGGGTATAGTCCCAAATTGAGTCCTTTCCTGAAAAAAAAGTCCATCTGACAAAACAAAACAATCAGATTCAGATGGCATAAAGAAATGTCTCGTCTCCTTACCTGAGGGGCCACTAGCAGACCCAGCATTTGTAAGAAGGTGAGTGTGACAGCAAATCTGCCGCAGTCTGAGCAAAAGACCCAGGACATCCGCATAGTGCGCCAAGACGGTCCCTTCGTTGAAATACCTAGAAATAAATGGTCAAGTATTATGAAAGCTTCCAGACCACTCTGCTGGAAACCATTCCAAAACAAGAAGGAAAAACCTAGCAACTCTTATCTTTTAAGGAAACTCCTATCTGTAACAATAAAGCATAGTGAATGAGACGGAGGTATGATCGTAACACCCTCTACTACTGTAGATCTCAAACCATTTCCAGATCTCAGTTCTTCACAACAGATAGCACATACTAAAGGGAATAAGCAGCACATGCCACGTGCAAAGTGGGCACACACCTGGTGACCTGCACCCCTGGGCAGGGGAGGGAAGCTGAGGGAGGAAGCCTGGGTGCAGCGTGGCTTTGGGAACAAGGCTGTGGGCACAGTGCTTCATATTAAGGCCCTGTAATTCTTCTGCTGCTGCTCTATCAACAGCAACACAGGCTATAAGAACTCACAGAATATCCTACACCGTAAGTAAACTGGCGTTCCCTGCTGGCTCTGGAACACAACTATGATTTTCATATGCATCTAACGAACAGCTAATCCAGAAAGAACTCAAGAGATTCCAATATTGAGTAAATTCAGCACAGAAACCACAGGAAAGCCATGGAAGCAGTACAAAAAGACCAGGCACTGCTAAAACCAGAGAACAGCACTAGGAAACCAAAACTAAGCAGCCATACAGAGGAATGCAAAAAGAACTATACCTAAGAAAAGTGACAAAAGACCTCTAATACACACACACACACACACACACACACACACACACACACACGTAGAACCAAAATTAAAAGTATACTTTTCAAGAAAGGGAAATAAAGGCTGGAATCCAGAGTCATAAATGGTGCCATGTGCTCCAGGAAGAGCCAACAAAGAGGTCCTGGGCAAATGGCTGGACTTGAGAGAGAATCAAGCTTCTCCACACAAATATTCAGTACAAAATATAATGGTACAATGTCGGTATAGAGTCTGATGGAGGGAATGAGTGGTGCGAGCATTATGGATCTGGGCAACTTGAAGAATTAAAGTGACAGAAAGAAAGGTAATCTAATGGTTGAGAACAAAAATTTTATTCTGCCAATTTTAACCATGTAACCTTGGAAAGGCAGCTAAATGTGCTTTCTTGAGCTTCCACAAGTTGTAACCATTACATGGTAAAGCAATTATCTGACAAGACTATTATATTAAAAAAGCTAACACATTTAGAACAGCTAATGTTATTATTACAAATGAATCCTCAACTCTTATCAGTAACAGAGGCAACAAACATTTCTGAATATTCATAATAAGCAACAAATAAGCAACAAAATAGAGGGTAAACATTCAAGTTCAAAATCCAATTACTGGCTTAAATACCACATTAGAAGTCACCTGATGGCACCACACCTCACGTTCTTATTCTATGAAACATAGGTAGTAATTCTATTAATTTACTAGAACTGTTAAGGGCTGGGATGTAATCAGTGGCAAAGCACTTGCCTATCAATATAATGCCTTGGGTTTAATCCCTAGTACTAAAATGAAAAAAATAAAATAAAATAAAAAAGTATCTAAAGCTGGGTCTTATGGCTCACACATATAATCCTAGCTACTCAAGAGGCTGAGATATGAAGGTTGCTATTTAAAGCTAGTCAGGGTAGAAAAATCCATGAACCTCTTACTTCCAATTAACCACCAAACATCTGAACCTAGAGCTATGGCTCAAATGGTAGAGCACCAGCCTTGAGCAAGAAAAAGCCAAAGCCTTGAGTCCGAGCACACACACTGGCATGTGTGTATGTACGCACGTGCTCGTGCACACAGTCTGAATATAACAGCCAATGATTTTTTTGTTGTTGTTGGTTGAGGGGCTTGAACTCTGGGCTTGGGCGCTGTCCCTCAGCTCTTCAGCTCAAGGCGAGCGCTCTACCGCTTGAGCCACAGCGCCACTTCTGGTTTTCTAGTTGTTTATGGGAGATAAGAGTCTCACGGACTTTCCTGCCCGGACTGGCTTTGAACTGTGATCCTCAGCCTCCTGAGTAGCTGGGATTATAGGCGTGAGCCACCGGCACCTGGCCTAGCCAATGATTCTCTTAAAACACAAATCAAATTATGCCACCCCACTGGTTCAAAACCTTCAAGGTTTACCTCATCAAAGGTAAAGCCAGGGCTGGGAAGGTGGCTCAGTGGTAGAGCGCTTGCCTTTGCATGCTGAAGGCCCTGGGTTCGATTCCTCAGCACCACATAAGCAAAAAGAAAAAAGCCGGAAGTGGCGCTGTGGCTCAAGTGGTAGAGTGCTAGCCTTGAGCTGAAGAGCTGAGGGACAGCGCCCAGGCCCAGAGTTCAGGCCCCACGACCGGACCCAAAAAAACAAAAACAAAGGTAAAGCCAAAGTCCTTGAAATGTGCCACCACGACTGTACCATCGTCACCCACCCCAGCAGCTCTGCCATCAGGATTGCCTCCGCTCCTGCTCGGTGAGTGATCAAGTTCACGGCATCCATCAAGCTCACAGGCAAGCTCTCAGGTTTCAGTTGCTGTTCCCTCACCTGAACTGCTCCTCAGCCCCACTTACATCATCACGCTCAATGAGGTCCTCCCTGCATACCCTATTAAGAGAACTTTGGCATGCTCTTATCCCTGCTCTCTGCTTTTTTCCATAAAATGTAATAGTTTTGTAACTGCCTTTTTCTCCCTTTTAAAAGATAAACTCCTTGATGGCAGGCAGTTTTCTTCTGCTATGTGTATATTCCTGCCCTGCATTAGGTACTTAAATTCAACTACCACTGTAACATGGAACTTCGAAATCTGCTGGACCGTTCTTTCCTCACCTCTCATTTTTCCGTTTTGAAGACTCCCCATTTTTGCAGTTCTGCTCTTTCCCCTTGGCTGCCTCTCTCTCTCTCTCTCTCTCGCGCGCGCGCGCACGCTCTAGGGACATTCACACTCACTATGCTTTGGATTACACTGGAATTACCTCCTCCAAGTCCTAACCCCTCTTACCTATCTCACCCCCTCTTGTTCTCTCTTTGCCACCAATTTCTCTAAATGCACCCATTCCTGCACTACAACAGCCCTTTTGAGTCTCCACTGGCCATTCCTCGTGTGGGCTTCTCAACCCTACACTTTTCACGCCTCGAGGCAGCTCTGTTCTTACGCCTGCACACTCCCCTCAGCTGTAGCACTTCACAGTTCTACTTTCTAACAAATGGAGGTGTTCTCCACACATACAGTCTTCTCGATGGTTTTCAGCTAGCCCCATGACACAAAGTCAGAAGCGGAAGTGAGCAAGGTCTTCGGATTTTATGTAAACTTCACATTTCTTCCAGACTTACAGAATTACTTACCTGGTGAATTGTAAACCACAGAAGATATTTATCTTTCAATATACTCGAATATTTATTGCTAATGTACCTAAAAATACAATTTAGCTAATGGGAAACAAAAAAGTTAAATTTTTAACACTTTCTCCATACCTTCCAATCGTAGCTTTGCCTTCATTTTTCACAGACTGATAAATCTGTCTCTCTTCATCTGAAAGTGTGATATGCTGAATAAATACTTTACGTTCTGGGAGTTCCAAAACAGGCTTTCCTTTAATTTTGCTTGTCTTTGTTCTTCTAAGTGTGATATTTTTAATTAGGGACTGTAAACGCCTATTCAAAATAAAACAATTATGTAACTTTATATTTCTATATAAGTTGATCAGATAAGAATAGAAAAAATTATTGTTTTGTAACATCAGTAAAGTTTTTTTAAAAGTCCATTATTTGGCTTTTATCCAGACTAATAATCACAGAAATATTCTAGAATAACAAATTATAGCAACAAATGCACTGAAATTTTCTATCAACTTGGTCCTTATTTACGCTTTTCCTCCATTTTCTGTTCTAATCATGAACCCTTTTATTCTTCAACCTTATCAACACCCAATACTCTATACTTCAACTGGCTCATTAAAGAATAGTTTTTCCTATCTCAGCTGAATCTGTTAATGTTAACAAAGACCATATAAAGCTCTATCATTCCTTTCAGTTTGCTAAAACAGGGGAAATAGAACTATTTTGTTGCCCCAAATAAAAGTCAGTAGACCCTGAGAGTCCACACTGAAACATACATACGTTTTAGAGAGCAAATAGTCAAAATAGTAAGGACTGCCATTGATTGTAGCTAAAAGATCAACTGTCACTAGATGACTTACCTAAGTCCTCCTTCATCTCCCATTGTTACAGGACGCTGAATTGTTCTATGCCACCATTCTCTATCAAGAAATGGCTTCAGTTTTAAAAAGGAGAGAAGAGACCACAGATCCTTTAAAGAATTCTGGATAGGAGTACCTGAAAGAAAGAGGAAAGGATGATAGCTCCAAATCCAGGGTAGGCCTTGCCTACTCTGGTCAACTACTCTATACTACCAGCCCTTGTAACATCACTTTAACCAGAGCAATGAAATAATTAAGCTGTTCATCTTAGCCAACACTGGTGATTCACACCTGTCACCTAAGCTACTCAGAAGGCTGAGAGCTGAGGATCAAGGTTTGAAGCCAGACGAGGCAGGAAAGTCTCTGGCACTCACCTCCAATTCACCACCCAAAAGCCCTAAGTAGAGCTGTGGCTCAAGTACAGCACTAGCCTTGAGCAAGGAGCTCAAGCATCTGAGCCCGAGTTCAAGTCCCAGTATTAGTGGAAAGGAGAGAAAGAAAGGATGAAAGGGAGAAAAAGAAAGAACAAAAGAAAGAAAGGTGAGCAGGCCTTAAGGGAGTATGTTCAACATCAGTACCAGGGAATGCAGATCAAAACATTCCAGTTGAAATGACTGCTATCGAAATCTAAAAGACAGCTGCTGGCAAAGATGTGAACATGGCACCCTGCATTCTGTGGTTGGAGATGTAAATGAGTATAGCCAGCATAGCATGTGGAAGATTAAGAGTACCACAGTAGTTAGGAGCGCTTAGGGGCCATAGTGAAGAGGGTGGGCAGGGAAGACAGTTCAGCGGGTCCTCCTGGGGCCCAATAGCATGGCAGCATGGCCGCATGGCCACACACAAGGGCAAGGTTTGTTTTTTAAGCCAGAAGAAAGGATTTGGAATATTTTCACCACAAAGAAAGATAATAGAGGAGACAGATATACTTGCCTTGACCTGAACATCACACAGTGAAACAGGTACTGGAACAATCACATAACACTAACCCATAAATACATGTCATATTTATGCATCAAAAACTTAAAAGTATAATTTAAAAAATTAAAGTCAAAATAATACACTGCCTTACTTACCTGTCAATACCCATCTTCTTTCTGCTTCTAAATCAAGTACAGCTTTTGTCTGCTGAGCATTTGGATTTCGTATGGCATGTCCTTCATCCAAGATCACCCTAAGCCACCTTATGCTGTGCAACGGACTGTCGCCTTTGGTCTGAAAAGAATGTTCCATATGAATTGAAAAGCACAGCAGAGAAAACGGAAGTTAATGTATTTGCTCAGTATCAATTCTTACTTTATGTCTGCCTCTGCCTTAAGCTATACATACAGTGAATGATGGAATACTCACCAGCACTGAGGTGCTACACGTAATACCTGAAGTACCACTGGGGTATAGCGAGCTTAGTTTTCAAACCCACAACATAGAGAGCCACTCTGCCTCATTCCGCAACACAGCGATGCTATCCAAGTGGCCACTCCTAACAACTACTTGCATGTATCAGCCTTACTTGCTTTTAGATAAAAAGTAATGTCCTTACCAGAAAACTGAAATTGCGATTAGGAGTTATTTTTTAAGGTTTAGCCAAAGAACTGGAATTATACAGAAAAAACAATCTGACAGTCCTGAGACTTCTTGATTACAGATACAAGAAAAGTTCATTTTCAAACTGAGCTATTAAATCATTATGAGAGAAAAGAATTTCCAGATTATTAAAACAGAAAATATATTTATATATTGCATATACCAATGACAGTCAAATTTAAGACTTTTGCTTGAAATATTCTAAATGGAAAACATATCCAAATTAGTTTCCAGAGAAGAAACAACTCTTTTGTCAAGTGTCTAAAATATATTCTTTATAATCTCAAATATTGAGAAAGAAAAAGAACACAAAGCATGAATTTTAGAATACTTCAGAAAGCTGAAACATGGCTCTTGAATCCAACCTTTAAATTCATCTAGATAAAGCTGAGGGCATGGCACAGGTGGAGAGCTCTTGTCTAGTAAATGAGAAACCTTGGTTCAATCCCTTACAAAACAATCTCAGTATACTTACTCCATAGTCATGAGTTAAAATGTTGTATGTAGTCAAAACAATATCCTGTTTTGAAAGCAAAGCTGGGTCTCTAATACGATCGGGCCCATAATAAACATAAAAATTCAAGTGCACTTCTGACTTTATATGCTGTCCAAACTGATCCTAAAAAGAAAATCAGAAATATTTTTATTAAGAAGCAGGTAAGTGCCAGGTTTCATATGCAAACAGAAAGTGATATGTAGGCCATCTCTAAAGATTCATGCCTGTAATATTAGTTGTGGAGGATTGTGGTTCAAAGCCAGCATAGGCAAAAATTTAGTGACATCTCCAAAAGGAGAGTTTAGTGATACACACCTGTGCCCCCAGCTATGAGGGGCACATAGACAGAATGATCACAGTCTGATATCAGCCCTGAGCAAATCTGTGAAACTATATCCTAAAAACTAAATGAGGGCTGTGGGCATTGCTTAAATGTAAAGCACTCGATTTCAAATTATCAGTAATGTAAAAAAGGAAAAAAAAAAAAGTGCAGTTCTGGCAATAGCCTCAGAAATCAAGTTACTAAAACAGCATAACATCAATTTCCTATAATGTAAACTACGCTAGTCATTACTTTGTTCCCGGTAAACTGACATATCTACATAGTAATACATTTAAGTTCTGCCTAGCCCTACCAATGTATAGCTACTTGCTTTGTTTCTTGTGTTTGAGATACAGAGCTGTTCAAACTGAGAAGAAAACAGTCAAGGTTGGCTCCTTGCACAGAACACCTAAAAGATTCTATATCAATGAGTTTACAGACAAGAACAGTGCATCTGGGGGTGAGTGCATACACGTGCCCACATGCACAGTATGGAACGTTAACCTAGTATAGGCAAGATAAGTATTAATTCCATTGCGTTTTAAAATGGCTGGCTCTGAGAACTTACAATCCAGTTGCTTAATACAGAAAGTGGGCAGATGATCAGAGTTGTTCGAGGTCGCTCTTCAATCTCAGACTTTTTTGAACCCACCACTGCAGATCCTCCTAAAAGAATAAAGCATTGGTACAGACTTTACCTTGGTTGTCCCTCCACTGAAAACGTAAGACAAAAATCAATAAGGGGATGGTAATGTACTTCCATGAAAATAACAATCAGAAAGCATTTAAAAACTAAAAATCTAGACAGTGATTGTCTACTGGAAGAGCCAGTGGACTGACTGGCAGACAGCACAAGGAGGAAATCTTAGTATCTTAATATGCAGTTTTCTCAATCTGTACTATACTTAATGCTGTAAACTTCAAGATGCCTCCAATGATCTTCACTTCCTATGTATGACTTCTGTAGTCACGTCACCCATTCTACCAAGACTGCACTCTAGACTAACAGGATACGGCTGAAACAGTTTACCTAGACTACATTCCAATGGAGCATGGAGACTCGCATATGATAATGTCAGCTAACACTAAGTACTAAGAAGAACTAATGAAGTATGACATGCACATAGACATCTGGGAGGAAGAGTTAGGGAGAATGTTGCACTTATAGTGCCTTTTGATGTATACCATAAAAAAGTATTTTTTCCCCCTGGGTACTGGGACTCAGCTTTTCCACTCACAGTCAGGCTCTACCACTTGAGCCACACCTCCAGTTCCAGCCTTTTGTAACGCAAATACAGTAGAATAAGGCACAGAAAGAAGCTGCATCAAGATGAACTTTTCCCTTTTCATTATTTTTTAAGCTTCTTATGATTTTGTAGTTTTTACAATTTAAAACTTTCTCAAAGAAAATATAAAAGAAAACAAAAGCTAGAACACTAGCCAATTACTGACCCTTTTTTAACATTTTCTTTTTTGTTGTCGGGGTAGATGATGTAAGTGCACAATTGAATGCTATATCTTCTTTAACCTTAGATGATCCTGCTGAAGAGAACAAATGATGACATCTTAAAAGATATTTTTCAATTAACTCTAAGGACAAGAAACACAATGCTATACCACTACACTCAAGAACTTAAAATACTATATTAAATAAAAATATTTGGTAACTAAAATTGCCACCTCAGAAACTAAGCCTATCTCTCTAGCTCAGATAGGTGTCCACTGTCAGACAATCTTTGTCTAAGAAAGAGTAAGACAGGACATATGCTAAGTAACTCAGCTTTGGAAGACTTTTTCAAGGGAACAGATGTTTGACACCTAATAGTGGGCTGCCAAATTTTCCAACCAGTCCACCAGTGGTGATCAGTTATTTTCAATGTGCAATTTAATTAACTTGGAATACAATACAATCTGAATTAAAAGAAAAAATGAACCACATTTTACAGAAAAAAGAAACTCAGTGATTATTTTTACATACATAAAGAATGTGAATGTTACCAAAAAGTCGCCTCCAACTAACATTATATACTATCTATATATAAGAATATAGTGCCTATAACTGTAGCTACTCAGGAGGCAGAGTCTAAGAGAATCACTTTAGAGGCCAACTCTATTTCTTAAAAAGTTTGCAAGGCCCTTTCTGAACCAACAGCTGGGTAAGATGGCAAGCATCTGTCATCCCAACTCTGTGGGAGATGTAAACAGAATTGTCGTCTGCTAGCCTAGCCAGGTGAGGCCTTGAGCTCAAACCCCAGTACAGTAAGTCAATAAATAAATACATAATGAAGTGCTACTGAACCTAAGTTATAAGTTATTTTAAGTTGGCTTAAGTAGTACCTTGAGATTTTAATTTAACTATGCACTGAATGTGGCCTCATTAATAATTTAATACATATGGTAAGTTACATGAAGAGTTCAAATGTAAACAGCATCTAAACTTAAGACCTATTACAAAAAATTTCCAAGCCAGAAAGATGCAAACCAATGGTCTTACTTCAATAATCTTGTAAGTATACATTATGAATATTGAGAAAACATTATATACATACCTTTTACCCTACTTCTAGTCTCTGACTGTACATGTTTTAGTTTGCCTGAAATCAGAACCAAAATAAACATAAATATGGGCAGACTGAAATAGTAGCGAATAGGACATGTTATCCAATCAAACCTGTCACACATTACCTTTCATTTTCTGGGGTAACTCACTTGTCTCAGCCTCCTCTGAATCGCTGCTTTCAATGTACTGAACCACAGTTTTTCTTCTAAAACATACAAAGAACTTTTTTACCAAACCCAAATAAAACAGGAAGCAGCAACACCTTTAATAAATACAATATAAAGGCTTTTTGTCTTGTCCATTTACTTTCTGAGAAATACTGCTAGGAGGAACATTTTATTTGACAGATGAAAGTCATATCTGCTTTTATAACCAGACAGGTACATATACAAAGTGCAGTACAACTATACTCATTTCAATGCTGAGTTCAATATGTAACCGCTCAATTACATTTATATAAAACTAGAATAAAAATTGGTTATCAAAGAAAATACTTACAATAAGCAGCCAACAGCAAAATGATTCTTTCATAATGAAAGTTTTCATAAATTTCATGCAGAAACACAAATATGTCCATGTACTCTGAAGTTTGACTAACCTAAATTTGAATTCTTCATTCTGCCACTAATTTGTTATGGGACTTTAGCCAAGTAACCTAGTATTATCCCAGTGCCTTAGTATTACTCACTTGGAAAACAGAGAGTAAAGATAGAATCCACTTTTTTTTCAAATCCCTCTAACAAGTGTCTGTAGCCCAGTAAGTGTATCAACTAATGTTGCTACAATTATATGTTCGCTGCTATTGCTCTGTATTCTATCACTGTCTGTACATGTCCTTGCATCTAATACAGTTTACCTAATACTGCTCTGTTACTGGGTTTGTTTAGATTTGAGATTTAGCTAAGAGGAATACTGATGGCTGCTAATTTTTTCCTCAGTTCAAATGGGTATAAATGACAGAACAATCAACCAGACTACATTTTGAGATCACTATTGGTAGAATAACTACTACCAGATCTGTGTGAGATCTATCTGTAGATACTGAATGTAGACTATATAACAAAAGGCTAGTATTTAGAGTTTGTAAAGTTAATAGATCAAAAGTAAGAACAGAGGGGAATGAAGTGTTTATCCCATTCTGCCTAGATGATCATTCGCTATGTATTAGTATAATACTGTCCATGTTATGTCATGTTCCCCTTACTAGTAAAGTGACACAGAACTGAAAAGAGCAACAGGAGCAACAGATGTCCCTGCCAAGCCATGCTATAAATATTCTCCAGTTTTCATCCCCTAGGTTCTACAAAGAAGATTCTTCTAAGCCGGGTGCCAGTGGCTCATGCCTATAATCCTCACTACTCGGGAGGCAGAGATCTGAGGATCCCGGTTCAAAGCCAGCAAGGGCAGGAAAGTCCGTGAGACTCTTATCTCCAATAAACCACCAGAAAACCAGCAGTGGCGCTGTGGCCTTGAGTTTAGCCTTGAGCTGAAGAGCTCAGGGACAGCGCCCAGGCTGAGAGTTCAAGCCTCAGGACTGATTAAAAAAAAAAAAACTCTTTGGAAACTCAACAGAAACGAACAAAATACAGTAGCTAGATCTTAGTTACTAGGTGAAATGGAAAAGATGTGGTGGTAGAAAGATGAGTAATCATTAAAAACTAACAATTCACTTCATTTATAAATAACTATTACTTTGAACTAAAACGTTTGAAATAAGTAATGAGTATGAAGTAACTACGCAATTGAGAAATGGTGATCATCTCTCTTACACATGAAAAAATAGTTTAAACATTTCAAACAATCAAATCACAACAGTTTACCTTTTGGGGCGGGAGCTGGAGGGTTCTGACATAGGAGGCTTTTTCTTCTTGATATTTGAAATACTTGGTGCTTCACTACATCTGGGTCCTTCTATTGCAAAATTTTTAAAAAATTGTCAAATTACCATAAACTAAAAGTACTCCTTTTAAAACCTTGGTTTCCCATTTCTGACCTCCAGTTTTTGTGACTATTTCACCCCTCCTATTTTTGTTGTTTTGTGCCTGTCCTGGGCTTAAACTCAGGGCCTGGGTGTTGTCCCTGATCTTTTGCACTCAAGGCTAGCACTCTATATCAGTTGAGCCACAGTTCCACTTCCAACTTTAACTAGCATTAAGAGTTTTACAGCCTGTCCTGCCAGGGCTGGCTTAGCACCATGATCCTCGATTTTAGCCTCCTGAGTAGCTAGGATTACAGGTGTGAGCCACTGGTGCCTGGCTTACTTCACGCTTTTAAGCCCTCCCTCCCTTCAGCTCTCTAATCATTCTCCAGAATAATCTACACACTGGATATTCTGCCAAGATTTCACTTTACAAGAAAAATCAGACATATCACCTATAAGCCCCCAAGTCTTCTACGGTTTCTACCCCATCATCTATGTATTCCTTCTGTAGCATGTCTGCTTTCTACAGCTCCCTCATACAGCTATTCTCCAGTTTTTATACAAGCCCACTATTTTCTTCACTCCAAGAAATCATCTCCCAACCCATGGGATTTCTTTCCTACCACCATCAAAACAAAAATAAGAGTAAAATCACACATTCTAATCTCTCTTAAAATGCCCTACTTCTGATTCCTACCCCCAAATAATAGTTATTTCTAATTTTTTTACCTGCTGAAGTATTTTCAGTCTTGCTCTTCTTTAGCGTCAGAAGTTAATTTTATGAAGATCAAAAATTGTTAAGTCCAGATATCTCATTTCTCCTCTGACTTCAGAATTTAACTCCAACCTATCTCCAGCTTCACCTGCTATTATCCATGCACACTGCATTTTTATAAATACCATAAAACACACAGATCCCAGAACATTTTTACCTTAAATTTTCCTTTGATGGAATTTCTTTCTCAGATCACTAATGTCACTAATGTTCTTCTCCAGCTTTCTGACTGGTAAGCTATCACCCAATTCAATCACCTGCTTTATGAAAGCTTTCCTGACTACCAGTGCTCAGGAGGTTCTTTAGAAAAGGAGACCCTAAATTCTTGTCTAATCAGAAGTAAAACCTGTTATTAAAGTCAGGAAATCAGAAGTTAGGTATCCGGTCATGTTCAGAAATAAAAGCTCACCTTTGCTCAGCCCATCTGCCTCTCCTCTGGTACAGTCCCTTCCAAGTTTCACAGGGGCACTGTTCACAGTATAGTCTTTATGCTCCTGGGTGAAAGGCAGTATTTCCTTCATCAGCTTTAAATAAACATAAACAGATCCTACATTTATAGTGCCTTAGTTTGGGTAATAAAGACTTTTAAATCACTTCCCAATTCTAAAACAGTGGTGGCTAAAGAGAGATGAGCAAGAATGTACAAATTAACTGGGCACTAGTGGCTCGGCACCTGTAACCCTAACTACTTCAGAGGCTGACATCTGGGATCATAGCTCAAAGCCAGCCCATGTGAGACTCATTTCCAGTTTAACTATCACCAAAAAGCTCAAAGTGGAGTTGTGGCTCAAGTTGTAGAAAGACAGCCTTGAGAAAAAATAGCTGACAGACAGCATCCAGACCCCAAGGTCAAACCCCACTAAGCAGTATACACAAAAACAGAGACTGATACTTTTATAAACATCCTGTAAAGAGCATTAAACATATTTCTGAAAATATCAGACATTATCAATTTCTTGGCAATTACTTTTTAATGAACTTTAAAAACTTCACAGTAAGAGAAATTTCACACAAAGCGCATTTACTAGTACTTTACCTTCTTCTGTTGATTCTTTTTAACTCTTTCAACAGGAAGAGGGCTGCCATCATGGAAGTTGGTAAGAATTACTGCAATGGCTGTTAGAGTTTTACCCTTTAAAATATTTTTTAAAAACATATGGTTAAATTCTGAAACACAGTTGACCAAAAGCAGTCCATATCCAATTTGAAAACAAAGTAACCAAATACTGAGTAGCATCCAAAAGCCATAAAAGTATATGTTTATTATACCTAATAATAGACATGCTAAAAAAATGACTATTTCACTCCATTAAGAAATGTTTTTCCTCAAATCATAATTAGGAATTACTAAATGGTTTACTGTAAAATACATGCATCTCTGAAAAACATCATTTACTTGAATGACTAGAGATCTAAGATTCTACATTTATCTTTGAACTATCAATTTTATTATGCAAACTATTCAAAACCATTCCTATGAAGTTCAGAACTAATTTTAAGTGAACAGTAATTCCCATGTGTACATGAAGGCAGTAATTTCATTAAATTTGATTTGAAAATAGTACCAAAAATTAAACACCAAAACTTATCAGAAGCATAAAGGGTAATTGTAAGTCCTGTGCATTTTTCTTAAATGGAAACCAACTAATTTTTTAAAAATGATCTACAGAGGAATTTAGCAAAAATCTCTGGCAATTTTAAAGCACAGTAAAAAGCATTTTTCGAATTGTGGTCCCCCACTGACTCCTGTGTGGCTCCAGGACCCTTTCAGAAGAATCAGGTCAAAACTTTTTACAGCGCTGGTAAAACAGACCTTATTTGGAAATCATGTGCACTACTGCTGCTGAAGGCTCTGGTGGAGGAGTGCTAGTGTCTCAGCATGAAGCAGAGGCAGCTGGCACCAAACCACACACTAGCCCTCGTGCTCCCAACACCTAGACACACTCACAGAAAAGTGAAAAAGCCAGTTCCTCTTAAGAGTGTTCTGACTGAAGCAAATTTTTATACCTCTTATGCACACATCTGATTAATTATTCTGTGTAACAAAATAGGAAGAACACGTAAACTACTTGTATATAATTATTCTGTGTAACAAAATGGGAAGAACACGTAAACTACTTGTAAATACAAGTGTTGCTTGGAGTACATCACTGGAGACTGAGTTGTAACCTCAGCTAGTCATTTTTTTCATACAACCATTTTTTTTAACTTGAAAAACTGGCAACTTTAAAAGTGAGTGTCTAGAAAATACTTTCCTGACAATGAGCAAAGTGAAGCTGTCACTTCAGGAAACAAGTATTTGTGAATGATAAAATCTGAAATGTCAATAAAATTTAGAACTTTGCAAAATTTTTATTAACACTATGAATATGGGAACTCACAAACATGTAACTGATTTTCTAGTATGATCATATCGGCAGTAATAAAAAAAGACAAGTCTCTAATAGTGTATGTTGAAACATAACAGCAAGTGCAGATCTGCACAAAACAGTGAGCAAACGTTGTCTACGTAAGTGAGCCTGGTTATAAAATCATGCCTAGGTAAAACACGCACTCAAGTACAGGACAAACAACTGGATTTTAATGAAAGAATATAAGAAGTTCATTCATATGATTTAAAGTTTCAAATCAATTAATACTTATTGGATATTAGTGTAGCATTCAGGAAGGAATCTATTAATTATCAAAAAATTATTAAAATACTCTCCTTTACAACTACTTAAGTTTTTTTATGTACCTCAACCAAAAACAACATAGTCACAACACACTGAATAAAGAAGCAGTTGTGGCAATTCAGCTGTTACTTTCTGACTGAAAAATGGAAGAAAAAAAATTTTTTAATGTATAAGACAGTGCTCTCACCAAAATTACTATCGTTTTTGAACAGTCTTCCTTTCATTTAAAAATGTGCTATTTAGGAAGTGGCGCTGTAGCTCAAGTGGTAGAGCGCTCGCCTTGAGCTGAAGAGCTGAGGGACAGCACCCAGGCCCAGAGTTCAAGCCTCACGACCGACAAAAAAAAAAAAACAAAACTCAAAAATGTGCTATTTAGGGGCTGGGAAGGTGGCTCAGTGGTAGAGCGCTTGCCTTGCATACCTGAGGCCCTGGGTTCAATTCCTCAGCACCACTTAAGCAAAAAGGAAAAAGCCGGAAGTGGCGCTGTGGCTCAAGTGGTAGAGCGCTAGCCTTGAGCTGAAGAGCTGAGGGGCAGCGCCCAGGCCCAGAGTTCAGGCCCCATGACCGGACTCCCCCCCCCCCCCCCAAAAAATGTGCTATTTATATTAACAATTTGGGAGTTTAAGTGTTTAAGTTTAATATTTTAAATATTTCTTTCAATGCCTAATACTATAAGTACTAATAGGTATCACTCACAAAAATGAAATCTAAGACCAAAAAGCATAAAAAAACTGGTCTAATGATTCATAAGTATCTACTAAGTACTCTTATGTATCATAGTATTTGTGACGGGATATAATTTTACACAACAACACTGTTTTCACCTTTTTTGCTTTTCGCAGTGTTGGGAACTGCACTCAGGGTCATGCAATGATGCTCTACCACTGAGCTACCCCTACTGTTTTCACTGGTTTAAAGAAAGCTTACAGCTGGGCACCAATGGCTCACACCTGTAATCCTAGTAACTCAGGAAGCTGAGATCTAAGAATCGCTGTTCAAAGCCAGCAAAGGCAGGAAAAAAAACAAAAAACCAAAAGTGATGCTGTGGCTCAAGACATAGAGAGCTAGCCTTGAGCTGAAGAGCTGAGGGACAGCGTTCAAGTCCCACAACCAAAAAAAAAAAACAACAACAAAAGCTTATAAAGAGTGATCAAGAGCAGTGTGCTACAAGTACCAAAGTGCCTACAGTGTTATGCCACTCACCAAGGCAGCCAAATTCTTTGGGCCTCAGTTTCCTCACCTATAAATTATATATAATAATACCAACCTTGACATACTGCTGCTCAAATGGAATTTCTTATAATAAATCATTTGGCACATTGCTTTGCATACCGAAAGCACGCAATAAAGTGATATAAAAAAAAAAAAGCAAGCTCATAAATTGCCCTGACTTTCAAAAGAAGAAAACCTAGAATACATTTATACCATTACCATTACGCAATTGTTCTTTAATCAAACAAAAAATTTAACGTTAGTTTAAGGAAATACTACAAAAAAAACTGTTCTACCCTGAAAGTAATTGTCATGGATTCCATCCTCTAATGTTCAAGAGAAATGACTGGTGACAAGGGAATTAGTTTCCTTGAAGAGTCTGGCTCTGACAAGAGACAACAGGCACACTTCAGTAACCGAATCCCAGATTTTGAAACTTCTCAGCAGCAAAGCCTTAGAAAGTAAACTCTTAATTCAAAAGTCTACCCTGAAAGTAAACTCTCAATTCAAAAGTGGCACCTATTTTTCAACTTCAAAATTACTTAATATGAAAATATCGCCATAAAATAAGAACTCATTAGCTTGGAAAATAATAATTACCAAACCCATATCATCAGCTAAAATCCCTCCATGGACGTTCTCTGGTCGGTCCTTCTCAGAAAAATTTGTTATGGTGTTGTAGTATAAGTCATTTCTCTGTTCCCAGAATGGTGGAAGGTCTTTACTGTTTTCTCTTGAAATCATCCAAGACAGAGCTTGTTTCTGATGGGGAAGCAACGGTGTTTCAACAGCCTACAAATAAAATGCCCACAGAGAAGCACAGTCAGCCCTCTCTCCTCTCACATGGAGAATCTAAGCTGATCTTATCGGAAAATAAAAAATAAATTGGAGTTTTTAAATCCTCAAGTTTTAAATTGAAAATATTGTTTCTGTACCTCAGCTGGTTCCATCTCATGAGTTTTATCATCTTCTTTTAAATCTTCAAACAATTTGTCAAATTCTGTTTTAAGCTACAATAAACACCAATAAGAAATATCAGTGAGCAAACCAACTAAAGTGATAATTTCACTTACTTCAGATTTAAATCATGTAATATAACAATTCATATGCCAAAAGGCACATACGTTAATTCTTTAAAGTCCAACACTGCTCACTGAAGGTTAAACAGATGATCTTGTAAAAATATGAAATTATAGAGAAAAATATAGGGAGGGGCTGGGAAGGTTGCTCAGTGGTAGAGTGTTTGCCTTGCATGCATGAGGCCCTGGGTTCGATTCCTCAGCACCATATAGGCAGAAAAAACCAGAAGTGGCACTGTGGCTCAAGTAGTAGAGTGCTAGCCTTGAGCCGAAGAGCTGAGGGACAGCGTCCAGACCCAAAGTTCAAGCCCCATGACCGACAAAAAAAAACCAAAACATATATATAATATATATATATATATATATATATATATATATGTATGTATATGGGGAAAAAAAGTTCACAGGGGCTAGTGATGTAGCTCCCTGCTAGAGCACTCATCTCAATGCGAAAGGCCCTGACTCCAACCCAAGCCCTGCAAACAGACCCTGAGAAGGTGACAGAGCACAGAGAGGCACTTTGAGTCCATGGGCAGGGGTCAAATCACTTGTCACACACAAACCTGCATGTTCAAGCAGAGCCCTGTATCATTTCTAAAAACCTTTAAAAGGAACTAAATTTGGATGGTCTCCAAGGGTTTTTCTGAAAATAAAGTTCAGTGGTTCTATTAATCATATTCAAGTTATTTTGACAGTCTATCGGGTACACCTTACTTTTTCCAAGTCCTAGCAATAAGAAACTTGCAGGTAGGTTCTGGTGGCTCACACCTGTCCTCCTAGGTACTCAGGAGGCTAAGATCTGAGGATCACCGCCCAAAGCCAGCCTGGGCAGGAAAGTCCATGAGACTCTTATCTCCAATACACCACTGGAAAACTGGAAGTACCACTGTGGCTCAAGCAGTGGAGCGCTTTGCCTTGAGCTGAAGAGCTGAGGGACAGCGCCCAGGCCCTGAGTTCAAGCCCCAGGACCGACAAAAAAAAAGAAACTTGCTACATACTATATTAGGCCAATTTATTGTCATGCTAATTTTTTGGTCATTTAAACTTTTTCTTTTTCCTTTTGGTACCAGAACTAAGGCTTGAACAAGGATCTGGGCACTGTCCTTTCGTTTAATTCAAAACTAGTACCACTTATGCCATAGCTCCACTTCCCAATTTTTACCAGTTAAATATACTTTTCTGCCTGTGCTGGCTTCAAACTGAGATCCTCAGATCTCAGCCTCCTGAGTAGCCTGGCCTCATCTTAAATTGTGTAGCCCAATTTTACAACAATACACACTTATTGTAATTACTTTTGAAATCAACATATGAATGCAAAGCAGAAGCCTAGAAGACATGAGGTGGCCCTGGTTTGTCCACCAGACACAGGCTCAAGTGCCCTTGAAACAACACATGGGGAAAATATGAAGACCACAATTAGAGACCAAAAGGGTAAGAGTAGTTGAAAGGGACATCAAGCAAGTTTTGATTTTTTTCATAGGTCCACATTAATTTGTGTATTTTTCTTCTCAAACTAACCACCACGATAGTATCCTAGATTACAAATTAAAGCAAAACTATTACTAAGATCTGCACGGAATAAAAAAACATTATATACAGTCATGTGCGTGCTTCTATGTATGTAATAACTGCCTATGAACAAACATACAGTCAGCCCTCCTTTCAAAGATTAACCAGCTACAGATCAAAACTTGTTAGGCCTACAATGGTCTTGTCTATATTGAACACATAATGTACTCTCTTGTCACCATTCCCTGAACATCATTGGCAGTACATTAGTAACGTAAGCAACCCAGAATCTTGCTACTGTAGGAGTCCAGTATGTGGGAAGATGTGCATGGGTTATATACAAATACTATACCACTTTAGATAAGGGACTTGGGAATTCTGGAACCGTTCTCTGTGAATATCAAGGGACAACCTTACTCTTTACCAATGCTTTCTAGAGAATGTTTGCAAATAAAAACATGTATACTCTAGTTACTATACAATGTTTCATTATTATCTCCACATATCTGAAGATCACCAATATTAACACATACGTATTTACCTATTTTTTAAACACCACTTTGAACCTTTAAGATTCACTTTTAGATTGCCATACAAAATAAAGAGAAGCCAGGTGCCAGTGGCTCACGCCTGTAATCCTAGCTACTCAGGAGGCTGAGATCTGAAGATCTCAGTTCAAAGCAAGCATAGGCAGAAAAACCCACGAGATTCTTCTCCAATTAACCACTCAAAAGGCGGAGGTAGAGCTGTGGCTTAAGTAATCAAGTGCTAGCACTGAGCAAAAAAAGAACCCAAGGATAGGCCGTAAGTTCAAGCCCAAGGACTGGCAAAAAATAAAAATAAATAATCAAACCTGTTCAGTTGTCATCTGTACTGCAGCATGAACTGGCATACTATAGCTTGGTCCAGCTCTTCCAGAGTTCCAACCACTTTCCAAACTGAATCCTAAAGCTGTAATATATAAATGGAAACAACAAAATCACCAAATGAAAGAGAAAGAAATAAGAAAACATAAAGCTCATTAATGTATTAAAAATTCCCAAAGAGAATTTCCAGTAGTAGAGTACCTGCTGAACACAGGTGAGGCCCTAAGTTCAAATCCCTAGAACCATGAGAAAGAAAAAGAAAAAAACAAGTTTAGGCAAGTTCTTTATCACTAAGCTACAATTCTAGGCCTAAAAAATGTTTTAAAGCTATGGCCAGGTATGTTGGCTCTTGCCTGTAATCCTAACTACTTAGGAGGTGGAGATCAGAAAGACTGTGGTTCTAACCTAACTCAGACAAAAAAGTTTGAAAAATACAACTCAACCAATGAAAAGCTGGATTGGGCAAGTGGCAGGGGGAGGGGGGAATAACATGCTATACAGGAAATATAGGAGAATCCTCAGAACTGCAAAATAACAGCAAAAATCTTTAAATAAATCATTCAAAATTTTTCGTTAAAACAATTCCACATTATCTGAATAAAATCCTATCAACAAATAATTCTTTTTCATTTCCTATTGGGAGATGATTTTTTTCCCTTTAAAATTAAAACAATATTCAAATCATGATGTTAGCACTGCAGGCAATTAAGGGAGACACATGGGATCTCCTTGGGTTGCTTGTGCATGTATGAGTCGGGTCATGCTTGCAGCGTTCCCATTTCAATCAATGATAGCCAATATGTGACCAGGACTTACTAAGACTGTAGGCCTACTGATAGCACAGCCCCCGAATTTTGTATGAGTACTTTGTGATGTCTACACAATGGCAAAAACATGAAATGATATATTTCTCAGAATCTGGCCCACTGTTAAATGACTTTTAACTGTATTTCAAAAGAAATATAAAAGAAAAAAGTCAAGAGATTTTCTCAGAAGAATCAAAATTAAATAAATAAATATTATAACCTGGAACTTTTAGAACAAGTGAAATTTGACCAAACTCAAAAGTGTAAATGTTTTGTAATCCTTTCATGTTACAATGTCAAAATAATATTAAGTTAAACCCTAAACTTACTTTTTGGTGCTGGACCCAGTTTAAATCCATGTTTCTTCAACTGATCCAAAACTGCTTTTCTATTTTCTTCTTTTCCCCAAAAAGTCATATGCAAGGGCATGGTAAAAGCGTTGTTTGCACCAAAAGGAACTACCCTGTTGTAGTTAGGAGAGAAAAAAGACGGAAAATAAGTTTGTTTTTTTTTTAATCCTAATTAATCTGTTAAATATTCCAAGTATCCCGTTCATATGCTGCATGGATATGAATTAAGAAGGGAATAGCTGGGAAGACACAAAAGACCAAAAAGGAAAGAAATATAATCAGCAACCATCAGAAGGAAACATGTTTTCTGCAACATATAATACTAGATGAAACTGAGAAACTGGGGTAGTTTTAAAATACAAAAAGAATTTCTATTAAAAACAAGGCTGTGGGGCTGGGAAGGTGGCTCAGTGGTAGAGCGCTTGCCTTGCATGCCAGAGGCCCTGGGTTTGATTCCTCAGCACCACATAAGCAAAAAGAAAAAAGCCGGAAGTGGCGCTGTGGCTCAAGTGGTAGAGCACTAGTCTTGAGCTGAAGAGCTGAGGGACAGCACCCAGGCCCAGAGTTCAGGACCCATGACCAGACCCCAAAAAAAAACCAAGGCTGTCAAATAAATACATGTACATTTACTAGAGAAAGTGAAGCTCAGGATAACAGAATCATTAGAGGAACAAGTTGCTCTGCCAGGAGAATAGGAATTGATTTGTTACGAACTTGCTAAGAATTCACTAAAAATTCCCATCTTCATGTCCGAAAATTGTGAACAAGCAAGACAAAAACCAAGTCAAACACTGCTGATCATTTATTTGTTCTTCAAATCCACCTGGGAGTAGGGTATAGATATCCTAGTCATTGGGACTGAGGCACGAACATCCCACAGATTTAAATGGAGACCAGTAAACACAAATGCCTAAAATTTTAAAAATGTAACCAGAAAGTTTTAAGAAATGAAAAAGCAAGCTGATAGCTCATGCCTATAGTCTTAACTACTCAAGAGGCTGAGATCTGAGAATCATGGTTCAAAGCTAACAAGGTAGAAAATCCTGAGTCTCTTGTCTCCAATTAACCAGCAAAAAGCAGGAGGTGGAGGTATAGCTTAAGTGGTAGAACACCAACCTTGAACAAAAACGCCAAGCTAGAAGTGCAAGGCCCACAACAAGTAGTGGAAGAGCTAGAAAAATATAAGGCCTAACTTCACGAATAGCTACTTCTAAGTTCCGACAACCTGATGTTGTGTGGAAATGAGATCTTCCATTTATCAAAAGAAATGTCTTCATGAGCAACTTTTAAATTTAGACAACATTATGTAGAAAATACAAAATGTCTACCTTTAGACCATGAAAGTGAAAAGTTCTCAAACATGGTACAGGCAAAATAAACCCAGATGCCAGGCGACCAGTTCAAGCTCTGATTTAAACACTCTCCAAATCCCAAATGTATGCACCAAAAAGACTTGAAAAGATGGAGTATACCTCCTAATGTGGGAACCAAGTCTATTTTTCTCCCTGGCAATAATTTAATAGGAAAACAAGGGACAGATGTTTGATAACTGGAAAGCAGCAGCCAATAAGAGAGCTGAACATATGTCTAGAGGCATATTGATAAAAGATGTCATGGGACCCTTATGGCTATAAGAAGCAGCCCTAGTAAGTTTAATGGTCAAATCCCAATGATCAAAACTAAACTCCAAAAGTACATTACCCTTCCACTTGTGCCAATTTGTTGTCCATGATAGAGGCCAAAGCAGCTGCAAGATCTTTCTTTAAATGGCCAACCTGATTTCCATTCACATTATTCACTTTGATCGCATTCTTATCATACGGGTTATTGGGCTCTCGTTGTAATGCAACCATTTCATTATTATTAACCTAATTAAAATATGAACAGGCATTGTTACATTATAAATACAAACACAATAAAATAATAGCTTGACTCAGTCTCAGATTTCTGTGCTAAATATTATATAGTAACAAAAACTTGGACTTAAACTAAAACTATTAAAGAATATATCTAATGATTTTTTTCTCTATAAAGCTTTTCTAATTATATTCACTTACTATTTAAAAGATAGTTATATCTAATTATCAGATCCTCACCACTTGAAATTTCCAACACCTAAGTTAGCCTTTATCAAGTGCTTACTAAGCCATGCACTGTTAAAAGTATACTGCACAGATGGAGTTTTGAACTACTCACAACCAGCATTATTCCCATTTTTTAAACAAAGACACTAAAGCACAGGAAAGTCAAGTAACTTGCCCAAGGTCATAAATCTAATAAGTAGCAGAGCTGTGATTTGAACCCAAAGCAGGTTGGTTGCTAAGCTTGAATCCTCCAGAATCTAAAAAGGGGGGAAGAAGCATTTATAAGTCAGAAAGGAACCGCATGAGGAAACTAAATCTAGCCTCCAACTCATATCATTTCGTTTCCACTTAACTAAAAACTGAGAAAGAGACATTAAAAACAACAAAATCAGGACTTCTGCAAATTCTTCCAGAAAAAGTTGGGCATGACAACTCATGCTTGTAATCCTAGCTACTTAGGAGGCTGAGATCTTAAGATTATTGTTCAAAGCTGGCCCAGACAGGAAAAGTCTTTGAGGCTCTTATCGCTACTAAACTACCAAAAAAAGTCAAAAATGGAGCTGGGGCTCAAGTGGCAGAGCGCTAGCCTTTAGAAAAAGAAGCTCAGGAACAGTGCTCAGGCCCTAAATTCAAGCCCCAGGACTAGCACACGTGTGTACATGTGTATACAAGCACACACACAATAATAATAAAGATGATGATGATGATGAAATAAAACAAAAATAGACATTCAGAACATAGAATTTGTGCATTGGGGGCAAATCTTTTTATCTTCTACAGTTTCTTTTTTTTGGTTATGCAAAGGATAACAGCTATCCTCTATCTCAGAATTACTACTGTAACAATCAAATGATAAGACAGGCAAATGTGGTCTGTATACTATAATCATGACACAAATGTAAAGTGAGCCAAAGAAGGTAATTTCTCTCTTGCTTTACTTGAAATAACTGCACATATTGTTTTATAGGTTAATACTATAAATGCATTACCACTTTATTTAGTAGCTACTTTTATACTCACTACTCCAGTGTAATAGCGTAGCCCAACCACATGACCTCTCAATGTTCCAAATAAAACTGAATCTAGCTCTTCATCGCTGGTTAGGAAGTCATCTGGAGGAATAATATCTTGAAATTCAAACCGTGGAAAGAAAGTTGGATATGAGAGGCGTGGAAAATTTCCATGGACACCATACTGGACAGTCTGCAAGTACTTCCAAACAGGATCCCTGTTTTTAAAAAGAAAGAAAGAAAGAAGAGGCACAGGAAATTCCTGGTATTAACCAACTATTTCTCCAAGACCGTGCATGGGCCAATCAATCGTAGGGCAGACCAGCAGTTTCCTCACACGATCTTAGCAGATGGAAACCTTAACGTGGAGATCTCAGCTAACAGAATGAGCTGCTGTAGCTATGGCAGGGCAGTGGATGAGTGGGGCAGGCGTATCCACTCCACACACCCCCTCCCCGGGGAAGCACCACCTCCGGTGCAGCGGGAAGGCGTCGTGCCAGCACGTCAGTGACAACTCGTCTCCTGAGACTCGCAGGTGTTTTTAACCTAGCATTCGTGACTGAACTCCCCGGATCGGAAAGACGTCTCACCGGGGCGCCCGGAGTGTGGCGACATCATCTCAAGCCCCTACACCACTGCCCCGGCACGGCGGGGCACCCGGGGCCGAAAGCGGGCCTCGCCGGGCTCTGGCTGCGGGAAGCCCCCGGGCGTCTCCCCGCTCCGCGGGGCCTCGGGGCTGGGCCGCGGGGCCTGGCACGCTCGCCCGCCGCGGCCGCAGCCCCACTTCCGGCTCTCGGGGGCGGGGAGGGGGGGTTCGCCGGAGCCCAGAGGCTCAAGGACTCGGCTGGCCGGGCTGGCTTCGAACCGCGGGAGCGGAGGTGTCGGCCCGCGGGGCCGCCCGCGGCTCGCCCGCGCTCGCGGGCCGTGCGCGAACGCCGCCCCGCGAGCCCGAGCGGGCGGCCCGGGGGCGGGGACGGACGCGGCCCGCGGCGCGGCGGGCGTGCCTCCGCCGGGCGCCCGCGGCCCGGCCCCCGCCCCTCCGCGGCCGAGCTCCCCGCGCCGGGCCCCGCACGGACCGCGGCCAGGGCCGGGCTCTCGTTTCTCCGAGGCCGCACGCGCGCCGCGGAGGGCGCGGGGCCGAGCCCGCCCGGGGAGCGCGGAGGAACCGCGGCGAAGGTCAGGTTCACGCGGGGACGCCGCCAGGCCCAGCCCCTTCACCTCTTAAACATCCACGACATGGCGCGGGGCGGGTGGCGACGGGCTCGCCGGCAGCCCCGGTTCCTCCCAAGCGGCCTCGATGAGCCTCTCTCCGGGCCTCGCAGCCCAGAAGCCTCCGACAGGATGGGGACGCCGGACCGAGGACGGGGACGCGGCGCGTCTCCTCAGACGTCGACGCCGTCTCCTTCTAGCAACAATCTGAGAGACCTGCGACGCTCTGCGATTGGCACTCGGGACGCCCAATCGCGAGGAGGATCCTGAGGCGAGCGGCCAATCAGCGTGCCGAACGGAGTGGGACTCCGCCCCGCTCTGCGATTCAAAGGCGGTGGGCGGGGCCGGAGCCGCCAGGGCGGTTCCATCCGGGTTCTTCCCCGCCCCCCGGGGCGGCGCGCGGGAAAACCACGAGGCGGGTGAGCGCGCCGGGCGGCGCCTGCGGCCGAGCCCGACGTGGGCGTGAGGCGCCCTCCCCGGCCTTCCCCGAGGCCGGCCCGGCCCTCAGGCCCTCCCGGTCCCCTCACGCGCCCGCGGCGCCGGGTGGGGTCTCCCGCGGGCTGAGCTCGGCCTTCGGGGGCCCTGGGCGCCGGGGCCGACGCCCGAACCAGGCCCGGCCCGCACTCCCGCCGCGCGCGCCCGGGGCGTCGTGCGAAGCCCGGCGGCGTGAGGGCCCGGACGCGGAAAGCGCGCCTGGGCCTCGGCGGCTCCCCTCGGGCCGTCGGCCCTGACCGAGGCCCGGGCGGGGGGGGGGACCCCTCACCCCGAGGCCCGGGCCGGGGCGACCCCTCCCCACCCCATCCCACCCCGAGGCCCGGGCCGGGGCGACCCCATCCCACCCCATCCCACCCCGAGGCCCGGGCCGGGGCGACCCCTCCCCACCCCATCCCACCCCGAGGCCCCGGCCGGGGCGACCCCATCCCACCCCGAGGCCCGGGCCGGGGCGACCCCTCCTCACCCCATCCCACCCCGAGGCCCCGGCCGGGGCGACCCCATCCCACCCAGAGGCCCGGGCAGGGGCGACCCCTCCTCACCCCATCCCACCCCGAGGCCCCGGCCGGGGCGACCCCATCCCACCCCATCCCACCCAGAGGCCCGGACAGGGGCGACCCCTCCTCACCCCATCCCACCCCGAGGCCCCGGCCGGGGCGACCCCATCCCACCCCATCCCACCCAGAGGCCCGGACAGGGGCGACCCCTCCTCACCCCATCCCACCCCGAGGCCCCGGCCGGGGCGACCCCATCCCACCCCATCCCACCCAGAGGCCCGGACAGGGGCGACCCCTCCTCACCCCATCCCACCCAGAGGCCCGGGCAGGGGCGACCTCTCCCCACCCCATCCCACCCCGAGGCCCCGGCCGGGGCGACCCCATCCCACCCCATCCCACCCAGAGGCCCGGACAGGGGCGACCTCTCCTCACCCCATCCCACCCCAAGGCCCGGGCCGGGGCGACTCCTCCCCACCCCATCCCACCCCGAGGCCCGGACAGGGGCGACCTCTCCTCACCCCATCCCACCCCGAGGCCCGGGCCGGCCTGCTGGGCAGGGCCTGCGGGCGCCACGCGGCCCCAGGAGAGGGGCTTGAGCTGCCGAGAGCTGAGGACCGCAGTTCGAAGCCAGCCCAAGTAAGGAAGGCGTGAGAGCCTGCACATCCCCCGACCCAGCAAAAGGCCCCAAGTGGAGGTGAGGCCAACACCAGCACATACACACCCGTCCCCGTGGTGTGTGTGGAGAGCCCTGTGTGTGCAGCAGAACACGAGAGGTGGCCAGCAGCCCGTGTTTCCAGAAGGGCTTTTGGTCACCATCTTAGACTACCGAGATCTGCTAGGAAGAGAAGGGAGGTGGGCTGCGTGTGAACGGGTGCACGCCAAGCCGAAGCGCTGCCACCCCCCATGTGTAGCATGTCACGTATCGCTTTGTGCCTCCACACAAAAGAATGTTAACGATAGCATAGCCGTATCTCAGGTTATTTCAAGTATTTTACTTTCCCACCAGGAGACCGGTGGCAGGGCAGGTCAACCTTTAGTCTGCAGATTCCAAGTACATTCCTGAAACATGTGCCAGAAAATGCACACGCTGATAACGTGTTATGTGTGACACGAACGAGGCCATCCTCAATCAGCTGAAACATACCATCTAAATGTGCGATTTGGTTCTTTGAACACTTAAGATCTTTGAATAATGACTGTCCCAAGGCCAAAGAACTTGGTATATGAAGTAAAATTTGCTACTCAGGTTAAAACTTCTCTCCCTTTGGTCAGGCATTTTGCATCCCAGAACCACCACCTGCTGAATTTCAATTCCCTTTCATATAATCATTCTTTTGTTATTTTTACTTTAAAAATACCAAGTGCAATATGTACTTGTTTAGTTAAAACGTTGCAGCAGTTATCATGCTAGATAATATTTTCTGAAAAAAAGGAACATTTGTAACTGGAAAAGGAGCTGCAGAATGGCAGGTGCTGCTGGATGAGTAAAGAGAGAACAGTGCCACACCAAGAGGAGAAGGGAGACCAGATTTCACTGGAATTTGATAACGTTTGTGTCTTAACTGTAATGGACAGCCATTGGACATTGGAAACTGGAAAACGATCTAGGCTTTAAAGTTTTCATTCTGCCAGCTATGTGGAGAATGGGTCACAGAGGATAAGAATAGTAACAACTAATTTATAGTTGGGGAAATAGTGTGTCCAGGTTGAGGTATTAAAGCTAAGGAAACTAATAGAGTTTGCTGGAAGATTTGGGTGATAGTGATAAAGAGGGAGAAGAAGTCCAAAACTCTTGCATCTACCCACCTCCCAGCTAGACTATTGCATACCTGCAGCCTTTGGGCAAACTGATGGTGTCACATGCCTGTGTGATTCAGTGAGCATGAACTTCAAGAATGATATATTCAACTCCTTGTGCTATGTCCCCTTTTCCCCACTCCAGCCTCATTTCTCCTGTCATTTCTCAATCTAATGTGTCACTAAAGTCTTTAAAAACAATGGATATTTTCTTGTGTAACTAAAAGACCATTTTATCACTTAGCAAAGTTAATCATAAAATAATCTCTAGTATCTTTTGTGAGCAGACTCAGATTTTCACAATTATTAAATGTGCCCTAAACTTTGCAAAGTCAGATTTGGAAAACTTTGGAGGAAACAATAACTTAAGAATCTGAGTACTTGAAAGTCTAGCTTCAATACAAAACTTCAAGTTTTGGTCAAAAACTAAGAAAATCAGGAAGAAAGTATGATGAGTGTTGACTTGCTTTACTTCTTTCACCCAAAAGGAGGTTAAAGGTCAATAGGAGAGAATTTTCAATAATAACAGGTGAGGAGATTTGCTGAAAAAAGTGTCTCAGGAAAAGGCCCCAGAGTGCCATCACACAGTGGGCAGAAAGGACAGGATGACAGAAAGCAGTTTCTGGAGATCACCATAAAGTTGTGCCCTGTTTTCCCAGCCTACAGTTCCATGATTCTATGGTCTTAAGGCCAGCCTCAGAGACTGAAAGGTGCCAGAGCAGGAGAGGAGTAAGAGAAGTGAGGAGGCTCTGTGTAAGGTTACAAAGGGGACCTCTAGAATCCAGGGGAGTCCCGGGATATGTGTGCAGCAAGCCGAGGGTGGAGGCCTTCCTCAGATCCTGGTTCTAAGCAGCAGCAGAAGGAAGCCAGTCTCCCACAATGAAGCAAGTAGTTCTGTCAGTCACAGTACCTGAAGAAGAATGGGAGTTCAAATGCAAGTACAAGTATCCAGGAAAGAAAGAAAGGGAACTAAACTCAAAACTTTCATTCGAATGCCTTTAAGTCTCAAAATGACTGAACTTCCAGGAAGTAATTCACTTATCTCTAGTTAGATATACTGAAGGTTTTGGACAAATGAAGTTCAATGAAGGAATAGAAAGTGTTACCTTTGCGAATGGTGTAATTTAGGTTCACATGCCTGAGAGCTTCCATTTATAACACATCACAGTGAACTTACACCAACTATTTATTGGAGATACTCTGGTAGAATTAGGGGAGTTTCATCTCTTTTGCTTTTGTCTATGTAAGATGTTCTCTATATTGAATGTGTTGCTTTTTGCCATAAAATATGAGAAATTATACCAAAGAATTTGTGAGCCATTTCTCAGCTTTTAAACTAATTTTGTACTTACAGCAAAGTTGTAGAGTGCTTGCCTCGCATGCATGAAGCCCTGGGTTTCATTCCTCGGTACCACATACACAGAAAAAGCCAGAAGTGGTGCTCTAGCTCAAGTGGTAGAACATTATTAGTCTTGAGCAAAAGAAGCTCAGGGACAGTGGAAAGAAAGAAAGAAAGAAAGAAAGAGGGGGGGAGGGAGGGAGGGAGGGAGGGAGGGTGGGCAGGCAAAAAAAGAAAGGAGGAAAGGAAGGAAAAGAAGGAAGGAAAGCAAGAAAGATTGGCATAAATTGTCCCACTAGGACAATGACCAAGCCGGGGAAGTGAACAATGCTACAATGCCATTTCTGGACCCTCTACTTTTTAAAAACCTGCAGGAAAGGTAAGATAAAACCTTGCGGTTTCATTATTTACAACTGAGTTTTCTTACATTTAATTAGGCCCAACAGACCCAGGGACAGAATCCTGGGTAAAAGACAGCTAACAAGGCAGAAGTGATATATAATCAATGCTGAGTAAAGTTCTTAGTAACATGGGGTATCCAGGATATGGTGTCCAGAAATAACAGTCCATGTTCTCATTATTACTGTTACCATTATAGGCTTACTGTCTAATGAGTTCTTCAGCACTTCACAAGGAATATGGTTGATTAGGGCCTAGTTCCTGGGTGAGGTTCAGTCAGCAGAATAGTTTCCAATACCAGACTAACAGTTTCCAGAAGGCAGTCTTTTCCCAGGTGCATGTCCTTCAAGCAGACTAAGTTGTTTCAAAACCCAGGAACAAAAGACACTCCAATCTCAACCCCCACCCAGAGAAGTCTGTGGTACTGGGGTTCACACAGCTCCTTCCCAGGAGATAAGCATTTCCCGTAGGCTTTGACTCACCCACCAAGCCCAGAACTTGCTGCCTGAGGTCTGGCCTCTCCTTTGCCTTCTGCCCAGTCCTTCCGCAGATTCTCAGCACCACTCCAAACCCACCTTTCCATTCAACTCTACGTGCAGTGACTTCAGTTTATTTTAGTGAATACTGCAAAGGACTAGTCAAGATTCTTCTGCCTCCTTTGTGGCAAGAAAATTAAAGGACAAAAATTTCAATTCTACATGCTCTTTTGACTTAATAAATACAAATGTTTTAATGCAGGAAAACCATTAGTAAATTATCACAACTTACAAAACCATATAGCCATATAAATGCTGCAGTTAAAGTTGAATATAAATACAAATAGCGCCATTTCAGGTACTCTGAGGAGTTTCTGGGTTTTGTTGTTGTTTGTTTGTTTGTTTGTTTTTTGTGGGGGCTTGAACTCAGCCCTGGGCCCTGTCCTTCAGCTTTTCAGCTCAAGGCTAGTGCTCTACCAGTTGAGCCACAGGGCCACTTCCGGTTTCCAGTGGTTTATTGGTGATAAGAGTCTCATGGACTCTCCTGCCCCGGCTGGCTTTGAACCGTGACCCTCGATCTCAGCCTCCTGAGTAGCTAGGATTACAGATGTGAGCCACAGGCACCCAGCTAAGTCTGTGTGTGTGTGCGTGCTTGTGTGTATGCATTTTGCACACGCACACGCCAGTACTGGGGCTTGAACTCGGGGCCTGGGCTCTGTCCCATAGCTTTTTGCTCAAGGCTAGTGTTCAGCTACTTGAGCCATAGCTCTGCTTGTGCTTTTTGATGGTTAATTGAGGAGTCTCAGACTCTCGTGCCCAGCCAGCTTTGAACCACAGTCCTCAGATGTCAGCCTTTTGAGTAGTACTCTGAGAAAGTGTGTAAAACCTGGAAAAGAACAAAGGAAACATTTCCAAGGAATTCAATCCCGACTTAATAGAACTAGAACTTCCAAAAGACTCAAGTTCATGAACAGATGAGTTTTTAGAATTTTAGCATGTTAACATCCTGTTGCTGTCATTAACACATATTAATCAATGATAATTTGCAATGTAATTAGCAAATATGTATTAAACAAGTCAATCAAAATGCTAATTTTGTAACACTTTAGTAAATAATATTTTCATTTTTCGGATGTTTGATAAGGTGCTGCGATGTTAATGTCCCTAAGATAAACATTAAAGCACTGATGATGTAGGTTAGATAAAAAATTCAGATGAACAGGAAATAGTCACTAGTTGATTAAGGCGTGTGTGGTGGCGCACACCTGTAATCACAGCAGTAATCACGGTAGCATTTGGAGCATGGGGAGCAGAGACCCTACACCAAAACAAAAACGGCAGCAGAAGGCTCCCGGTGGCCTGACCTGCACGCAGGGGCCTCGGGTTCACGAGCACAGGCCGCTGCTCGGGAGGCTGCGATCCGAGGGTCGCGGGCAGCAGAGTCCGTGGGGCCCGTGCCGCCAGAGACCGGCTGGGTGGGCTGCGGCGCGGGGCTCGGCCGGGGCTGGCAGGAGGAGACAGCACAGCAGGCCCCCCGGGCCAGCAGCCACTCAGACAGGCCAAGACTAACGGGGAGCCACCCAGGAAATGCACCCCACAACCCGCGTCCTCCTCTCCCGCCCCCCCCCCAGGTTCCTGGGCGGCCTTCGGAGGGCTGGGATCCCCTCCGACCCGGGACTGCGGCCGGCGGCCGGGCCAGGCCGGACAGAGCGGCAGGCCTCGAGAAGCCCTGCGCGCGCGCATGCGTGCGAGTGCAAGCAGGGGGAGAGGGTGGCTCCAGGACGGCCCCAGAGCGCTGGCCCACCCAGCACCCCGCCGGGTCAGCTTCCTCCGCCGCCCCCCGCCCCGCCCCAGTGTCGGTCACTCGCGGTTCCATCCCGCCGGCCCTGCGGCCCTGGACGGCCCCCCCCAGTGAAGCCGTCGGGGCCTCCCGTGGTGAGCTGGTCTGGGGGTCTGGCGGGGCGGTCGCCGTGCGCGCGCGCGTGTGCATGCGTTGTGTGCGTGTGTGTTGTGTGTGCAGGTGTTGTGTGTGCGCGTGTGCGTGTGTGCATGCGTTGGGTGTGGGCGCGCATGTGCGTGGGCGCGCGTGTGTGTGCAGGTGTGTGTGTGTTGTGTGCGCGCGCATGTGTGTGCAGGTGTGTATGTTGTGTGTGCGCGCGCATGTGTGTGCATGCGTTGGGTGTAGGTGTGAGTGTGTGCGCGCGTATGTGTATGTGTTGTGTGTGCAGGTGTGTATGTTGTGTGTGCGTCTGTTGTGTGTGCAGGTGTTGTGTGCAGGTGTGTATGTGTTGTGTGTGCAGGTGTTGTGTGTGCAGGTGTTGTGTGTGTGCGTGTGTTGTGTGTGCAGGTGTGTATGTGTTGTGTGTACGTGTCGTGTGTGTATGTGTTGTGTGTGCAGGTGTGTATGTGTTGTGTGTGTGTTGTGTGTGTATGTGTTGTGTGTGCAGGTGTGTGTGTTGTGTGTGCAGGTGTGTATGTGTTGTGTGTGTGCAGGTGTGTGTGTGTTGTGTGTGCAGGTGTGTATGTGTTGTGTGTGCAGGTGTGTATGTGTTGTGTGTGTGGTGTATGTGTTGTGTGTGCAGGTGTGTGTGTTGTGTGTGTAGGTGTGTGTGTTGTGTGTGTAGGTGTGTGTTGTGTGTGTTGTGTGTGTATGTGTAAGTGTTGTGTGTTGTGTGCGCGTGTGTGTTGTGTGTGCAGGTGTGTGTGTGTTGTGTGTGCAGGTGTTGTGTGTTGTGTGTGTATGTGTTGTGTATGTGTTGTGTGTGTATGTGGTGTGTATGTGTTGTGTGTTGTGTGTATGTGTTGTGTGTGTGTGTTGTGTGTGCAGGTGTGTGTTGTGTGTTGTGTGTGTGTTGTGTGTGCAGGTGTGTGTTGTGTGTTGTGTGTGTGTTGTGTGTGCAGGTGTGTGTTGTGTGTTGTATGTGTTGTGTGTGCAGGTGTTGTGTGTTGTATGTGTTGTGTGTGCAGGTGTTGTGTGTTGTGTGTATGTGTTGTGTGTGCAGGTGTTGTGTGTTGTGTGTATGTGTTGTGTGTGCAGGTGTGTGTGTTGTGTATGTGTTGTGTGTGTATGTGTTGTGTGTGCAGGTGTGTGTGTTGTGTGTGCGCGTGTGTGTGTGTGTGTGCGCGTGCGCGCGCCCCAGTATGGAGCTTGGACTCGCGGCGGGCGCTCGGCCACTTGAGCCACGCCTCCACTTTCAGCTCTGCGGGTTCGCGGCCTCCGGAGGGTCAGGACTGCAGCGCCAGCTCGGGCCGCCGGGCGGACGCCGGGAACCCGCGGCGCGGCCGGAGCGGCGCTCCCCGGCGCCCCCGCTGGTCGGCGTCCGGGACCCGTCGGTGCGTGGCCGTGGCGTCACCGGCCGCGGCTGCCGCGGGGCGGGGCGGGGCGGGGCGGGGCGGGGCGGCGGCTCACGTGACGGCGGGGCACGGAAGCCGCGGGCCTGGGCGGCGGCGGGCGGCGGGCGCGGCGGGCGCGGGCCTGGGCGGCGGCGGGCGCGGCGGGCGCGGGCCTGGGCGGCAGCGGGCAGCGGGCGCGGGCCTGGGCGGCGGCGGCGTTGGCGGCCTCCCGGCCCCCCCCCCCCGGGCGCCATGCGCCTGTACAACCTGCACCCGTTCGGGTCGCAGCAGGTGGCGCCCTGCACGCGGGAGCCCGAGCGCCTGTGCTGCGGGGGCCCCGACGCGCTGTTCGCCGCGGCCGGCCGCCGGGTGGAGGCCTTCGCCGTGGCGGGCCGGGAGCTGTGCCGGCCGCGCTGCGCCTTCTCCGCGCTCGGCTCCGTGCTGCGCCTGCTCTACAGCGAGCCCGGTGAGTGGCCGCACCCGCGGGTCGCCCTCCGGGGCCGGATCCGCGCCGGGCGGGCGGGCGGGCGCGCGCGCGCGCGCGGTGGCCTGGGCCGCTCCCCTGTCCTCAGACCTCGGGGGCCGGGCTGCCCCGCGCCCCGGGACCCCTCTGGCCGGTGTGGGGTCACCAGGCCTTCGACCCCGTTCCACTTTGCTGTAAGGTAAGTCGAGTCCTTAGTCACTACTGGACGTGGCGACGTGAGGACCCGCGCTGGTGTCCGTCCGTCCGTCGGTCGGGGAGGGTCTGCACTGCCACGCGAGGAGGCCAGCCGTCGCCAGAACCTTCACCGCCGCGCAGCCGGACACGCCCGACCTGAGCGACCCGCGCCCGCCAGCTCGCCCAGTCCTTCCGCGGCGCCCCGGCCCAGGAGCCCGACCCTTATGCTCCCCTCTCCCCTTCCTCACTGCGGACTGGGGCTCAGGCCCTCCTCAACTCGGCTGGTGCTGCTCCTCCCTGTTCCCCGGCCCCACGGCCAGCTTTGTGCTGGGGTCTGGCCCATCTGGGCTGGCTTTGAACTCCAGCCTCAAACAGCTAGGACTACAGGTGTGAGTCATTGGTTCTTGCCCATTTTTCCACTTTCTAGAATGGTAACTCTTCTCCATGCTGCCCTCTTTTAGGCATAGCAGTTTTCACCTTAAAGATTTTTTTTTTAATCAAATAGTAAAGCCATCCATTGCAGATGGTGGGCTGAGCTTGTGAGAGAGAATTTGCCTAACTTGCCCCTTTCTTCCAAGTGGACATTTATTTAAAATCTGAAGTGGCAGCAGGAGGCTGACCTCTTGCTTGTCTTCACTGTGGGGTAGCGTTGATGGCACTGCTGGGCCCCAGGCCCTGGCCACCGCAGCTCGGCTGCAGCAGTTAACTTCTCTGGAGTGAGGCGGGACCGCCACTGAGGAGAGGCCACTGTTTCGCCAGAAGTGCACTGCTGACCTGAGCCAGGAGTGCGCTGCTGACCTGAGCCAGGAGTGCGCTGCTGACCTGAGCCAGGAGTGCGCTGCTGACCTGAGCCAGGAGTGCGCTGCTGACCTGAGCCAGAAGTGCGCTGCTGACCTGAGCCAGGAGTGCGCTGCTGACCTGAGCCAGGAGTGCGCTGCTGACCTGAGCCAGGAGTGCACTGCTGAGGGGAACCAGCACAGGAACGGAGAGAACTGCACTGATGAGGCCGCAAGAACAAAGATGGTTTAGAACCCTGCTGGCTGCCCCAAAGCAGTTCAGAAGTCATGTGGGAAGGAAGGCTTTAACACCATGGGTCATGTGGCCCAGTTGAACTTTTAACCATAGACATAACTAAACATGGGCAGACTCCTGGCTATCTTGATATCCAGAAAACTCATCTTCCCTTTCTTGGCATTTCTCTTCTGCCTTCCTTTACTCCTAGGAAGTTAGTGCCTGGTGTTTCAGAGACACTGAAAAACAGAATTCAAGTATTTCAATCTACTGGAAATGCTGTGCACTGCCTCCCCCCCACACACACCAAAGTAGAAAAACACCTCCGGACCTTTTTCCTTTCATTAGCTGACAGCTTTTCTTCTGTTACAAAATTTGGGAACATTGGATAAGTAGAAATTTTGAAGGATGGTTTTGAAATGTTAATGTCATCAGGGAAACTTAATTGAGTGTGTGTGTGTGAAGACAGGAGTGATGACTGAAGCCTTCTGCTGGAGAGGCAGGGCACAGACACACTCACAGCACTGCTGGAATACCAGTGGTGACAGCAGCCTAGTGATCCATATTAACCCGGACCTACTGTTGCCCAGCATTGAGACTCTGTGCCACTAATGCAGTCCCTTGGTACTCACATGTGCAGAAATTTTTGTTAGGGAATAAAACCTAAATGTACTTCCACATATTTCACTAGAGGACTGTTAACTAAATCATGGCACATGTTTCATGATCCATATTTAGAGAGAGAAAATTACCCTAGGCAGCCTTATTGTTAAGATGAGGCTTCTGGGAGGTAATATTATGCTTTTCATTTGTATTTATTGATTTCTCGCCACAAATACATGTTTTCTTAGCTAAAAACCAAAGCAACAAAAATACTCATATAATCCAGTTCAGAGACTTGGGTTTATGTTTTGTTTAGTTTTATAAATAAATGTGTAACTTCACTCTGTTTCAAAGTTGTGATTTGGTGGGATATCAAGTGTAATTTTCTACTTAACAGTGAATGCCTTGATTTATACTAAGTTTGTGTAACTCTCAGTAAGACATGAATGGTGGTGATCATTTTTGTCAGTAGAGCTGTCTGGGAGCTGTACCTGTAGGGCACAGGATGCACTTAGAGCTCACGTGGAGAATGGTGTGTGAATTCCCTCTGGTGTAGGAATAATGAACAGGTTTTCCTGAGCCACCAGATGGTGAGAGATTGCATCTCTGAACCTCGGGCCTCATAAGTTTCCAGTACTGATGCTGTCACCTAGGGTTTGGCTTCCCATAGTCTTTGGGCCAGTGGTTCCTGTGTTTCATCTCAGGTCAGCAAAGGAAGCAGTTGTGTTTGACTACAAAGTCTAGTCAAATCTTATTTCCTTTTCAGGAGACTATTTGGTAATGATTGAGGAGAAGAACGGAGCCACATTTGTGCGTGCGTATGCAAACTGGAGGAGAAAAAGAAGTGAGAGTTCCCGAGTGTGCGTCCGGATGGTGGGCCACAGCGTGGAGGCGCCGCTCAGCGAGGCCTTCAGGGACCAGATGTCTATCGTGGAAATCCCGCTGTCTGAGGTGCCCTTGTGCATCTCCTGTTGCCCTGTGAAAGGAGACCTCCTTGTTGGCTGCACAGATCAGTTCGTTTTATTTACTCTCAAGTATCAAGTTGTTAGTGAGGAGTTCTCAGTGCTGGACTTCGAACGTGCTCTAGTGATACACATAAACAGCATTACCCCTGTGGAAATCTCTTTTTGTCTTGGATATGTGGCTGTCATGTCAGACTTAGAAGTCCTAATCCTAAAACTGGAGTCAGGACCTAAAAATGCAGAGAGAGTCAACCATCATCCACACGGCACCAGCGACACAGTGACCCAGGCAGAAGGTAAATGATGGAACTTATTTGCTTGCTTGTTTTAGGCAGAGAGGAACCCTTCACCTTTGGGAACATCTCTGGAGTTTATGGTGCCGCGCCACATTATTTATAGACTTAGGGGTTTTTTGTCTGTTTTTGCTGGGGTTTGTACTCGGGCCTTGTGCTTGCTAGGCAGATACTGTACACGCTGAGGTACATACACCTCAAACCCTTTTTCATGCTGGTTAATTTCTGAGATGAGGCCACGGCCAGCCCGCTCTCCGCCTGTTGTAGGCTTTCTGTCCTCGCTAGGAAGGCACGCACATACGATCACACCACATCCTTGTGTTGAGGCGGCGTCTTGTAGACGTTCCTTCCTAGACTGTCTTGGAGCCCAGTCCTCCCAATTTTAGCCTCCCACCTAGCTAAGATGACAGGAATGGGCCACCTCAGCTATGGGTTGAGACTAGGTCTTGCAAACTTTCCTGCTCAGGTTGGCTTCTAGCTGCAATCCTCCTGATTTCTGCCTCTCACCTAACTAGGATTACAGATGGGAGCCTTACGCTTAGCAAGACTTAGTTATTCTTACTAGACTGGGTTTCTGTCTGGCTCCACATATTTTTTTCTGCATCATGACAGTCTGTTTACATCTGGCAGTAGAAGTAATGGTACAGCTGGGGCAAGGCGATCATTCTCGTATTTTAGTTAGAAGACCTTGGACAGCACCCTCTCTAGTTTTCATTCAAGCAGATAGTTGTACTTGAAGTTACTAAGCTCTTGAATTTTATTTTTAAGGACCCAGTAGTGAAACGTCACAGCTTGAATCAGATGATTTTGTTTTCTGCCAAAAGCCCATGGAACTGCTGGGTGAGAAAAGCAGACAGTCTGGCATGTCTGTTTCCCTGGAGCCGACGGGGCTGGCTGAGGAGAAAGCGGAGTATCTGCACATCCAGCACTTGCTCTATCGGTATTCCAGCCCCCTTTGGTCACTGGCATTTGATGTTTATGTACCTGCTCAAAGTATGGGGAAATGAGATTCTTCCCTGTCTTTTTACACCCACAGACGCTTCACTCCTGATATTTCATTCTGTGTCTCATCTGATGACGTCAGGTTGCATTCACTCCAGCTGCTGCCTGTTTACCGAACAGGTACGTGTGCTGAGCAGGCAGACCTATGGCTGTCGGGAAGACCCCCATGTGGGAACCAAGTCTCCCTTGCCAAGTTCCTTAGCACCTGTGACCACTAGCAAGGCACGGCTCAATGACTAAGAGGTGAAGCCATTTCCCTTTGGAATGATCCCCAGGCCTAGATAATGAAATTGAAGCCCTGTAGGAGTGGAATAGAGATATACCAGGGTTCCAGCTAGATATTGAAGGAAGCTACTTTGACCCACCTTACTGAGCCGGGTGGGAAAATGTGGACTGAATTTAAGCAGTGGTCCGAAACCCTGCCACCCTGAGTTTACCTGAATACTTTTTTAATAACAATGCTGGGGAGTTTGACTTAGTTGGTAGTTTTGGGTCCTGGGCATCTACGCAGTAAGACTGAAAATCACTGGTCCCAGCCCACTTCATATCTTAGACAATGTCTAGGGGAAGCTATAAGTACTTGTCCTATGTAGCATTTCCCTAACTTGGTTTCTTTTAGGAAAGGGGGTCTAGTCTGGAGTGTGTCATGCTAAGCACTGAGAACCAGCAGTGAGGAAGTATAGTTGTAGCAAGGCACCGGAGCACTGGGAAGGACTTAGAGAGCTAATTGTAGACGGGCAGAGGAAGACTTAACATGTTAGTCACAGACTCAAACCACACACTCTCACTTCTGAATGCAGGTTCTCCTTCGTCCGATGGAGAGAAACTGTCTCAGGAAAAAGAGCTGCTGAGTCTCTTCTGTTTTTTCTCATTGCCTCATGTCGGCTATCTCTACATGGTTGTGAAGTCCGTGGAGTTGATGTCTGTCTACCAGTATCCCGAGACGGCCAGGCAGGCCGTCCTCACGCCACAGTTTCTGCACGTCATCACAAGGTATCGTTTCAGCTCATTGGCCTCCTAGTCACTCCCCCGTGGGTTCTGTAGCTGCTACCTACAGTAATGGGAGCACCCTCCAAAGTCACGTAGAGTACCATAAACTAAGGAGCTGCCTGTCTGCTCATGTCTGTCTTCGGATGGCTCCGGCCTCTGTCCAGTGCTGTGGACTCGGTGGTGGCTTTGCTGTGCTTTCTTAGACTGGTGGGGACCCTCTGTAAGGAGATGTGAGGTTCTGCATGTGGGAGATTGCTGCAGGCCCAGTGAGGACATCTCTCTGAACTCTTTTTAGGCTTCCTCTTCTCACTGCCATCCTGTTCTTTCAGAATCGAGTTATTTCATAGTGGGTTAGAACTGCGATAAGACCAGAAAAAGGATGTGACTCTAGCCCTGGGGCAGGCAGGGTAGATGGACGGGCTTATGGCTGTGTGGGAGTGGATGTCTTCTTGTGGTCTTGCCCTAGCGTGCTGGCAGAAAACTGCTTTCTGAGCAGGAATTGGATCTCATTTCCTCTTACCTCTGCACTTTTGCTTCTCTTTCCACTGTTTTGAGTCTAGATAATATTCAAGCCCTTGGGCCCTGTGACCAAGTAACTGTGAATACACAGTATCAGCTACTTTTTTAAAGCAACAGTGTGAGACACAGAAAACAAACTAGATTCTGCAAAGGATCTGAAGACCTCACAACACACGCAGTGTGTCCTAGGGAAGGAAACTGCCGAGTTTCAGACAGGTGGCTGTGTTTGAAGCTGGGTGTGAAGGCTACCTAGAGTTTCGGTGGGTGGAGGTTAGAAGTAGATGTGGTAGGTGCAGGCTCAGACTGTAACCGAAGATGGTGTCTGGTGTTTCAGAAATACTCCATATTCCTGATTGATTGCACAAGAAAGCAACTTCTTTTTTTAAACCCAGGGGGAGTATTGGAATCCCCAGCTAGGGAGAGAGCTACTCCTGACTAAGTGCCAGGAAGAACTAGTGATGTGGAAATGCGGAAAAGTGCTGGGAACACGGCTTGCCAGTTACCTCAGAGGAGGGGCATGGATGCTGGTGACTATGCACCTGGACCAGTTCTGGATGGCAGATTACAGGACTGCATCTAAGCAGGGCAGAGGCAGGAGAGAGGTGGGAGGGTAGGTGGGAGAGTTTCTGGGCATCTAGGGATGATAAGGATGGATGCCCTGTGAGGCTCATGTGCATTAGCGATGTAGTGAGGGCCAGGTATGGGTATGTAAAGCTCTCTGGGGGCCTGCAGGCCCCTCCTTCCTGGGAAGCAGTCTCAACCCCTCCATCCTTAACTGGACGTGTGGTGGTGTGCTGGGAGAGCCTCCTCTCCCCTTCTGCGGTTAGCCCTAAGCCTCCACCCTCAGTGCCTCTCTCCTCTTCCTCAGCAACAACCTGCAGTGCTTCACGGTGCGGTGCAGCGCAGCGGTGGCCCGAGAGGACGACCCCTACATGGACACCACCCTGAAGGTTAGGACTGGCTTTGGTGACAGTGAGGCCCAGCGTCAGGAGTGTGACACGCAGGCTGGCCTGGGACCAGGCCAGGAAGGGAGGCTGCTGGTTGTCTTTCATACAGACATAAATACTAAGCATTTGTGATTTGTGGTAGAGTTCACAATTCGTAAGATGGCTTTGCAAACATCTCACTCAGAATTTAATTCAGTTTTTTAAAGCTCAGTGAGGAATTTGTACAGTGTAAGGAGGGCAGTTTATGACTATATTATAGTACAAAATTTCCTCACAAATATTTGTGGCAGTTGTATGTATTAACAAAGTAGCATATGCGTAAACAAAATATAATATACTCCATACCCCACAAGAGGTATTAAAATAACTTATTCATACTATCCTCAAATATGTCTATCATTCTTTTGTTGTTTTTCAAGCTTCCAACAACAGTCTTCCACAGTTAGTCTAGTTAATGGATATGCTAGATCAATAACTGCACTTTCAGTGAGACACACCATGCTTATTCTCAGGAAAGCACCAACCACAAAATCAATGAAGGCAGTTTTATCATCTGACCTTGTATTTCTGTTCTCCAAAATAGACTCATAGTTACTCATCTGTGCTATTTCACCTCTAAAGTACAAGCTATTTGAGTGGATATTTGTTATGAATGTACATGCAGTGAGAAACCCCCAATTATGATGGCCTGTTTGTCAAAAGTTAGTACACCTAGAAAGCCTTTTCTAGAAAAATAAGTGTTGGTGATGATGGTTAAAAGCCAGCTTGAGCATCTTCCCACAGTACTGTGGTTTGTGGGTATTGAGAGTGTGGTCTCCATCCTCAGAGCCTTGCGTTGCTATAGCTTGTCCTGGCTTTGTGTGGCTGCCCCAGGGTGGGACCAGAGTCACATGTTTCCTGTGCCTTTCTCATTCTAAGATAGGCACTCAGTCTTTCCAGTGAGAGCTGACTTTAAAAATCAGGTTTATCTCCCTGGCGAAAATGAAAATGCAGCATTCTTTATCCTTCTGGTCTTGCCCTTAATTTTAAAATAAGAGTCAGGGTACCCACTGGACTGAAAAAGTCATCATACCATATCCTCCTAGAGTCCCTTAAAACCAGTGAGAAGGAAGGAGAGGGGGAGAGAGGAGCAGTGGCAGCTGGTGGGGAGACGCCATGCTGAGGCCTGCAGAGGAGAGAGCGGGAAGGGCCCTCCTCCCGCTTGGCTCCTCTCCCTGCATCCCCGCCCCCTCACCAGAAGGGTAGATGGCTGGCTGTGTGTACAGTCAGCAGTTCACCTGCTGAACCAGACCTGAGAGCCATGGTGTCCAAAAACATTTCACAGCCTGAGCATGAGCCAGAGCACCTGCTGCTGCAACATCTTCCCTTTCCCTTGAGGCCCTGCGTCTCCACCAGATCAAGGCCTCCTTAGCTATTTTAAGATAGGAAGGTTTTAAGATGGTTTTGGCAGCCACTTGGATGAGAGGGCTGATGGAGAGGGCCTCAGGGAGAGAACAGTTAATGCCCGTATCATTTTGTGAGCTCGGTTGCAGCCTTCCCCCTTCTGCCCTGATCGGTGTCCTCCCTCCTGGAGCTGAGGGTCACATGCACAGGACAGCAGCCTGGTTCCTCATGCCCTGGCACACCTGCCCGTTAGCAGCCCAGGTTTCATTCACACCCAGGACTACCGGAACACACGCCCATCCACAAGGAAGCAGTTAGCACTTTGCATGCCTTAGAATGTCCTGTCATTGTGGCTCGCTTTGCCGAGAACCTCCGACTGCCCCCAGCCAGCCTTCGTGAGAGGGGATTTTGCTGGGCACAGGAGAACCCTCCAGGACTGCTTTTCCTGAGGGGTCCACAGAGCTCACTCTGCCCAGTTCCCACACTTACGTTTTCTCACTGTACAAGTACTGAGGTGGTTGGTTGATTGACTGACTGACTGACATATGGTTAACTATGTAAGTTTAGATAACTCCACTCTCTTAAGAATAGCAATGTGGATTGGGGGAGGGGGAGTTTGATTTGGTCAGGTGAAAGCTCTTGTGATTTCCCCTCCTCAGGCTTGCCCACCTGTGAGTATGGATGTCTGTGCTTTAAGAATACAGCTTTTCATTGGTTTGAAAGCCATCTGTCACTTTAAAAACCACATCATACTTCTGACCAAGGCAGACCCTGAGGCCACTGAGGAGAGAAGAGAGTCACCCAAAAGGACTCCGTAAGTACCCCATGCCCCACACACGCCTGCCTGCTTCCGGAGTGAAGTATAGCTGGCATATTTTGTATTTATCTTACCTTACCATTTTTAAATGAAAATGTGGAATGATAGATGATTTTTTCCATTCTTTTTTGATGATTTTTTTTTCAATGATTTTTTCATTCATTTTCCAGAGAAGGTACAGAAGGGTCTAAAGATCTCTATAATAATGTTTAACCATCTACCATGGGTCTTTTAGAAAAAAACAAATTGCAAAATAGTTTCACAGGCCGGGAATGTGGTTTAGTGGTAGAGTGCTTGCCTAGCATGCATGAAGCCCTGGGTTTGATTCCTCAGTACCACATACACAGAAAAAGCCAGAAGTGATAGAGTGCTAACCTTGAGCAAGAGAAGGTCAAGGACAGAGCCCAGGCCCTGAGTTCAAGCCCCAGGACTGGCAAAAAAAAAAAAAATGGTCTCAGTAGTCAAGCACAGTGGCTCACATCTGTAATCTCAGCTATTTGTGAGTCTAAAATGGAATGAATCATGGTTCCAGGCCAAACAAGGCATAAATATTTGTGAGACCCACATCTCTACCAATAGAAAGCCTGTCAGCTCATCTGCGTCCAGTTTGCAAAGGCATAAATGTGACACACTGTTGGAAAAGAAGGATGAAAAAATAAAACACTTGAGGGGAGCTGTGGCTCAAGTGGAAAAGAACCTGCCAAGCAAGCTCAAAGCCCTGAGTTCAAACCCTACTATGATCAGTAGCAATAACAGTAATAGTAGTAATAATTTCAGTAAAGACAGTATTTTAAACCAATTTAGGATATATTTTTCTGTGTACTTAATGGGACTCCTTTTGAATTCTTTGCTTTACCCTGTAGTTACATTTTTTTATTCAAAGGTTGTTTTCTGTAATAGCAAGATAAATGACTAAGTGTTTGTAGTGCCACCTTCATGGTTTATGTGCCTGTTTGTCTTAAAATACAATCACATGTGTGCCGCATCAGTCTCTAACGGGAAGTGAGGACTCAGTTCTAGCCCAGCAGTGCTTCTGTTTGCTGTGAACACTTCTACACTGGGAATGTAGTAATAGGGAATATAATGTAATTGCAGGGAAATGAGGAATAGCATCACAAAGGTAATCTGTGTAGGGAGGAGCCTATACTGTAATACAGTGTATCTCAAGGATAGCATGAGTTTTTACTTTTTTTTTTTTTGAATCTCACTATTTATGCCAGGTTGGCCTTGAGTTTTCAGTTCTCTGGGTTCAGCCTCCGGGGTGCTGGAATTAGAGCCTAAGTGTTTGCTTTTGAGTTGTTTGTGTGCATTGTTTCTATACAGTCACTAGTCAGAAAATGTGTGCACAGAATTCATTTGATCAAAAAATTTGAAAGTTCTTATACTGTTAGGAGAATACGGGGGGGGGGGGGGGGGGAGCAAGAGATAAGACACTGCCTTACGCAGATTAAAGGCTCATGTGGTCCTGCAGGTTTTTCCTGGCGCATCTGAGCAAGCTCTTTCTGTTCACATGTGTGGTGCAGAGCCTGCTGAGCTAGGATCACCTTTGCGGGAGAAGGTCTGCGCTCAGGCACTTTCAGAGCTGAGAATAGCACCTGTTTGGAGCTGACAGCCCCTCTGAGAATGCTTATAAATCGAATCAGAAGCATTGAACTACCAATATGTGATAGAACAGTAAATGCTGTAGGCCTATAGAGTACTGTGACGAAATCAGCTCTGCAGCCACTCACTGGAGATACGTCCTGTGCTTTCAGAGCTGTATTATCTTCTAGTACCCAATGTTTACCACTCAGAACTGCAATGTATGAATAATGTTTCTTGCCTTAAAATTCTCGGTCTTTTGTTTTGCTTTTAGTTCTAGGAAAAATACCAGTGTTCAGATGAGGAGGCCTCCAGGAGCCGGGCCTGGGTGGAATGTCTATATCGTGGATACAGTCCCACCAGTGCAGCTCTACAAGGAAATGGTACTTCCTCCACCTTCTCCCCTTGTAGAAGTGGACAGTGGAATTGACTATATTATCACAGCTTAGGAGGCCACACCCACCCCAGAGCCATCTCACTGTGGAGTGTGAATTCCTGCATCACCTCTGCATGTTCACTGCTTCCGACATTTGAGGAGTCACTGAAACTGAGATGTCTGCCCTTATTCATACACACTCTTCTACCATTGTCCAAGAGCGGGCCAACTTCAATAGTCCTTGACTTTGAACCCCAGCAGAACCTGCTTTAAACGTTGCCTGTCTGGTCCTGGCATCTTAACTCTGACAGTCCCTTTGGCTCCTCCCATCGCTCTCTTCATGCTTAACTGCGGTCTGAGGTACCATCTGGCTGAGCTGCCCACTGACGTGTGAATACACTGATGGCTTCAGGCTAGCCCTTGGGGCTTCAGAAATGGATGTAGTAGAACAGCCTAAACCACCAGTTGAAAATAGGTGGCACCCAGTCTCAACTCCAGAAACCATCACATCCCAGAATTTCCTTACAGAAGTTAATACTATCAGTATAGCATGTTCATTAGCCTCACCAAATTGGGATCAAATTATTACTATTATTTACATTATAGTATAAATTGGGCCTTCCTTCCCTGACACTTAAAGCTGTTTAACAAGGTACTATTTATCATCATGTATAGATTTAACTGGCCCATAGGTTTTGGAGTAAAACACTACCCAGCTAAGGCTCTAATAAATGCTTTTTTCTTTTTTACTTTTAGTATTTAACATGCCTAGGCATTATCTTGTAAGCCCAACGTGGATTAAGGACAGAACTGGGCAGCCACATGATCTGTTGGTCATCCCCACTCCAGGTGGACTACAGTAACACGTACAAGACGGTGAGGACGCAGAGCTGCATCCACCTCCTCAGCGAGGCTCACCTGCTTATCAGAGCCGCCCTCATGGACACCCAGCAGCTGGAGCCCGGCGAGAGAGCAGAGCTCATGGAAGCGTTTAAGGAGAGCTGTGGGCACCTCGGGGACTGCTACAGCAGGTCTGTGGTATCCCTAGGCCCTCAGACCCCGGCCTTCCCCCGGGCTGCATGCACTCCCTCCCTCTTCCTTCCCTAGTAGTTACCGGGTCGGTGAGGGGACACGAGCGGATGAGAGGGGGGGCTGGTTCACAGTCCTCTCGTTTCTCAAGCACCTGTTGAATCCAGACAGAGTGCCAGGTGCTGTGCTAGGCCTAGAGATGCCAAGACCACTGGCTGTGCCCTGTCTTAGAAGAGGAGCAGTTCGTCAGACAAGCAGTAGAGTCTCCAACTCATGACTTCGTACCTACTTAGGAATTGCTGCTGTTTGTGGCGATGGGACGGCGCGCAGTGAAGCTCCCTGAGAGACAAGCCTGCTCTGTTCAGCGTGAGCTTAGAGGAATCAGCTGCAGAGTGTCACTGGTGCTTTGACGGCACCAGGCACCCCAGGACAAGCAGCAGTTTTTATTTCACATGTGAACAACTTGCACATTTTTCTATTTAGTTTTTTCAGAGGTGTATATGGACTATGGGATTGGTTACAACTTAATGAAGCACACTTTTCTTACCAATAAACACCATATTTTAGAGGCACCTCATGAATATTAAAATTCACTTAGTTAATTGATTGCTTTTCCATTTTTATTTAGGGGCCAGAAAAAGGAAACTGCATTAATTAGAATGACAGTAAAATAGTACTTAGTAGTTTGTTCCAGTTACTAATGGCAGGAGATGGTTTTGGTATTTTCTGACTTTGTAAAGCATGACTTGTTTTTTACTGGATGTGTTAGGAACAGGCTCAAAACTTGCTAATTGGAGGCTTTTGTATTTTTTTTCCTGTAAGGCTTGCTACCCAGCATGCCCACCTGGCCCTGCCATACTACAAGATGTCCAGTTTGTCTCTGGCTGAAGTCCTGGCCCGTGTGGACTGGCCCGAAGATGAATCACAGAAATATGAGAGGGGATTAATCTTTTATATTAATCACTCACTTTATGAAAACCTGGATGAAGAATTAAGTGGAGTGTGTATACTTTTCTATGTTTGTTTATAGCTAATATTGTTAACTTTCCATTTTAGTAATTTATGTAATAGTATTTAGGTGGCAAGTTATTAATATTATCCTTCCTTCTTTTCCTAAAAAAGAAAAAAAAAATCACATGCCTTTAATGATCATAGTTTAAAGAACTTAGAGGCTTTTGTAGTTATGCAGGCTTGGAGAGTTGGTTGGTCCATGGCGGTTGAGGAACCAGCGTGGTGACTGGAAAATGGCTCCCTTTGTGATGCAGAATGTGGCTTTGCTTTCCTGTGTCTTGTGCTGCCTGCAGCCTTGACTGTCCAGCCTCCAGTCCAGGCAGCGCTCACTCGCAGAACCTGGCCTGGTGGCATTAAGGCTTGTTTGGCCTTTCTTATCCTTTAAAGGTCTCTGGAAATTGCAGTACCCATTGCTTTGATGTTTTGAGAGAAATGAGATCACCTCATCCAAATTACTTCTTTAGGTGGATTTTAAATTATAGGTGTTTTTGCTGCCTTTGTTGCTTTCTGCCGGCGGCCTGACCTCTCATTCTTGGTTGGTGCCCTCAAAGGAATTAGCAGCAAGAGTGGCTGAGATGTTTCGAGTGGCTGAGCCGAAGCAACTGCCTCATATTCTCTGTAGCCCTTCCATGAAGAACATTGACCCCTCGCTTGCCTGGAGCTGCCTGAGGGGCCTGGACACCTGTGGGTTCTCCTCCGTCTTAGTCACCCTGACCAGGGCAGCAGTGGCTCTGAAACTAGGAGATCTCGACTTGTACAGAAAGGAGATGCGAAGCCATACAGAGGTACAGTGCCCTGCCTACGCAGAGGGGGTGCTGTGTGGGTATGGGCGTGGGTGTGGTCCATATGCTGTCTCTGAGGGCTTTTTTCTGCTTAAGGCTAGCACTCTACCACTTGAGCCACAACTTTTTGGTGGTTAATTGGAGATAAAGAGTCTTTCCTGCCCAGGCTGCCTTTGAACCTTGTTCCTCAGATTTCAGCCATCTTAATAGCTAGGATTGCATGCATGCAGCTAACTTACATTTTCTTCGTTGTAATGGAAAGCAGATCTAAGGAAATGATCCAAGTAGGAATTTAGGTCTGAAAAATACAGGAGAAATATCAGCAGCAGATATTCCTCTGGCTGTCTTAGTAGCATTTGGAGCACTATGCCTGCGTGAAGGGTGCTCTGGGCTCTGCCTGGAGCAGATAGTCTGACCTGGCCTGAGAAAGATGGTGTGGTCACTGAGAACAGCAGCGTGGTGTCCGTTTAAGTACAGCACAGAGGACATTAACTATGAGGCTTAGAACCCAAGCACCTGTAAAAACCCCTCCACTTAGAAAGTTACAGGTGCTGTATTGTCAGGAGGGCTGGACTTCAGATGGTAAGACTTAAGGAGGAAGGCCGTGTCTCTTGGTGGAGAGGCCATTTAGGGATGTGAGCCCAAGACGTTAGTCATTTAAGGGAAAGGGGCTAAAGGTTATGTTGAACCTCCTGTCATGTCCAGGGCCTGTCCTGCACCCTTGATTATGTTAGCTTGTTTAGTATTTAAACAGGAAGAGGTGCTGTGGCTCAAGTGGTAGAGTGTTAGCCTTGAGCTGAAAAGCTCAGGGAGAGCACCCAGGCCCAGATTTCAAGCCCCACGACCAAAAAAGGGGGGGGGGGCAGTATTTAAACAATATTTAAATATTTAACAAAAAGCTAAATAATACTGTAAAATAGTTGGAGTGTAGAGGGAGTATGGGGTGAACGGGTCTATTGTCCTAGGTACTGTCCCTGAGATTTTGTTTTCCTGCTCAAGGCAAGTACTCTACCACTTGAGCCACAGCTCCATTTTTTGTGGTTAGTTGGAGATAACAAGTCTTTTTGCTGGTTTTGAACCTTGTTCCTCAGACCTCAGCTTCCCACATAGCTTTCATGCATGAAGCTAGAGAAGACAACAAGACAGAGAGGCAAATCACACAGGTGGCCAGTGGATGAGGTAGAGTTGCACCAGTCAGCTCCAGAGTCCATGTGCTTCCAATGATCACAGGCCCATCTTTCTCCTCTCCCTCCCTCTCTCCCTCCCTCATCTCTCTCCCTCTCCCTCTTCTTCTTCTCCCTTCCTCCCCCTCTCCCTCCTTGAACTCAAAGCCCGTACACTCGTACACTATCCCTAAGCTTTTTTTGCTCAAAGCTAGTGCTCTACTACTTTGAGCCACAGCTCTATTTCCAATTTTCTAGTGGTTAATTGGAGATAAGAGTCTCAGGGACTTTCTTACCAGTCTAGCTTAGAACTGCAATCCTCAGATCTCCGCTTCCTGAGTAGTCAGGATTACAGGTGTAAGCCACCGGTGCTTCACTATGACTTTGCTTTCTAAAACAAGAAGACATTCTTTACCACTCACCAGTGAGCTATTCTAGTAGGGTGAGCAAGCCAATATCAGGCTGTCTATTCTGAAAATGGAACTCTAAAACATGATGCTTCTTTCCATAATTTTGAAAAGCTTAAGATATAGTCTTAAAGCCCTAAATAAAACCTCTCTATAGATCTAGGACATCCTGATGTTGAGATAAGTTCTAATGATTTACATAAGGCAGTTAATGATACCCTTCTTGGTATAGGAACTAATCTTTGTAGTTAAAGAAAAAAATTGTGTTTGAGTCATCAGGTAGACGCTCCTCGTCTCCTTTGTCTTCTGCAGATGCAGTTGGTGTGTGGCTTCATTCTGGAGCCTCGGCTGCTGACTCAACAGAGGAAGGGGCAGATTGTCCCTACCCAGTTTGCAGCTCACTTACAGGAGACCCAGCCTGGACTGCTGGTGGCGTCCATCCTGGGCTTGCAGAAGAACAACAAAATTGGAATTGAAGAAGCAGATTCTTTCTTTAAGGTTTGTAATTTAATGAACTGAGTGAAAGAGGGAGAAGAGAAAAAGAACAGTTTCTCATCTGTTTATTGAAAAACAGACTTACATATAATTGGTCTGTCACATAAAAGCATGTATCAAAAGTATTTCTGGAGAAGCTCCATCCTTGCAACCTTGAATTGGCTTCTTATTAACAATGCCTAACTGTTCTCTAGCCTTGGCACTGAAACCAGGGGTAGGAATTACTCACCACGTGGCCTATATCATGGTGTGCCATTGTAAACACCAGCTGTTTATCTGAGACTGGCTTGTTTCTCTGTGTTCAAGGTGCTCTGTGGTAAGGATGAAGATTCAACTCCTCAGCTCCTGGTAGACTTCTGGGAAGCTCAGCTCGTGTCCTGTCTCCCAGATGTGGTTCTTCAGGAACTCTGCTTCAAGCTCACATCACAGTACATCTGGAGATTATCTAAGAGGCAGCTTCCTGACACCACACCACTTCGCACATCAGAGGATCTGGTAAGATAATGGAACTGGGCCTTCAGGGAGGCCCAGGCAAGGCACATAAAATAATCTACCTTCCTTTTTTTAAGGCCTTCATATTTTTAATTACTCATAGTTAAGTCTCGTTTCTTATCACTAGATATTTAAGCTAGAGTTAAAAGTGCATTACAACTGACTTGTCCATGAAGGAGCTTGGTCTTGCTAGCTCACAGGTGTAATCCTAGGTAATCAGCAGGCTCAGATCTGGATGATGGCACTTCCATTTGGGCAGAAAAGTCCATGGGTTCATCTCCAGAGTAACTAGCAAAAAGTATGGCTGCAGGCATGACTCGAGGTGGAGTACCAGCCAGGCAAGCAAGCTGAGCCAAGCAGGAGATTGTGATGGGAATTGCTCACATTTGAAAAGGTTTTTTTTTTTTTTTTGTCTAAGCTCCTGGGGTTCCTTGTCACTCACAGTGAGTTTGTGGAAGAAACATTACCTCCCAAATAAAGTAGCATAAATAAAAATTACTTCTAATATTACTGTTAGCTCTTTTTGAGTATAATTGCAAAAGTGATATTGCTTACTTTTGCTCTGTAGCATATTTTAAAAAGTTTAGAATATAAGGAAATGTTGCGTATAGATTATGTAGTATAGAAGCAACAGGCGGAAGAACATTCTGAAGGCTTCCCACCCAATACAGCCCACACAAGTATGATATGGACAATGGCATTGATGACTACCTTTCTTTGAATGAAGAGGGTTTTGTTGGGGAGGGAGGGGTTGGTGGTGTCTATTTTGTTTATGACAAATTTATTTTATGTTTCAGATAAATGCCTGTAGTCATTATGGCTTAATCTATCCATGGGTTCATGTCTTATCACCAGATTCCTTAGCTGATAAAAATTACAGAGAAGACCTTTCAAAATTACAGGTAAATAGAAATGTCTCTTTTTCTTTTGAACATGCACAGTAAGATGTATTATATTTGCTTTGGTGAGCCATCAAATGCCCTATTTAGAACATTGCATTTGGGGGACTAAATCTAAAATGAGGCGCACTCAGGGACTTTGGAGGAAGCTTCTGCCTCTGTGTGGAACTGCTGATGGGCAGGGTGTCCTCTACACACAGAACTAACTGACACACTTAACGTCATTGGGGAGCTTGTCAGTAGAGTTCCCTCAGAAGACTCCAAGGCCTATTTCACTTACTGCTTGAAAAGTGTAACTTGTGATGTTTTAAAACCAGTTTCAAATTGCATTGTTCTGTGGCTCCTCGCTTTCAAGCATGTGATCTGACTGAACTTTCCTGAATCCTTTTCCTCACCATAGCTCTTTATAGATGGCCTTCCACGTAGGGAGATTATCACCTTACTTCATCTTTGACACATTGTCGTCAATGTATAAAACGTGCAGGAAGCAAAGATACCAACCTTATTTTCCCGGCCATTCCTTGGTGGATGTTTGGAATAAAATGATTGCACTGGCCAAGAATGAGTAATTAATGTTTCTTGTCCTGCTGTAAGTCTGAGACGAGGCTGAGCAAAAGAGATAAAGAAGTCACTTGACTCTTTCACAGGAGGGAGGAAGCATGGAGATTGTTTGGATGGTGCAATTGATAATATTAGATATACTTTAAAATTTAAACACTGGTAAAGTTGCTTTAAAAAAAAAGTACAATACTTTTGGCTGGGAAGGTGGCTCAGTGGTAGAGTGCTTGCCTAGCATGCATGAGGCCCTGGGTTTGATTCCTTAGTACCCTATACACAGAAAAAGCCAGAAGTGGTGCTTGGCTCAGGTGGTAAAGAGCTAGCCTTGAGCAAAAGAAGCTCAGGGACAGGGCCCAGGCCCTGAGTTCAAGCCCTAGGACTGGCAAAAAAATAAAATAAAGTGCAATACTGGTAAAGCTCTGAAATAATACTTCTGGCCAGCTGCATTGATTAGCCAAGCTCTGAACAATCACTGGCTTTCAGAATGCTGAATTTTATTTGGAGTTATATACAAAGTAGGTGGAAACACAGGACAGTGTGAAAGGAAAACCATCCTGGGAAGTCTGTTTCCAGTGCCATGGCTCTTCCAGAGGGCTCTCTGTGAGCCTGACTGGGCCTGGGTCTGATCGGGTTTTACAAAACCGGGGCATCTCTGAGTAGAATCTCCTATGAAGATTTTTTTTACTCAGCATTTTATCCTGAGTGTTTTCTCCTTAGAGAGTCTTTGACAATAGAACTCTGATAACACAATGTTACCTCTGTTGTTTAACTCACTCGCTCCTTACTGTTGAACATTGGATCTCTTAGGATTTTCAGTACTGAATACCGATGCATATGCATCTTTGACCATGAGTTGATTGCACCTTAGACTCATAAAGAAACACATTCCTTTTCATTTGTAGTCTGTCTAAAGTAAATTAAATGATAGTGTTTTTAAATGACTTTTCTATTAAGCATCAAAGAGGCAAATCAAAATTATTTAATTCTTCTGTCCTCTTAGACTTATTAAGTAAGGACCATATGCATAAGGCTCTAAAATTACATCATCTTTTTTTGTTTTGCAAGTAAGGTTTAGTCTCTTACAAAACTATGCTGTGTTGGTGCTTTTACTTTCTGATACCTCATCCCATAACCTTCTGCTTTTCTGTTCATAGTCTCTTATATGTGGTCCTTCATTTGACATAGCTTCCATTGTTCCATTCTTGGAGCCACTCTTGGAAGACAGTACTGCGGGCCTCAGTATCCACATTCTGTGTCACACGCGCCTGCAAGAGTATGAACAGTGCCTGGACACCCTGCTAGACAGGTGTCCGGAGGCTGTCATCCCCTACGCTAACCATGAACTCAAAGACGAGCACCGGGTATGTTTTCCAGATGGTTCAAACTTTGTGTTATGGGGTCTGGAATCTTTTTTTTTTTTTTTTTTGGGTCCGGTCGTGAGGCCTGAACTCTGAGCCTGGGCGCTGTCCCTCAGCTCTTCAGCTCAAGGCTAGCACTCTACCACTTGAGCCACAGCACCACTTCCAGCTTTTTTCTTTTTGCTTATGTGGTGCTGGGGAATTGAACCCAGGGCCTCATGCATGCAAGGCAAGCACTCTGCCACTGAGCCACCTTCCCAGACCTGGGGTCTGGAATCTTATCTGCAAAGCAGAACCATTTAGGCCACCTTTACAGGGATGTGGGGCTCAAGGCCTAGGCATGCTCATGCCCTGTGTGTTGAGTACTGTGAGGTGGTATTAATGGTCTGTTGTCATTTCAAAAAACCTGCTGTTTGGAGATTAAAAGTTAAGAAACCATGACGCAATTTTTCCCCCCGTGTGGTCTGTAGTCCGGCATTTTGCTGGTTAATTGGAGGTAAGGGTCTCATGGCATTTCCTGCCTTGCTGACTTCAAACTGTTCTAGGTCTCAGCCTCCTGAGTGGCTAGGATAATAGGCATGAACCATCGGTGCCCTTGCTCAAAGTCAAGTCTTTCATCCGATGATGTATTTCTGCCTTTTACGTCCCAGCACAGTCTTCTTGAGTATTGCCACTGAGGGCAAAGTGCACCAAACTAAAATTTTCTTACTTTTTCCTAAGATAGACTCTGTGGTGGAAAAAATTGCTTCCTGAACTTTTTCAGAGAGTGAAGTGTGGTGGAGAGAAGTTCCAGCTTCATCTGGCATCATTAAAAGGTAAATTCCCTTTAGAGCTTAAAGATAAATTCTAACTGTGAATTTGTTGAGGCCTTGACCTCACTTCATGCCATGTAGTGAGAAGAGAGAAGGAGAGAGAGAAGAGAGAGGACTTGTAGAATCATCTGGAAAGCTTATTTTCAGTTTTATATGGCCTCTGACCAACACATATGATACTTATTTACCTCTTCCACTTTCAGTGCTATTGTTCTTATAAATTAATACTTTCACGCATTTAAATTATCACATCATAGAAATTCATTAATATTTCAAAATACTTGAAGATACAAAATACTGACACTAGGACAGTTACAGCTTTTGTTGATGGTCTAGGTGCTTAGTTTGTTTCAGGTGGGGAGTTAAGCTCATTAAACACGATTGAAGACTGATGAGTTCTTCTAGGAGATAAAAGGTGTAAGAGGGTCACAGGGCATGGTGCCAGAATGTGGATGGAGTTACAAGGCCCAGTGGATGCTGAAACATTGTGCATAGGAGAGGGCATGTGCATCTGTTAAGTAACCGATCATGAAAATGATTAAAAATATGACAAATTCCTTCCCTCATCTGTTTTCGGTTTTGTTTTGGTACTGCAACTAAACTCAGGGTGGTTCTTGGGCAGGCAAGGTCTCTTTACCTCAGCCTGGTTGAGAGCTGTCACTAGAACACCTGTCTTTGTTGTTCAGAAGAAAAGCTAAATGGTAATAAAAAGAAATTGGTACTTACTAATGTGAAACTCTCATTATAGAGAGGATCTGATTTAGGAAAACAGTGTCTGAAAGTTAACAACATTTACTGTCTTAGTAAACTGTCCTTATGTATTAGCTGTATATAGTCCTAACATCAAAACAGCATTCAAATGATTGTATTTTTCTTTAGAGAATGCTAGAAATCTATTAAAAACAATGGAGCCATCCAACAGTGAAGTAATAACTCCAAATTGCATGTAAAATAAACTTCAAATGATTCTGGAAAGGCTTAATGAGGAAGTTGTTAAAAATCAGTCTGGATGGAGGAGCCTATTCTTGTTTTTATAATGACTCTTTTTTGTGTGATCTGATCAATTGAGTGATTTGGAGAATACTGGATGGGAGAACCAAGTTCTGACCCAGGTATCTTCCCCACCAGAGGCCTTGTCTGTCGTTGCTGTGGAGTTGGAGCTGAGGGAATTTTTGACCGTTCTCCCAGAAGATGGCGCAGCAGCATTTTTCTTGCCATACCTGCTGTACTGCAGTCGAAAGAAGCCACTGACTTGAAGGTAGCATTTAAAATCACTGGGTGCCAGGTACAGCTACAAGCACAGGGGGTTTTGTATCATGTCAGCATGTACCAGCCTCAGACATTTTCCGGACACAAACTTTACCATGGAGTGGTGACTGTTAGTTCCTTAATGTATGTCTGGCTCTGTTTTATGGTCCAGAATGTAAAAGCTTCAAGATAAGAATTCTTCAAAGAAGCCATACATTTTTAAAGGGGGGTGGTGACTTTGCTCAGGACAGCCTCAATTCAGGGCTGTGAAGACATGACAATCTTTCCACCCCGAGGATGCTTGAAGGAAATGTGTGTCACTCTAAGTGGCCCAGAATTTTATCTGCTCCAATTCTGAGATTTCTCTCCTTTTGTTGTTGTTGTTTGTAATTTTCTTTGAGAAAGATGTAAATATTTTGCCACAGTAAAAGAGTCTGAACTTTTATTTTCTTGTTACTTTTTTAACTTAGGTTATTTTTGTGCTCTGAGCCAAATGAAGGTCAAGTTTACAAAGCTGAGTTTTTTGTCTGGCTCTCAATATGTGTTGAATGTGTGTATGTGTGTTTTCAGCAAAACCTGTTTCTATTTGTTATTAATATTAACAAATGCTGTTTATTTTTTCAGCCAGAGTATATGTGAAAATAAAGAACTATATCATGATATCAGTCTTTTTATAGAAGCTCTTGTTAAAATTTGAGCCCTAAGTTCAGATCATTGATACTATATGTTGACTTCAGCTAAGGCTGGGCAAAACTTTTACTTTCTCTGTGTCTGGGACAGTATATTCTGAAGCCTTTCCCCATTGGCCTTTTCTTAGTTTATTATTCATTTCATTTTTGCCAGGTCTTGCTATAAGCATTGTCAGATGCCCTTCCCCAGATCCAGGTCACATCTTTTGAGCATCCTGTAGGTTTCAGCAAAACTCAGAGTGGCTTCTCTCTTGTTTGACTTTCCTTTCTACCCTCTGCACTTGGATTCACCAGAAATGAGGTCAGTAGCACATTAGAGGACTGTATGGGGGACAATGGTCGCAGACATGTCTGTGAGCCTTAATGGACAGCCCAGGGCCACATCTGGTCAGAATTGTTTTGAATGTGGTTTTGGAAAGTCCTCAGAATGTGGTGGTGGTGGTAGTGACCCACAGGTTTCCACAGGTGTCAGCTGCGTGTCATAGGACAGCTTGTCATCTTTCCATCTGTGACAAGGACACCCCCCACACACAAATGCAAGGCTGCACGGTTTCAGTCTTTCTAGAAATGTGTATAGCCGGTCCCATTCAGCAGTGTCACATACACTGTTAGGAACCAATGTCCTACCTCAGTTTTCCAATGGTCACTTTATGTCTTTCAGCCAGACTTGTACTACATAAAGAAAGAAATTTTAAGATGGCTACTTAAAATAGTGTAGTTCATATAGTAAAAAAAAAATTAGATGGTGCTTTTTGCTTTTAAAATGTTAATTTTAATCTCTTGTTCTCCTGGGTGCTAGTGGCTCATGTCTATAATCTTAGCTTCTCAGGAATCTAAGCTCTGAGGATCTTAGTTCGAAGCCACCCTGGGCAGAAAAGTCTCTGTGAGACTCTTATTTCCACTTAAAAACCGGAAGTAGGGCTATGGCTCAGTGGTAGCGCAATAGCCTTGAGCAAAAGCTCTCAGGCCAGCTCCCAGGCCCCGAATTCAAACCCACAACCAAAAATAAATAAAAAAGTTCCCTTGTTGTAGTAAGGCCTTAATTGGAAAATGAGTTCCTTCCTATGAGATTCTCATTGAAGCACTAATCAGGAGGGAGAAGGCTAGCAGAGGCCATCGCCAAGCTTCCCAGCCACGCAGCAAACCAGTGTGGTGGGGAGAAAGACATCTCTTCTTGATAGTCTTGCCAAAACACTGAACCCGGACCCCATGATGAGGGCAGACCCAGCATGTAGGACGTCCCGTGCAGTTGCTGACGGTACTTAGAGTGTGAAGCTCACAAAGCAGGAGGGACCCTTGTCGGGGAGGGAGACTTCAGACGCATCTTATCATACAGCACATGTCCTTGGGTTCTCGTATCAAAAATGCAAGTAAGGTGAGGGGTAAAATTTGAGAAAGGTCTTTTCATCCTTGTTATAGCTCTGCTGATCTTGACAATGGCATTGTAGTTGTACACAGGATGTTTTTGCTTTTAGGAAGTGCAGGTGTATGTGTTTACACAGAGATAGGCTGCTGTGCACTTTGAAGGAGAGCTGGAAGAAGGGAAGATAGCTGTGTGAGCATCACTTGCTAAGCACTCTTGCAGCTTTCTCTAAGTCTGAGATCATGTCCAAAGGCAATGTATACAATTCTATTTCATTGATTTCCTCTGTTCTTGAGTGTGTATTAAATGTGGGTACTTAGCTGGGAATGTAAACATATCAGTCCCTGCCAATGAGACTTTTAAAGGTAGGCCAACCCTTTCCCTGCAGAAGACATCTGATAGGTTATCTGACTGCCACAGAAAACTCATAGTCTAAAATAGTTCCTTTTACACTTGTCAGAGCTAAACAGACTAAACATGGCAGGATAGCCACAAATGACTGATGACCTTCCTTCCCTCCTTCATTCCTTGCTTCCTTCCTCCCCTCCTTCCTTCCTTCTTTCCTTCCTTCCTTCCCTCCTTCCCCCCTTCCCTCCTCCCTTCTCTCCTCCCTTCCTCCCTCCCTTCCTCCCTCCCTTCCTCCCTCCCTTCCTACCTCCTCCCTCCCTCCCTTCCTTCTTCAGACAGTTGTGTCATGGTGCAGAATATGAAAAGATCTTACTCTATCCTCGTGTATTTGCTTTTCTGTGACATAGTAGGCAGACATTTTTCTGAGATTCATAATTAATGTGATTTCCCCAAACTTTCATGGAACTTTGACTTAACGATAATTCAGAATGACAAACATGGCCCCCCATTTGCTGCCTGTAGTTCAACTATCTGTCATCCATCCCTGCTTTTAGTCCTATGCAATACTTTTTCTCTTTGAAAAAAAAGTTTTTCCCTAATGTGTATTTTCTTTACACTAGCCATTTGCTCCACAGTTTAGAAACCACTCTCCATTCTGTTAGCTGTTTGTCTCCCTGTTCCATATGGGAGGCCACAGTGTTTGGGGCAGGACTGGACTGTAGCAGCTCCGTCTGCTCGCCGGCATCTGCACACATGGATCCCTTGAAGGCCTCATGCCCCCTCGCGCTGTCTTTTTTCTGAGCAGGTTCATCCTTCTGTGTGGTTAACGTGCAAAGTTAGGTTCTTTGAACACTGTTCCAGTTGTCTTGCTCAACCTCTGACTGTGAAGTTGTTGATGCCAATGACTTTGAGGCTTTGACATTCTTTTTTATGGGGGGGCGGGAGGGGGTCCGGTTGTGGGGCTTGAACTCTGGGCCTGGGCGCTGTCCCTCAGCTCTTCAGCTCAAGGCTAGCGCTCTACCACTTGAGCCATAGCACTACTTACGGCTTTTGTCTTTTTGCTTATGTGGTGCTGAGGAATCGAACCTAGGGCCTCATGCATGCAAGGCAAGCGCTCTACCACTGAGCCACCTTCCCAGCCCGAGGCTTTGACATTCTTGTGTTGTAGTAACTACTCACTGTAGAGAGGGCTTTGGTGAAAGTAGCCCATCCAGAAAGAAGGTACTGGTGTCCGACTCAGAAGAAGAACCTGAAACCTCATTTGCACTAATGATTACTCAAGTTGTTTTTGAGTCTTGAAATTTGATTCTTGGGCTGAAGCTATATACCCCAGTGGTAGCATGACCTAGCATGGGCAGCTCACATAAGAACAGACACGTAACTTGCTTCTGTATTTCCTTCTGCTTATTTGCTCCTTTTGATCCTCATTTGAAGAAGGAAGCACAGAGAAACATTCTCTGCATAATTTCCTTGTGTTCAGTCTGCCAGTTTCTAGTTTCAACAGTTCTGACTGGAAAAGTCCAGGAAAGAATGAAGCCTGCAGCCATGGGGCAGCTCTTTCACGCTGTGCATCTTTCACAGGGTAGCCATAGAAAGGCTCTTCATTTTCTTGCATGTGTGTGTGTGTGTGTGCATGTGTATGTGTGTGTGCACATGTGTGTACAGGTGCGCACGCTTTGTGTGTGTGTGTGTGTGTGTGTGTGTGTGTATACAGATGTGTATATGTACCTGGACCTGTGGAGGCATTGTGCAGAAGTCAGGGACTAGGATGTTTGCATTTTAGTTTTCTCTGGGTGATTCACAGTTATGCTTGCTCTTCTTGCAAGCCCAGGAAGACTTTGCTTTTCTTGATTGACTTGAATTTATATGGCTTATTTGGGATTGTTTTGGACTTGTGTTTTATATGAGCTCCCGTCTAGAAAAAGTCAGTGTTTTATGTTAAGAAGGGAATTCTGTAAGTCATGGTTTGTCTGATGTGACTTCTCCCTTACTCCCGCTTTAGGTATAGTGAACACTGCTGTGTCATGTGACTTAGCCCATGCTCCAGCTTTAGTTACCTGTACGTTGCTGTGTCCATTTAAACCTTTACACACGCCCCTGCACTGAAGGGGGCAGACCCTCAGAAATGAGCAGTGATGAGGCGGGAAGTTAGGGCGGCAGAGTTCACAAATGCTTCAGACCAGGGAGGCACTGAAGCAAAACGGCTTCCATTTTAACATTGGTGACGCATTACTCACGGGCTTGCCTCCTGATTCTCACCTTCACTTGGCAGGACGGTGTAGGTCGTTGCCATCCCAGCGTGGATATGATCGGTCACATGACAGTGGAGAAGCCAGGTCCCGGGTGTCTGGGGAACCATTTCTAGGGTCTGATACGTCCCAGGGAAGACATCGAAGACATCAGAACTGTAAATGCCCCTGTGCTTGAGTACAGAATGACAGCTTATGGGAATGTTGGTTCAGTAGTCAAGACTAGAAAAATGAATACATCTGTTTTGTTTTTTGAGCCCTGCCCCTTCTGTGTGAACACAATGACCTAGTCTTCCCTCCATACTGTGAGTCATCACAGGCTGTCAGGGGAACTCGTCAGACGGGTCTTCTCAACGGGGTTCTGGCTCCCTCCATAAGAGACTGCAGCTACGTGGGGAAACTGAGGTGGGGGCTCATGTCCACCCAGCCTCACCTTCGTCTAGTCTCTTGTCTCTGCAACTGGAGGGCAAGGGGAGCAGTACAGGGGCAGAGCAATAAAGGAGGCCCCAGAGAAGCCAGAAGCCAGTGTCAGCCAGGATGTCTCTGTGGGGCACGGGATCTGCACTCATTTCTGCACACAAAATGGAGGATCTGAAACTCTGCCCAGGAGAGGGTATGTTTTTGTGAAACAAAATGCAGTGGACTTGTTGTATAGTAGATGTCGTGGACAGTGCTTTCTTTGTATGTTATGCATTTTGCACACTAACTCAGAAAAAGAAAAATATTGCCAAAAAGGCCAAGGGTTTGAAGCATCTGAGAGAGCTCTGGAAAGATTGCCGTCTGGGGACAGCACTGGTAACATTTGACTGCCTGACCAGGGTAATGGCAGTCTTGTGCTGATCTCTGGCCTGCCACCCATCATCGCTGGACAATTAGCAATTCCCTCCACAGTCCTTACTCAGAAGCAAGGGAGTCAAGCACCGCATGAACCCAAGGTGATCTGCAAGTCCAGGGCAGAGCCCAGTGTAGATGGGAAACTGACAGGCCCGTTGGAATCATTGTGCCCTCTACCACGAAACTCTGTTTCTATTAGTCTCTCTAAGGAACATATCTCCTGTACATTAAATCATGTTCCAGTAGAGCAAGACAGACTGCGGTGGAGGCCCCTTACCTTGTATCGGAAGCTGTGGCCGTGGAAATGCACCGTGTGCAAATCTACCTCATTGCCCAGCCCCAAGAGGTACCAGCTGACGGTGTCTCCCACGTGCATGGTGAGGCCATGCAGGTTCCCAAACATTCTCCCGTTGATGCCTGAGGGAAGGCACACAACACCTTTCAGGACAGCTTAAACCAGTGATTGTTTCACAGAAAATAGGACTTTTAGGTTACATATGAAGAATCTTTTTGCTATCAAAGAACTTTATATAAATGCTTCTCAAAAGTATTAACCCTGACTGGATTTACTCTAAAAGTGAGATTTTGGAACTGGGAAAGAATTGGTAAATGCTTTTAAACAAACCCCCCTTTCTTTTGTTCTGAACAGAATCCTGCTGCTCTGAGTGAGTAGTTTTTAAATGAAAACAAAGGAGTAGCCCCCAACCTAATTCCCTTTTCAAGAAAAGGGGTTGGTAAAGGAGAAGACTGGTTTAGAACAATTTCTCTTACCATGCATTTTATTGCTTTCTATGAATCCATCATCATTTTTGTTTACTTTCTCGGGGTGATCAGAGTATGTTTGGATGTTGTCATCTAAGTACCACGATTCATTCTCATCAAACACCAGAAACAGAAGCGAAAACTCCAGTTTCCTCGTGGGATCGAACACGTTCGTGCCATGTTTCCGACATACAATCAGTGGGCCAATTAATCCACTGTAGAGATCCTGAAAAGCAACATAGCCATCCACTCTCCTCACTGTGGAGGCCAGGACTTCAGAGGACTAGACGCTGAAGTCCTAGCCATCCTTGCCATGGAGGTGGGGACTTCAGCCAACTGGACCCCAAAGAGCTGATTTAAGGACTAGACTTGCCAGGGGAATAACTTCGTCCTTGAAGTCGTTAAATTGATCCCGTAGTGAACAGGAGGTAGGTTGTATGGGTGATGCAAAAGAAAGAGGCTTTTAGAGACCTAGAATTGACTTTGCTAATGCCCCACCCAAATACACAGTGTTGATTTGTTTATTCCAAAAGCTCAGGGACTTGAGCATGAGTGGGACATAACTCAGTTCCTAAACAACAAAGATAAGGGGCACAGAGGCCTTGCCATCTCTGAGCTCAGTCCAATGGGACAGTAACAGACAATAAGGGATGAAAACATGAAAAAGATAAGGGAAGCTGTCAGCTATACTGGAAGCACACAAAATGCTAATGAGCCCAAAGGAGAAAGGCTCGGGAAGCTGGAGTAGATGGGGGTCAGTAGTGGCACGTTAGGTTTTGTACCGCACAAGGGGATTTCAGATTTTTGCCATTAAAATTGGGAGAAAGGGTGGCAGCAGATTTGCATTTTGGTCTAATTGTGGTAAAGAGAGGAAGGCCTGGAGGTGAGGAGCTGAGAAGAGGGGCCCTGGCCACAGTGAGGCAGACTACAAGAACTCAAAGCTACGGGGATGGAGAGAAGGAAGGGGGGGGGAATCGCCTGCATAAGCCTGAGGTGTGGGCTAGATGCTTGGTAGGTCAGAGCTCCCGCTTAAATGAGTGAGTAGACGGCACGGGGGCCATTTATCACAACGGGAAATACAAGGGAGTCTGTGTTGGAGCTGCCGAGCTGCCTGTGGAGACTGCTCCTATAGGAGTTTGGAGGGTGGGTGCTCAGGAGAGAGATTTGGATGAGATGTTCCCCTGGAACAATCTGGGCGAGCCTTTGGATCTTGTGGGTGTGGTTGAGGGGTTGGGGCTTTGAAGGCGATGCCTTCAGTTCTGAAGCCATATACCTCAGTTCTTTGAGTTTAGTGTGTTTTCATCTAAAAATGGAAAAAATGTTATCAGTAGGCATAACTATATCTTTAAAAGCAACAGACCAAAGAAGTAAAACTGAGTAGCTAATAAGGTTGTCTTGGAATTTTGACAGGAAAACTAGCCTCGTCTGCCTTGAAAATTGTCACAGAACAAGTGGTTTGAAGTTACCTTAACTCGGTCCACAGTGGAATAGTAAGCCCATGGTATGCAGGCCGCGTCCTCCGGTCCACCGCCAGCTCTCTCTGGGACTTCCCACACATACGTTTGAACTTCCCCTAAATCCATCGAGGGGTAGTTATCTGCTTTTATCTGGATCAGTGACCTTTGAGCTCTGTCATCTGAGAGAACTGGGGCCTTGGCACCCAGAAACTAGAAGTGTCAGGGTAATCCGTTTTTGACACTAATAATACCGAGAGTTCTTCCCTTGATTTCTTTGTTGTGTGTGGTATGTGTTGTGCCAAGACAACTGGCTCTGCCATGCACTTCCACCAAGCCAGGAAGTGGCCATTATCACATCACAGTGGGAAGAAAACTTCCCAAACCAGACTTACCTTAATTCTAAGTACATTTTTATTAGTATACATTTGTCTTTCAAATTCCCATGGCTTCTCCCTGGTTATGTCAGCCTCTCCACTACCTTCCCTCCCTCCTCCCTCCCGCCTCCCCCCTCCTCCCTCCTCCCTCCCGCCTCCCCTCTCCCCTCCTCCCTCCCTGTGAGCCCTCCAGTGTGTCCCATCCTGACACCTCCCATGCAGGTCCCTCCCACCCCTGTCCTTGGACAGTTGAGTCATCCCCTACATTGTAGGCCTCCACCAGCACCCAGTGATAAGTGACTAGAAACGCTGAGAGCTGCACCCACCGCCGCCACCGCCCCACGGGAGTACCTGGTTGTGTTGGAACCACAGTGGATCTCTGCGTCTTCACCCCATGGGCATGGATGGAGTAGGGCCTTGTCGCCATGTTTTTAAAGATAATTTTCACGGTGTCTCCAATATTTGCATGAAGTTGTGGACCTGATAAGAAAGAGACTTGTTGACCTGTCAGATCGAAACATCTAACGTGCTCATGAAAACAAAGATCAGGCAGCTTTGAGAGCTAGGCAGCTAGAGTCATCTTGTTATCGCTGTGGTTCTTTGCTGGCTGATAGAGTCTTGGATTTATCCTAGGGCCCGGAAGGAAACGGCATGAGATCAAACTCCAGATGTGGCTGGCTGTGAAGGTGGACCATGGAGTATTTCTTGTCTACAGTCTAGGGAGTTTGGGCCGGGCTCCCCACCAGGCCCTGGTCTGCTCAGGGTGAACTGCTTACAGCAGGCACTCTTGTTCCTGGGTTTGGACTTACAGGACTGTATGAGGGCCAGCCCTACGGGGTCCACCTGCTAGCCAGTCTTAGTTGGCCTGCTGTCTGATGAATTTCTGTTACCTTCCCCGGAGTGTCTCACTGAAAGGGCTGAGGATAACCCAGACTCGGAGGAACTCTGGCAACCAGAGTCATAGAGGCTCAGGAGTGGTGTCTCCAGGACCTTGGTTCCAGGAAAATTCCCAAGGCCAGCTTTGGTCAGGTTCACGTTGCGTCTTGGAGTGGCTCTGGGAAGCGTGAAGGGAGCGTGCTCTAGGCTCGTGTGTGGTCCCACGTCCTCACCCGTGTGCTGGGCGGTGTCGGGGTCACACAGTCTCACTTCGGCAGTAAATGTCTGTGTGCTTTTTGTTTCGCCCTTGTTTTCATTTTGATAGATGGGATAATAGGCTCCTCACTAAAACCTCAGTTGGATGAACACCAAATACAAATACTTTCTTCAGTTTATGAAATAATGCATTATCTCTAACAGAAACAAGTGGTGTTTTATTATCTATATTCTTTAGTAGATAAGCTCCTTGTTTTTAATCAAGTCATTGGGATTTGTTTTTTGTTTTTTGTATTTTCATGAGTAATAAAGACAAGAAAGTGAAATGTATCAGTGTGGAAAACTGTCCCTCATGATGCAACTAATGGAGGGAAGGGCGCCACCTACCCAGAATCCCCAGGTGCTCCTCCTCTGCTCTCCTCTCCACCGGGACTTTGAATGAGCTGTCGGTATATTGCCGATAGACAACTTTCTTGTACTTTGAGCCTATGTAAAACTCTTCCTTATCTAAAAATGCATTTGAGACACTTGAAAAAGAAAAATAATTCAGGTTAGCTTTGTGATGACACAAAAGACTAAAGTTTCAAGTTACAAAATTTTTTAAGTAGTTACGGTTTTGTTTGAAGCAATTATGGTAGTTTTTAATCATTTCCCATTCCATTTTTTTTAATGATTTTTACAAAGGGACTGGTGTAGCAAAAAGCCCACTTAGCTGCCCCAGGGGAGTCCTGGTCCTGGCCCTGACTTGCAGCTCACCACCTCCTGTTGGAGCTCCAGGGCTTCTGTTGTTTGTTTTAGTGTCCCTGTGGTTTGAGTCAGGCACCCCTCTAGCCCTTTTTTGCCCTGGTGATTTTTGAGATAGGAGCTCGCTCTCTGTCCTCACACGCACTGCGTCTTGCTGTAACTGGGATGCCAAGAGCCTGGCACTGGGCCACGCTGTGGGTCTAGAAGGCGTCTTGGGAACTCCTCTGCCCAGGCTGGCCTCAACCCAAGTCCTACCATCCTTGGCCTCTCCAGTAGCTAGAGTGGCAGGCGTGAGCTCCCAGCACCCACTGGAGCCCGGGTTCCTCTCCCCCTCAGATGAGCTGTTGGACAGGACCTCTCGACCGTGTCCTTAGGGTTTAAAACGTTAGCGCTCCAGAGCCCTCTGGTCACAGCGGAGCTTCTGGCCAGTGGGAACTGAGGTGACACTTTCCACTCTCTTTTCCATTCTCAAACCCCAGTCATTATAATAACCTCTTCTTCCTTTACAGCTCAAACCATGCTCAGCCCCACGGTCAGACCACCAGCCAGGCGCCGGCTGCCGCTGGTCTACCCCCTGGATGTTCTCCGAGTGCCTGGGCCCCCTTTCCTGCACTGAATTACACACAAGCTACTTTCAAAAGAGCTTTCTGCAGTGCGCCACTACGAAAGGTCTTTGGTGCTATAGTCTCTTAGAGGAAGGAACTGCTATAGTGCCATCAAGGCTTTAAAATAATGTCACAAAATATGCACACTAGCTTTGGGCATGGGAAATGACAATTAGACAAAAAGGATGAAGTTTACAGAGGAAAAATCGCCAGCCAGTAGCTAGTGCGGAACGCAGTGTTTCAGCCATAACTTTGGGCAGAATCTTGGCTAGGTTTGTAACCAATGGCAGGAGGGTTCCCCCAAAGTAAGGAGTCACGACCCAGAGCAGACGAGGAGCGTGGGTGAGGTGGTCAGGAGGAGTAGAGGTCCTGGGCTGTGACTGGCTGGGGTCCTAACGCTGGGGCACAGGAGGACATGCAGCCGCTGCTGGGTGCGGGAGTTACTTTTGCTCTTGTAAGCGGTGTAGCTCCTTCTCCCACTCCCTGTGCGGGGAGTAATCCCACTCGACCTCCACGGCCGCGACGTGGTAGGTCCTCTTGCCCTGGTATACTGGCGAGCCCTCAGACTGCCGCTTGCACTGGTTCACCGTGTACTTCTGCTTCATGCCTCCTGTGTAGTGATCCGTCGTGAGGCACAGGACATCAAACATCCCTGGGGGGGGGGGGGGAACAGACATGAGAGCCCCTGATCAGAGTCAGAACCAGAGCCTTATCACGCACCCGCTGGTCACCTGCCTCGTGCCCGCCGCGCACCAGCCCTGCCTTTGCTGTCCTGAGAACAGGTCTGGTCACCCAGCCTCTGTGCGTCCCTGACTCAGGACCTTTGCGCTTGCAGTTAGGCAGAGGAAGTGGACCCAGATTTATGTACTTCCATTGCAGAGGCCCGTTCCCCACCCACAGAAAGGAACAGCTTATCAAACGCCCAGCTGGCTCTGCCCGGGGCCCACACTGCTCACATTGAGGGGCAGAGGAACGAACCTGTGGTGCCGGGCTGCATGAGCAGCGTGAGGCTGGCGTGAGGGAAGAGGTTCGCGGCGTCGCGCCGTTCCCCCTTTGACAGGAAGGTGTGTCCTGAGAAGTAAATGCCGTGGACATCGACCTCGCTCCCGGCACTGAACAAGTACCACACCACCGAATCTCCCTGGCACATGTTCAGACCAGGCTGGTTCCCGTACATGAATCCATTCATGGCTGGAACAGATGTTTTCAGACTGCTCTATTCCATGTCCTTTTCGCACGACAGACCCCTTCCCGGCATCAACCTGGGTCACTGCTTCTAAAGACACATGTAAGCCTGCCATGCGCCGTGTGCCCACAGCAGTGACGGTGCCCACACATGCCCTCCAGAGCACTGTTGACCGTCGGGGACTGCAGCTGACCACATGGTTCTTGGATTTCTGTGCTGTGTCCTGCTCCCCTGGGGCGTCTCTTCCCCTGGGGACAGATGCCAGCTGATGCGTCCCCATCCCCATTGGTGGCTACTCTGGGCTCTGGGCTGTGGGCAGCCCTCCCGCCCTGCAGAGCCTGCACTGGGGAAGCTGGGGCTGCTCTAGATTGGGGATTCTGACTTGTCTGGAGTAGCAGAAGAGTTTGTGCAAGAAATTTTCTCACACTGCTATTTCTAGCAGGTAATATTTTTGATGCATTCAGAATGCAAAAATGTAGAAGCAAAAGAAGTATTTTAGAAATGGTAGGTGATAGGGTCAGAACCAAGCCTAACTTAAACCCACGAAGCAGCATTAGTTTCTAACATTTTTTTTTTCCCTGTGACAGGACTGAGGTTTCAACTCAGGGCCTCACACTTGTAGGCTGATGCTCATGCCTCTAGCCCTGTTTTTGCTGGTTAATTTTACAGGTTGTAACTACCTAGGCTGGTCTTGAACCATCATCTCCTGCTTCTCCTGCTCTCAGCCTTTCAAGTAGCTGAGATTACAGACATGAGTCACCAGTGCCCAGCTTACATTTTCTTCTACTACCTACAGTAAATTGTACTCCTATCCATTAGTGGTCCGTGACTTCTGTCTCTAGTCCCTGACTGCATTCTAGAATGACCCTGGGAGGAAAAACAAATCCAATGCATGGCTTGAATTAAAGAGCTGGGGCTGCGTGGAGCTTTGTAGTTTTTGAAACCTCCCAGGTGACTGAGACGTGTAGCCAAGAATGAGAACTACAGCTTTCTGTGCTTTGAACAGTGAAACGAGCCCGCTGTCTCCAAGCCGCAGGAAGCAAAGCCTCCAGCCTGGCATTCTCCTGTGCCGCAGCCTTAACAACAGGTGTGTGGGACCCGGCCACGCAGCTTCTGATTCAGCGGGTGGGGCGGGGTCCAGAATGAATATTTCTCAGGACCTACCAGTCAGTGCCCACCCTGCTGGTCCAGAGACTACACTGTACCGTTTGTGCAATGGGCACAGCTTGCACAGCATTTACTCTGAATTGGAAGTGATTGACACATTGGAGTGATTGACATATCAGCTACTGAGAATAAACCGACAACAAAACTGGTAGTACTCACAGTGCATCTTGTTGGATTCCTGAAAGTCTTCGTCCTCCTTATTCACCAGATCAGGGGTGGTTGTAAACATCTTAATGTTGTCATCCAAGAGTAAACTCTCATTCTCATCAAATACAGTGGGAAACAAGTAGAACTCCTTGTCAACATCTTTCTGTAAATTGAGAGAACAACAAAGAGGTGAAGAGAGGAAAGTTCAGAGGCTTCCTTGTGTAGAATTCTCCACATGTTCGAACAAGCTAGAGGAAGGAGGAAAGGAGAAGTTTCCCCCTGTGCTTTGTCAACAAGGCTTATGGAACATTCCATTTGACCACCCAAGTGGTCAGGAAAGATGCCACCCACGTCCCAGAAAACTCTTGAGAGCTCTTGCCAGATAAAACAAGGAAAGATGGAGGTGAAGAAATAGCTGGCAATGAACTTGAACAATGAATTAGATGAGGGATCACACGTCCAGATATCTGGACAAGTATCCCTACTCCCTTTTGCTGTCCCAGCTGTGAAGGGAGTGAGCTGAAAGGCCATCTGTTCTGTGGAATGAACCAGTCAGAAAGTCCATTCAGTCAGGACTCTAAGAAATGAATTGCAAAGGAGAGAAAGCTTTTGCAAGCGTTGCTAGTCAAGCTGGGCGCTGGCGGCTTAACATGATCCTAGCTACTCAGGAGGCTCAGATCTGAGGATTGAACTTTGAAGCTAGCCCTGGCTGGAAGAAAGTCAATGAGACTCTTAACTCCAATTAACTAGTGAAAAGTAGAGATGTGGCTTAAGTGGTAGAGCACCAGCCTTGAGAGGAAAAGCTGAGAGTTTCTAGGCCCTGAATTCAAGCCCTAGTACCAGCATTGTGTGTGTGTGTATACACACATATCTTGTCTTCCCCTTCAGATCATTTATTCAGATAAAAGATGGCTATCAATGTGAATGGTCCCACGGAGGCATCCACCTGAGGCCAGCTCCGGGAGAGAATGGAATCCACCGTGAGCATGATCTGAAGAAAAGTGCCAGAACCCAGAGGAAGAGATTTATAATCTTGAAAGATAGTCACATGGAAGGAACGTTAGAATTGACAAATGGAGATCTCCTCATTGGACTTGCCTGTCTCCCATTTTCAAGTAAGCTTCCTTTCTTGCATATTTTCATTGGCCCAATCAGCCCGGTAAATATATCTCTGGTGGGATCTACGGCGGAGTAATACATCTTTGCCAGGCACACGGGATCTGCGTGAGTGGGTCCTACATCTTCAGGCACGGTCCACTCATAGGTAAAGGTTTCTTGGGGTGCCACATGAGAGGCAGGGTGAGGAGGCCCACCTGAGGGGAAGGTCACATGGGAGGGTGTGAGCATGGTCGTGGGAGTGACAAAGTACCGGACAACCCACTTGCGGATGCCTTAGTTCCCTAGGGATGGGCTGGTGCCATACTCCCGTGTCAGAGGAAGGCTGGGTGTAGGGCAACTTCCTGTAACCTCTTCCTGGACTTGGTTTGTGCCCCCACATTTCCCAGGAACCCCCGTACCATCTTCCCAGTTGTATAGTCCGTACCCCTGTCCCCAGCAACTCTACCTTCTTACAGGTGAGCTTTGTCCTTATCTTTCCACCAATTAAGCCAATGCCAGGCAGTAGGGGTAACCAAGGCATTTTTGTCTTGACCCAAAACCAAACAGAAAATAATCATAGGACTGAAAGGGACTTGCCTATGATCCCTGTCAAATTTCCCAAGTTTACCCCAGAAAGTGCCGACCAGAAAGGCTGAGCCACCTGTGATTGGTGGCTGAACCACTGATCTTCATTGGTCATCCTTAACTAATAGAAATGCTTAGCTCCATCTGTACACGGAGGAATCCTTTGTATCCTTAACATTACAAGTGTTCCCAGTGCTAAGAGAATAGACTAGCCACTTCCTATCACTAGATCTCAAATATATTTAAAACATATACACACAGATGCAAGTGGAAGAATTATGTAAGGTATAATCGTGGTTGGATCATTGGTCTCTTTGGCCGTACCCTTATGTATATGTGTGTATGTGTAGATCTACACACATTCATAAATGTTTTTATTTAAATATCCTGATGTGGGCATCTAATGTTGTTACAAGAACTCTTTGCAAATCTCCTCACCCAACTAGTGTTTAAGAAATGTAATGGACACCATCCAACTAAGTTGCTACCTGTGTTGTGGATAATTATCGGTTAAAGCAAGACAGAATTCCGATTCGTGAGGACCGCAGAGGCTGACGTGCAGGGTGCTGCATGCAGCCAGCAGCAGGGTAAGGGGGGCTCCCTATTGGTACCCATGGGTGGGTCTGGAGGTCTGCACTCACCTCCCTTCCAGAGGGCGCTGTGGGGGTTGTAGTACGCGCCCTCATTGTCCTTGCTGAATCTCACTCCCGTTGGCTCAATGCTGAGGGGGTGTGGGCTTTTGTTACAGAAGGTGACTTTGATGGTGTCACCTACCTCAGCCCAGATGAGGGGACCTGGGGACAAAGGGAGAGTCGTCACCTTTCCTCCAGTGGAGCGCGTGCGGAAGGCTGTGGTTTTCTTGGGCTGGTCCTCTGGCACGCGCCACTGGGGGTCATTGGTGCCAAATCAGAAAGCTTGGCTTTTGTTTTTTAAAGTCCATTAGCTATGGGACACAGCAAGATTGGGAAGAGCGGAGCACCTCTGACCCAACTTCAAGTTAATTGGTCATCTCTCTTTTTTTTGACAAAGTCAGTTACTAAACCACTTTAAACCCTTGCCCATACTGCCTGGAGTGCTCCCTCCACCCCAGCCTCTTGGCAGAGGGTGTGACCTTTGCCACTAGAGTCGGGTGCGGAAACCACATCCACCCAAAGCAGTGGGTTCCATCCTGTTGGCAGCGAGGCTATCAGTGGGCGGGACTTTCCATCACCAAAATGAAAGTCATTGCCAGTTAGGGAATGGATGTTGCATTTTGTGCAGTGCACACGGTGACATCCCCCTGTCTGTGCCTGAAGAATGCCGTTAGCCCTCACTTCACTACAGCGGCACAGGAGGTGAGCGGCCTTTCAGTGGTCACGGCTAGTGGATCCAGATAAAAAGTCACCTCTAGCACGTCCAGCCTGTGCTATTAGGAGCCACTTCCTCCTTCCCTGGTAGCTAACCAACATACCATTCCCCTTCCTTCTTTAAGGAAAAAAAGTGAAATCAGTGTGGCTTTTGCTCTGAGGATTTGCCACGGATAACTTGATTTGGAGAGTGGCCCACTGTAGCCCTTTGCTGAGGGCAGATGGTCCATCTGCCTGTGTGGCAGGCCCCTGAGCTGCGTTTTCTGAAACGCATCGGCTCCTCACAGGGCCACCAACTGATTAAAAGCACGGGGAAATCCAGCATTCCTGTGCTCCAGGTCACTCCCTCCGCGGTCACTTTGCAGCCACCGTGGGAAGTCAGGACAGGTTGCTGGCGTGTGTGCTGACATCTCCTCCCACAGCTGCCTGGGCCAGAGTAAAACATACATGTGTATGTGTGTGTCTTTCTCTGCCCATCTCTTTCTTCTGCATACAGGAACAGATGGAACCCTGGGAGTTCGAACAGGGGCCTAACACCTCTGGTTTCTTCGTAGAAACCAGGCGGCAGGCCTGGCGTCACTGTCGTCTCCGAGCTTGGGAGAGAGTTCTAGCGCTGCGCTCGGCAGGACTCACCCAGGATGCCCAGGTGTTCCTCTTCAGGTCCTCTCACCTTTCGAGTCGCGAAGGAGGCGTCCGAGTACTCACGGTAAACTAGCTTTTTGTAAGAGCCGCCAATTCTTGTGGGACCTTGCTCAAAAAACACGCCTGCATCACTGCCAAAGGAAGAAGGGCTTGAGGCTGGTGTTGGGGTAACAGGAAGCAGGCGTGCACCCTGAACCCCTGGCTAGCATGTCGTGAGCTTCATCCCTCAGGATCTACAGCAGTCACCCTCCACTCATTCTCTGCCAGCCACCAGCAGCTCTAGGCCACTCATGGAGGGAAGGTGGAGAGGAAGTAGAGACCACAGGAGCTTCACTTTTCAAGTGGAGTGAAGAATTCCAAGATTCCACATAAGCCCCCCAGAATACGAGGCTCTACAGCAGAACCTCTCCATCCAGCTGGGAAATGTTCTTGTCTAGGAGCACCCGACCTTCATTAGCTACAACTCAGTGCAACCCAACAGAACTGGCCTCATTCTCCTCTGTTCACAAATGAAAAAGTTAAACCTCACCACAGTATCTGGCTTTCACAAAGCCTTTCCGTTCTTAGCTTGCCAACTAGAGGATTTTTGACAGGTGACAGACAGAGGAACTGTGTGTGGGAGAGAATCACACTACCTCATTGGCATTCTAGAAAGATCACTTTGCTTTGTGGAAAGTGCAGCAGGAAAGGTAGCTAACGAATGGCCTGAGGGTATAGAGGGCAGGCGCATACGCGTGCATGCACACACACCTAGTGTGCATCCGTGTGTACTGACAAGCGTGTGAAAGTTCACATACAGAATGAGAGGAAGCACTTGTGATTGTTCAGTAAGGGATTCATCTTGAGACTGTATAAAGAACCTCCTACAAATCAACAACCACAAGAACAAATACTGCCATTCAGAAGTGGGCAAAGGATACACATTTCTCAAAAAAAAACAAGACCACAGAAAGATGCTCATCAGGAATAAGGGAAAAGAAAAAAATCAAAACATCAAAAAGTGCTGAGGTCACACCCATAATGGTATCTATATAGGAAGCAGAGATCAGAGGGGCTGTGGTTCAAAGTCAGCCAGGGGAAAAAGTCTCTGCTTCATCCAGTAGAGAAGTTGGGCATGATGGTGTGTGCCAGCTACACGGGAAGTATAAATAGGAAGATCAAAGTCCAGGATGGCCTGGCATAAATACAAGATCCTATTTGACAAATAAGTAAAATTTAACATGTCAAAATTTAGCACAAGACTCCGAGTTTATTCCCCAATACTGAAAAAAAAAAATCAAAAGATACCACTTCATGGCAGCGAGGATGTGGTTGAACGTTGATGGTAGACCTGTAAAATGGTATAGTCATTGTAGAAAAGAGTACGCTAGTTCCTCCAGAAATTCAACATAGACTTGCCCTTCTAGCCAGTCACTCTGCTTCCGAGCAGAGATGCAAAGTAATTGAAAGCGTGGAACTGAACCAGCATTTGCACATCGGCATCCATCATAAGAGTCAAGAGGTGGCAGTTACCTTTCAGGGGCTGTTAAGTTCTCCTTGGTGAAAGCGTCTACTCCAGAGGGCGCGTAGCTCCAGATGAGTTCCTCGGCAGCCACATAGTAGTGCCTAACCTTCCCCTGCAGCTTGTCCTCCGTGGAGGGCTTGTGGCAGTCCCGGACCTGGAAAAAGGCCTGCAGGCCAGCTGAAAGAACACAGGAGGCCGGGATTAAAGGAAGGGCAGGGGAGGCAGAGATTACAGGGAGGCCAGGACTAAAGGAGCTGAAACCATGTTCTCTTCAATGACTGTCAACTCAGCTGGGGAGCAGGTAGAAAGTGCAGCCAGTGCAATGAACTGGGTGAATTGATGGATAAGCCAAGTTTCTAAGAACACCTGTCTTCTCAGAACACAGGGCATGAAGAGTTCCTGTGTAGATTCACTGGGGGTTTGATGGAAAAGGACAGTTCATAGATAATTGAAGAAGAGGGCCTGGGGCATAGCTTGCGGGGTGGGGTGAAGGGAAGAAGAGGAGAAGGAGCGTGGATGACACAAAATGCTGTTCTAGGCCTACAAGCGATGCACACACACCCCCCATCTCCTCAGGACGCCAGTGCCACAAAAACGTTTACTGAAAATAGGGAATGCGTTCTTGTCACCATTATCCAGGAGACAGAGGAAAGATTTGTCAAGGCAAAGAATGGGAAAGACACACAGAAAAAAGCCAACAAGTAAAACCATAGCCTACTAACTTCAACACACTGTAGATTGTACAATCTCTGTTTCACAAAGCCAAGAAGCCACACACAAAGCTACACTTTCCAGGCAGGATTAATGATTCTTTTCCAGAAATTAATCCCATTTTTTCCAGGTCTCTTTATGATCAGCCTGAATATCTCAGAGATTCTGATTTCTACTGTCCTCCCCGGCCCCTTGAGCAGCTGCTGAGACAGAACCCTCCTTCCAGTGGATAAAGACAGCCTACCTTTCAGGTGGTTCAGATTCTGGCAGCTCAGCAGCCATGTTCCAGGGTTCCGGGCTACCATAAAGGCCTCGACCAAGGTGGCAGGAAAGAGATTGATTGTATCTGTACGGTAGTTCTTGTTAGTCAGTGCTTGCCCGTGAAAGAAAGCCGCATGCACGTCTACTTCGTTGCCCATACCGAAAAGATACCATTTCACCCTGTCTTCAGCGCACATCGAAAGGCCCGGAAGACTTCCAAAAGTGTGTCCATTCACAGCTGTAAGTCAAGAACAGAGCTTGTGACGGACAGACAGTTCGGGTGCCTGGGAGAGAGGTGGAGACTCCTGCAGGGATGGACTCAGTTTAGAATGGGCATCCTCCAACCCACCCCTTCCATACCCATGCCAGACATTGCCAGTCCATTATAGAACTCTTATTCTGGAACTGAATTCAGGCTGAGAACTGTTATCAGCACCATATTAGCAGATGAGCACATCTCTGGGGCTGAAAAATACGAGCTCTTTTTGTTATAAATCATACACACTGCTCACACCTGTCATCCTAGCTACTCAGGAGGCTGAGATCTGAAGATCGCCATTCAAAGCCAGCCTGGGTAGGAAAGTCTGTGAGACTCTTATCTCTAATTAACCACCAGAAAACTGGAAGTGGCATTGTGGCTCAAGTGGTAGAGTGCTCATCTGGAGCTGAAGAGCTCAGGGACAGCGCCCGGGACCAGAGTTCAAGCCCCATGACCAACAACAACAAAAAAAATCATACACTGTGTGTGTGTGTGTGTAAGTACAAGTATGTACCTGTATATGCAAAACACACAGCAAAAATATTGGAGATGATTTAGTAATCATTAATCATGTTGGTAGAGATAATATGGGTAATTTAAATCCCTTTCCTGATTTCAATTTCAATTAAAAAAATAACAAGGGCTGGGAAGGTGGCTCAGTGGTAGAGCGCTTGCCTTGCATGCCAGAGGCCCTGGGTTTGATTCCTCAGTACCACATAAGCAGAAAAAGCCAGAAGTGGCGCTGTGGCTCAAGTGGTAGAGTGCTAGCCTTGAGCTGAAGAGCTGAGGGACAGCACCCAGGCCCAGAGTTCAGGCCCCACGACCGACAAAAAAAAAAAGTTTAATATTGTGAAATAAAACTCAAAGAGATACAAAGGAGGAAAAGAAGAAATTCAGGGAAGGACAGTGAGGCCCTGGATGCCCTGTTATCAGTCCCAGTCTAGAAACACAGTACTGATTCATGCAAGGAAAGAAACATTAATTGACGCAGGAAAATCTGGGCGTTAACATGTCTTCTGCAGTCTTACAATACATCCTGTTGCTCTCCTGGAATTCCTCGCTGTCCGTGTCCACTTTCTCTGGTTCTGAGCAGTAGGTTTTAATGTTGTCCTCTAGGTACCAGCTGAGATTCTCGTCCACCACCGAAAACATGACCACAAATTCTTGGTCAATGTTTTTTTCCTTTTCCTTATGAAGAGAACCTGAGGTGAACATTTGTAGTTTAGCACATTAAATTATTATTATTCACTGTTACTATGTTTTCAAGGGTTTTTTTTTTTTTTTCATTTTTCAAATGGCATTTATTTTCTCAATCAGCCACAAATCAGGACCAGTCACCTGAGGGATTTCATGATCAATATCTCATGCTTGGGAGACAGACAGATATTCACATAGCCATTGTCCACACCACTACGAAGGCTTCTGAACAAATGGAACTTCAAAGGTGAGTACATGACGCTGAATAGCCGAGACACTGAGGCTTCTGAGCTACGTCATCGTCGCTCAGGTAAGCAGGATATTTCTAGCTCTTGAGCTGCATACATTGCCTTTTTGATAATGTTTTAAGTAAATTAGGTGGCATTTCCACCAACATAATATAGGTCACTATAGCCCTACCACCCCAGAGAACCAAGAGAGACATCACCTGGGGCAAAGTCGTTAGTCTTCATGAGGTACCACTTAGATCCTGAAAACCTATCCCCAAAGAGTTGATTCTTCACATCTTAGCTTCATGGTGGGTCCCCTACCACGGCGGGTCCGGGTACACCTTGGGCTGGGAGGCCAGCCTGCTCTTCCCTTCCTTTCTCCCAGACTCATACACACAGAACATATGTAAAATCAAACCGCCCAACGTTGTGCTGTATGGTGGGAACACTGCAGGAGGGCTGTGGCCGGAGGACTTGCCTGTTTTACAGAGTATCAGCGGCCCAATGAGTCCTGAGGCGATGTCTCTCGGGCCATCGATGTGGGAGTGGTAGATCCTGGTCACACAGTTCCCATCCCCCTCCCCGGGGCTCTGTTCCTTGTTGGTGTGCAGCACGTAGGTGTACTGCTCCCCTGGGTGCACTTTGTCGTCTGCCTGTAAGGTCCCGGTGGTGTTGTCGGGGTAAATGGCCCCTGGAAAGCAACACACAGCAGAGTTACTGATTGTGTCTGAACCAAACAGAGGCAATAATAGATCGTCCTCACCCCCTAGTTGGTGCTCCTTGGGGTGGCACAGAGAAGTAGAAAGATAATGGCGAGGGCTGGGAAGGTGGCTCAGTGGTAGAGTGCTTGCCTTGCATGCCTGAGACCTGGGTTCAATTCCTCAGCACCACATAAGCAGAAAAAGCCAGAAGTGGCGCTGTGGCTGAAGCGGTAGAGCGCTCGCCTTGAGCTGAAGAGCTGAGGGACAGCGCCCAGGCCCAGAGTTCAAGCCCCACAACCGACAAAAAAAAAAAAAAAAAAAATGAACTGAGCTTCAGACTATGTATATGTGAAATATAAATGAATTCCATGCTTACTCTTGAAGCCAATCCCCAAGACTTACTATTTCTTATTATGTGTCTACAAATCTTCCAAAATCTGAAAAAAATTTGCATTTTGGAACACTTCTGTACCCAAACATTTTGGAAAAAGGAGAATGCTTGACCTGTATTAAGAGTGAGATCAGGGAAGCCAGGTGTGGTGGTACACACCTATAATCTACCCCAGGAGGCTGAGGCTGGAGGCTACAAGTTCAAGACCAGCTGGGCTATAGTCTGATCTTAGAAGAAACAACAATAAAAAGTAAAAGAAAAAAAACAAGATGACCAAACCTTACCTTTGTTTTTCTTTTGTTTGATGAGACAGTATCTCGCTATGTAGCCCAGAATGAACCTCAGATTTGCTGCCCTAGCCTCCTTGGTGTTGAGCTTATAGATGTGTGCCACCACCCCTGGCTTCATGGACCATTCTAAGTCTGTATTCATCTTAACTGTGTCTCCAGTGTATCACACTGTAAGACTGCATGCCCAGTTTGGCTAATGCCTAAGACTGACTTCTACCCCGTTAGCTGGGTAGGAGTGCATCTGCAGTTAACATGGGAAGCAACAGCAGACTGTGTCAGCATGTGTAGAATTTTCAAAGATAATCCCATCCTGAATCCACCCCTTTCCCTCTGGGTTTGGAGGCCTGTGGTCCATTTCTCTCAGTCTATGCAGCTAGGCAGGAACCGGGGAGGCAGCTCTCAGTGACCCAGAACCTGAATCTCTGCCACGCGCCCTTCACACAAACCACAGCACCAGAGGGGCAGGTATTGCCGGGGTGGAGCACAACACCTGCGGGTGACATGGTTTAGCTCCATGGCATACCTACAGCTCATACCCAAGGAGAGCTCACAGACTCAGAAGTTAGAATTCTCCCTGCTGAAGAATAACAGGAAGTCCCGGTCTAACTCACCCTCGTGCTCCTTATAGTAAGTTACTCCGTGTGAATGGAATGTGTAAGGCCTGGAGGCAAAGTTTTTTAGGTGTACGTAAACTGTGTCTCCAACTTCCGCCTTAATGATGGGGCCTAAGAATCCCAGCCAGCTCGGCTTGTCCACAGTGGTCCTGAAATGTCCATCTGTGTACTGGACGTAAAGGGCCTTCTTGTATGTGCTCCCGATCCGGTCTGGACCACTCTGAAGATAGATATCAGACTGTTCTCTGTAAGGGAAAAGAAGGCAAGTCTGTCAGAAGCTGTCATCTCTGGAGAAAGCACATTATAATGAAGAGAAATCAGAAATCCCATTACAACTAAAGAGAAGTTAATGACTACCGGGTCAGTTTAGGGGCAGCTCCAGGATTGAAGAAGCGAACAGGTGGCAGGTGGCGTTGTGTGTTAGTCATGTGAGGTGTTTCAGACCAGGGCTGTGGCAGAGAGGGAGAGCAGGACGCAGCGTCAGGCTGACCACAGCGGTGTCTCCTTGCTGGTGCCACATCCGCCTGGGCCCTGTGTCACCTAGGAACGAGTCCAAGCCCCGCAGCAGACTTCCCTCCACTTCCAGAAGACTGGCCTAATGGTATTTAATGCTCTGATCTAACCGCACCACTCCCTGACAAATACAAAGACCAAGGCGGCTCTGGAATTCCGAAGGCTGTATTTGAACAACATCTAAGTGTGTTTATGTCATTCCTGGGTATGCATCTACAACCCTTTCCAGCCAGTGTCACAGGTTTGTCAAAATTCTGCCTCTGCACTGAAATTCCCAGATATTAGCCAGGTCCTCAAGCAGGAGGAATATTGCCTGACCTGTGATCCTCTTTTTTTTTTTCTATACAAAGATTCTTTGGTGGGGGAGGGTTTGATCTGAAGCCAACGATCTGAAGTAGTTCACATATTTGGAGATTTTCACAATTGGAATTCCTTACCTCTCCAGCACCATTGGGACACAGATTTCGATGTCTTGAGTCTTTCCTGTGAATATTTTTCCTCTAACCCAACCTGGGAAACATTGAACCTCACAGGGACCCTGGAGGGAAGTCTCCAAAAAGTCCTGGGTGTCTTACTTTATTTAACTTGAAGAGTGTGGCTTGAGGACAAAGAGTCGGTTACTGGAAGCTTGCAGGAACTTTGCCAGTTTGTAGCCTAGCTACAAACATCCATTGTAGCTGCTCTTTGAAGCAAACAAGTCACCTTTAATTGTGGTTCTTCCTGTTGGCTCCCCTCTATTACATTTCCCTCCCAGTAATCATCTTTCCTATTTTTAGTCCCCTGCTTAAACAAAAAAAGGCCAACTCCTATTAGACCAACAAGTGTTATTTTTAATACCAAGAAATTGTTTTGAATGTTGTTATTTTAAGATAACGAGTCTCCTCTTGGTAATTCAGAACTCACTCGGTGTTCTTGATTTATGTCTAGGTTACTAACACATGGGTATCGTGGGCAGAAAGTTTCTGGATTGGGGAGGGGGCTTGCGAACTCAGCCATCCGAACATTGGTCTTACTTGGCACAGGATGAAATCACCACCTTGTAGTATCACAAGTGGGAAGTCAGCCATCACAGGATGAAATCACCATGTTGCCAGGCTGAGGCCTGGTGGAAAAATCCACTTCCTGACTCACTTAGGTTGCTGGCAGAATTCAGTTTGTTGAGGTTGTAGAATTAAATTCCCTGTTTGCTTGTGGCTGTCACCTTTTGGGCCACTCCTAGTTCCTCAGTGCCACCTGGAGGCCTGTCTGTCTGGTCGTGTGTCTGTCTGGTGCCCTGTCTCCCTTCCAGCCCACAGCGTTATGTAGAGTTAGCCTGGGGTTGGTCCCCCAATTCTCTGAATCTCAGCTGCTCAAGTAGTAAGAATTACAGATGTGAGCCACTGGGACCCGGTGCCACATTTTAAAATCAAAAGAATCAACCCCTCCTGAAGTTTTACTAACCTTTGCCCTTCCGTTTCCTAATCTCTAGAATGAGGCAATTCTTTAGAGCACCGTAGAGAGTTTGTCCTGCACTTAGTTTGTGCCCAATAAACTGACTTCCTCTCTTATCAAAAATGGCAGGAGGTAGGTGGACCACAGCATAGGACAGGACCTGTACTGATTTTAATTAATAGCTAATGAAGTTGGTTTTTTTGTCCTGCTGCTAATGAGCCTCTTGAACTGAGACACACCCTAATCCAGTATGTTATTTCATATTATATCCAGCCTTTTCCTTGGAAATAAAAACTCTCTATTATTTACCTTGTATTTAGTCAGGAAAACACATAAGCCATACGAAACAATGTTTCTAGAAAACCTATTAAAATGAAGAGATTATTATCTCAAAAGCAGATTAAAAAGATAATAATTACAAAACACTTTGTAACTATTTATAACCAGTAATAACCACTTTAAAACCAGTTATCTTTAGGTCAGAAATTTCCCTCACTGCATATTACTACAATAATGTAACAGTTGACTATTATTATCAACTATACATCTTTTACTGTGAAAAAATTTAATAGTTTAATCCCCAATACTACCAAATAGAAAATCAAAAGACAACTTTTAGCTATTTTGTAGTGAAACAGAATAGAATGCACCAATTAGTAAGAGTCAATAGTTAGGAAACATGGTGTGTGTGTGTGTGTGTGTGTGTGTGTGTGTGTGTGTGTAAGATACACAGTAGTATAGTCAGTAGTTAAGAAACATGGCATGTGTGTGTATAAGATATAATCTTGGCAGCTTCTTGTGGTCAGACTCACTTGTGTTTATGACTGCTAAAATACTTGGCTAATACAGTGAAGGTTGCTTTTGAATGCCAGTTTCTATTTGGTGGTAAATATGTAGTAACCATTAATACAAGAGATGACCTCTGTCTAATGAAAGGCCTCAGGCAGCTGTGCTTTTTGTCAGTCTTGCTGGAAGTAGAGACAGGAAATTTCCTCAGTCGTTACGAGTACCTAGCGTGCACACAGGGGATGCACCAAACAGGGCACTCAGAACAGCTTTACGCACTTGCACGTGTCAAACAAGCCTACGAGGTGAGCTCATCCCTGCAGCCCACACTCCAGACACTCAGGTGAGGTCCAAGCAGAGTGGCTGCAAGTAGAAAAGAGGCTTTAAAAGATGAAAAGGTACAAATATTGTACCCCCGTCGTGAATAAGCAGTAAGTGTTGTCATAGATGTAACACACACACACACACACACACCAGACACTTCTGAGTGATACAGAAATGAGCTGAGGACACCAGCCAGGGCCACAGCTTCCAGAGTAGACTGCTCTCCAATGAAGAGGACCTAGAGCAGGAGACCTGTGAGCAGAGCTTGTTTTCAAGCCCTGTGTCAACTTGAGGAAATAGTGCATCCAGTTGCCTTTATATATTTTTTCAGTTGATAACTTTGGCCTATGAGCCACAGAAAGAGCAACTTACTTGTCAACCGAAATAAGCGTCCTCTCCCCGCTGTCAGAGGCATAGTTCCAAGTCGTCTCCACAATTCCAATGTAGTAGTGCTTATCTTTCGTCCAGGCTGGAGAATTAGATAAAAACAGAAAAACGCCAAGCACCCAAAGCTTCATTTTCCCCCTCTTGGAGCATTGGAGCCTGAGAAGCAATAAAGTGAAATCAGAAGCAGGGGTGTTTATAAACAAGGCTTCTTCTTTTATTTGCTTGATTGACACAGTTTGATATTGCACAAGAGTAAATCATTTCATTAAAGCAAATAACATTTTCCAGTTCGGTTTGGTTCTCGTAAACCCGGGGAGGGAAAAGACAGTGCGTGGTTGCCAAGCCTCTCTGCAAATAAAAAGTACAGTTATTGTTGGCCAGAGCGAGCATACCTCTGCGTCCTCCCATTCTCCATGGAAATTCCAGGCGGGCAGAGGACACCTTTAAATGCCCCCTTTGTGCCCCAGCAAGAGGAAGTGGCTGCCCGCCCTGCATGCCTGTTAATAATGCCAGGATGAGGATTATGTAAAAAGGACCAGAGCACACAGCTCTGTTTGTGAAAGCCTAATGTTGCAGTAGCTTCAAGCTTAACTGCAACTTTCCCCTTCCTTTTTAAAAATTACCTTTAAGAAGTTGTAAAAAAAAGGGGGGGGGGGAATATACCACATCTCGATCAGTATCACCCTCCTGTCATTCTCCCTCCCTTATCACAACCCCACCCGGCCCCCTCAAGGTGCCGGGTTCCATTTCCACCCAGGTACTCTGCCTATTATGGCTGTACTCACCCACCCTTCCTCTCTCCATCCCTCCGCCTTCCTCCCCTTCCCACCTCCTGACACAGCAAGTTCCAGTGTCCTGGTATTCATTTGGTTAATCTGTAAATTAATTGTTCAGAGGGGTTGGACGATTGGAAGCTGCCCTGCACATACCATACTTGAGTCAGTCTGCTTGTGCATATGTGCATATGACCCTGTATATGTCTTTATATACACGTATAATTTAGATTACACATCAACACAAGAAAGAAAATTTCTCCATCCATTTCTTTGCAAATGGTGTAACATCATTCTTTGTAATGAGTGAGTAGAATTCCATCGTGTATATATACCACGTTTTCTTGACCCGTTCATCCATGGAGGAGCATGTGAGCTGTTTTATACCTTGGTTATGGTGAATAGTACAGCAATAAACATGGTTGTGCGAGTGGTTTTTTTTTTTTTTTTAACCATATCCTGACTTGTAACAGTTTAGATAGATGCCCAAGACTGGTATGGCTGGTCCCAGGGTAGTTCTATGCTTTGTTCTACTGATGTAACTGTAGACCTTTTGTGTTAACACAGTAAATACATTTCTTTTAATCTAGGATGTCTTAAAGTACAGGAACCTGCTAGAGGCTGCTGTTGAAACCGACCAGTATGGGAGAAGGCGTGTGGCATTTAGAGAGCTCCTTCCTCCAGCAAAACTGTGGAATCGGCCCCACGGTGTGTCCACGTCCGTTTGAAGCGGCGGGGGACATGGCGGGGGACTTGACCGGGGCCATGGGAGACGTAGCAGGGGTCACAGCAGGAGGATATGGGGAGGGACACAGGGTGGGGTACGAGTCATTGCACCTCACTGAGCGTACAGTATACCTGGAGGAACTGACAACATGCAGATGAACATAAAGCACCCAGTGCCAGCAGTCAGGGCTAGCAGAGAAAGGTAACCCAGGGTAGAACCACCGGGGGCCAGGAAAGTAGCGGGAGGGAGGTGGACTCCATGGCGTCAGTACCCTGGGGCAGGCGCTCCGCCTGGGCTAGCTTCTCCTGTGTGAAATGCCCCCTCAGAGGCCCTGTCCAGACCCAGGGGAGGAGCCGGCCATGGACTTCATGTGTGAGGCAGGTGCGGGCGGTGGTCCTGGCCTGCGCGCGTGCCAGCTGGCCCTCTACAGCCCCACACACCCCACCCTGGCTGGGAAACGGTCTTAGGTCAACAACCTGATTCAGAAAACTGTCCCGCAACATCCAGGCACATGAGCCTCCATCCAGAGCAGAGCAGCCTGGAGCTAAGCCACTGCTCTCCAGGACACAGATGGCTGGAGTGGCCAAGGCCCCATCCAGACCCACTGGCCTTATCTCAGAAAGAGCCAGGACAAAGGGGCTGGAGGCCTGGCTCAGGGGTAGAGCACCTGCCTAGCAAGTGTGAAGCCCCAAGCTCAAACCCCAGTACTGTCAAAGGGTGTGGCTTTGTAATACGTTATAAATAAGTACTGTTAGGTCCAAGCTGCCTGCTTGGTGGTCTGAGGAGACCAGTACAGCATAAGTTTTTATCAGGTTCTGCTATTTATTGGTCTCTGTCTCCATCTCGCCCCCTCTGCATGCTCCTCTTCCTCTCTCCCTCCTCCTCTTCTTGCTTTCTGGATAAGGTGAATGCTGTCAGCGTTTAGCAGTCCAGATGCCAAGCTGATTTGTTCTGTCTGGTAGGGAAGAGCACGATGCTATCACCCTGCCTGCAGTCCCCACCGGCCCCAGAAGTAGGCTCTCCACCTATTTCTCTAGCAGCTAGGTCTAAGCTTGCCTGGGGGGTCAGGCCGCCAGGAGCCCTTTCCCACAGGGCATTGTGCAACTCTGGAATTTCGTCTGAGCATGTGACTGGGCACAGAGCTGTAGTCATGAGCCCCTGGCACCGTCATGGCCAGCACGAGCCCTGCCTGGAGTGATTTCTCGGAAAGGGGGGATTTCCCAGGTCACGCCAGGCCCTGGGCCCCAACTCAGCAGTTCCTGGCATGGACCTGGGTCAGGGACACAAAGCCAGGAAGTCCAGATTCTAATAATTTTTTTTTGGCCAGTCCTAGACTTGAACTCTGAGCCTGGGCGCTGTCCCTGAGCTTCTTTGGCTCAAGGCTAGCGCTCTACCACTTGAGCTACAGCGCCACTTCGGCTTTTTCTGAGTGGTTTATTGGAGATAAGAGTCTCCTGCCTCGGGCTGGCTTTGAACCCCAGTCCTCAATCTCATCCTCCTGAGTAGCTAGGTTTACAGGCGTGAGCCACCATTCCCAGCTCCAGATTCTAATTTGTCATGTGCTTTTGCTCTAGTACTAATATCCGAGACATCGTATAATTTTACACTTCGGGCATTCGCTACATGTAATCCTTCACCTGGAGTTAGACTTCAGGAATCACTCTAATTTTCAGAATGCCACACAATGCTGCAGTATACATATTGGCATACAATCGATCTCTCACATTTTTTTTTTTTTTTGGCAGTTCTGGGGTTTGAACTCGGACTTGCCCCTGATAGGCAGGTACCTCACCGCCTGGGCCACACCTCCACCCTTTGCACACTCTGGAGGTTCCTGGGAACAGCTTGGTCCGGTCAAAGGGCCTACACACATCTGAAGTCATTCCTGGTATGTGCTTGAAACAATTCTACAGGAAAAGGTAGTAAAGTTGACATTTCCAGTGACAACTTTTGATTCCAGCAGGCACAAATCATTATTTGAACATTGTCCTCAAGTTTCAACTTGAGGGTGGTTCCGACTTCAACAGCCGTGTCTTGAAAACGCAACGCATTCTTGTCCTCACTCAAATTATTCCAGGCTATGGAAGAAAGAAAAAGAAAGCCATGTGAGCATGTTGTAATTGCAGCCTGTGTAATAATCCAAATGTAGATAACAACTTAAATTTGTATTTTGTATTCAGAACAGAAGCTCCCTTTGAAAGTCCTTGGATACTATGTATGGTACTTTGAATATCCTTAAAAGACAAGATGTCTCCGTGGTGTTTCTCCTCACAGTTCCTAAAGAAGTTCGGCGGTTCTAGCTGTCACTGAATTAACGACAGTGAAGTTGGCATTTTCACAGAAGCTGAAGTAAAGGTATCTTCCCCCTCCTTGTCAAACCCCTGGCGGAAACGCATAAAGAGGAGCACGTTGTAAAATGTAGTGGCATCAGAAGGCAAATTTGTTTCAGCAAGAGAAAGTGCCAAGCCTTTGATGATCTAGCAAATGCAGAAATCCCTGAGGAAAAGGAACATTTCTCTGGCTCCAGGTTAATCTACAGTAGGATGGTGTGTGGTCAGAACCCTCAATGCCATTTGCCCCTTAGGAGATGAGGGGTGGGGTTTACGAGGCCTGAGCTGCCGGAATGCACACTGGAAGAGCCGAGCTGCGGCTCTGGGAGGTGGGGCAGCTCTGTTACCTGGACCATCACGGCGTAGGCTCCGCACAGTACCCTGGACAACTGGACGGCCACCTGGACAAGGCACATGATGACTTGAAGCCCGCTGAGGCCGATGAGGGCGCAGAAAAAGACGATGTTCCACTCTACCACGTGTGCAGGTTCCAGACACGGCCCCGCTCGCTGGAGTCTGTAAGGAAACTGAGGCGGAGGGGGGGGAGGGGATAGGGGGGTGGGGGGGTCAGCAACAAGGCCCCGTGCTTGATCTGGAGGGATACTTGGGAAATTAGTCCAGGTTACAAGGAGGAGGGGAATGGGAAAAGGCCACTAATGCGGGAACATAGACGCGCTAAGCGCTGCGATCACAGACGGCCTGGGCACACTGCTGGCAAGACAGACAGGGTTCAATGGTAGTGAAGGTGGCGCGGGTCAGGACGTCGGTAGGACATGCCGGTGTCACACGGCAGCATGGCCGCCGCAGGCCCTTGTGCAGGAGTCCTGCATTGTCAGGGAGGGAGGTGAGCCTGTCCGGCACGGACAACCCCACATGGCAAAGTCGCAGACAGATTCTGCTGGAAACATCCCGGCTGTGTCCCCAAGTCCTCGAACCCTGACACGGATAAGCTGGACGGCCGGATGGCCGAGCCCCGGGCTCCGCGGGGTTGGAGGTTTAGGAGGTGGAGGCAGAGCTGGAGCCAGGGAAGGGGCTCCGGGGTGGGAATTCGACTCTTCCCATCTCAAAAGCAGGCCGAGACCCACCAGGGCTGCCCGTGGCTGAGTCAGCCCTGCCCACGGGCCCGGACGCTTCCTACGGGACAGAGACTCTGTGCAGACCCCCTCCCCAGCCAGGGTCTGCAGGCTGGCAGGGCCCTTAACGCCCTGCGGTGTCCTCCAAGGTGTAGCCCCAGCCTCCGTGGGTGCGGCAGTACGGGCCCTGGACAAGTCCCACGGCCGAGATGACCAGGCAGTACCCAGAGGAGGCTGCCCCGAGGGCCGCAAAGATGACGGACAGCAGGGTCTGGAGGGACACAGAAGGGGTCAGGGCCTAGCGCTGGCCGGACACTTCCTTCTCCCAGCCGTCCACGCCCACCTCAGCCTGGGTCACACCACACACCACAGGGAAAACAACCCATGCCCGTCTTCACTGGGACTTGAACTCGGGGACCTTTGTTGCTAGGCAGGCCTTTGTCTTGTGGGGGGCTGGCCCCCAGCATTGATCCAGTACCTCCTGTGTAGCTGGGACACACCTGGCGAATCTCACTAACTTTTGTCTGGGCTAGCCTCCAGCCGTCACCCTCGGGATCTCTGCCTCCTGTGTAGGCAAGAGAGCCGGCTGGCTCTTCAAATGCATCTTTAGAATGACATGTTGGTTGCCATTGCAGAGAGGAAACTAGGCAGTTCCCTACATTTCCCCCTTTTGTTCTGTAATTTTGGTGTCGGGATCAACCCACCCAAAGCCCTCCCTGGGAAGTGGCGAGCCTCGGCCTCTGCTTTGCGTTCGTGAAGCCGGCATCTTACCAGGTCTTAGCCTGGGCGTTCATCCTCACAGTCATGGGGGGGGGGGGGGGGGGGATAGCTGCGTTGGGTCTGCGAGCGCCGTGTCTGGACAGACGGGCACAGGGAGCAGCACAGGGCAGGCCAGGTGACCTTGGTCCCTGCCCCAGTTCAGGGTGTCCTTCAGATCCGGGCCCACACAGCTGCCTTTCTGTTTTGCAATTAGCAAATGACGTTCAGAGCAGGGCTGGGAGACTGTGTCCCAGTCTCTTTCCTAACCTTTCCGCAGGGACCCGAAGTCTGTTCTGGCCTGCGCCCAAACAACTGGAGTATCATGAACTCTGAAAGTCTTGATCCCAGAAATATCCACTTTTCATGTGTTACCGCCTTCCAATTAATATCCAAGATACATGCTTTTCATCCAAGAGAATAACATTTTTATAAGAATAACTTGAAGGCGGGCGCAGTGGCTCACACTTGTAATGCTGGTTACTTGGGAAAGCAGGTAGAGGTCAAGGAAAATGCGCAGCGGGTTGGACGGGATGTTGTATCTGTGTGCTGCTGGGGCGGGGGTGGACGGTCAAGGGGGCTCGTGAGGGGCTGGGGGCTCAGCAATGCCAGGAGCCAGGCAGCACTAGCGGCTGAAAGGAAGACAGCAGAAGGGTCTGCCCAGTGGGGCCTTCTGGTAACTTCTGCTTCCCCAGAGAAACAGGAAGCGGAGAGAGGGTGTTGAAGGCAGAGAGAAAAGCGCAGACAGAGGGGAGGAGCAGAGAGGGCCCCTCCCCGCCCCGTTCCTCCTGGACACCTCCGGATGACATTTCTGCTCTTGTTGTTTTTAGGTCCAGTTTCTGCAGGTGAAGGAAATCACGGGCATTTGTCTTTGTGAGTCTGCCTTATTCAGCTAACATCCTTCCGTTTCCTGGCAAATGACATAACACTTTTTACGTACCACCTTTGTGTTCTTTCGCTTCTAGCAAGGACTTGTTTCAGCAAAACCATGGCCAGTAACTCTGAGCAGGAGAGAGTGAGCTCATGGCGTGGCGTGGCGTGATGTGGCGTGACGTGGCGTGACATGGTGTGTTCAGGGCCCTCTCGCAGGCACTCTGGCTGCCTGGGGGAGGTTCAGGGTGGGGATTTGGGGCCAGAGCGATTACCTGGATGGTCAAGTGGGAATGGGGTTGGGGAAGGGCTGTGGGTGGCAGCTCCTCCCCCCAGTCTAGGCAGGTCCTCAAGGCTAGTTTTATACCACAGCTGTGTAGTGATGGAGCCTGGGGCGGGGGGCGGTGGGGGAGGAGATAATGGATGACCAGCTTCCATTTGGAAGACTTCCAGCAAAGCCACAGCGGCAAAGGAAGAGAGGATCCCAGCCATGACCTGGGATGAAAGTTGAGGAAAGAGCAGTGGACAGTTTCTTCTTCGCCTTTGGTCATCTCCTTCGTAAAACTATGGAATGAAGCTCTTTCCAGAGAACACAAACATTTGCTTCCTTTCACTCCTAAGAAAGCGGCCGAACCTGATCAAAGAGGATATCCTGAGCACGCTGTCCCCGCAGTGGGCCCCGCGTCCCCCAGAGGACAGCGATGCACCACGGGGCTTCCCGCCTTCCTGTTCTCCAGAGGGCTGGGCGGCAACTCCACAGGATTCATGCTGCCAGGCGCGGTGCCAGACAGAAACAGGGAGAGCACCACCTAAAAGAGCCTCAGTGTACGGCCCCCAGCCCATCTGCCACCCGGCGCCAGCCCCAGGGCTGCGGGGAAGGAGGAAGAATCCGAAATACGCTCATCAAAAAAGCAGCAGCTGCAAAGATTTAAAAAAAAGAGAGCCGCAGAGGAGCGTCTTAGGAGAGAACTCCCCCTGAAAGCTCAAGGCAGATGAACTTACCGCTCCCGTCCACCCCCGCCCCGGCCAAGGACACAGAGTCCTGGTCAGGACGAGGCTGGGGACCCCATGGGAGGCAGTGTTTGCCTAAAAGTGCACTGGACAGCAGCGGCACACAGCTGTGCAAACACGGACACTGCGATCTTCCTGAGTTTCGTGTTTATCTCCTGTCCCCAAAGGCCGGGAGAGTGTAGGGTTCTCTCTAACGTCTGCCGTATTGATCTGTAGACCAAAATGCCTACACAGGCCTATTCAGAACCCCCGACCTCGGCCCCTAGCGTGTTCCTAAGGTGGCTGGAACAACCTCTCTGTTCATTCCTGCCGCCCAGCCCTTGTGGTCTAGAGAGGCCATTTGTTAATTCAGACTTCTCCGGGCAAGCACTGAGGGACTGTACCCAGACGTCTCAACACTTGTACCCAGTCGAGGAAGCAAACGTGTCTGACAGCCGCCCGCAGCACGGGATGTCCAGTCTCCGGTGCGCTCGCCTCCGGCCCGGTGAGGGCCGTGCAGCCCGGGGGCAGCGCTTGGTGGGATCTCCGATTGAGGAGCCAGCCGAGGGACCACGGCAGGCTCAAGGGGCCAGTGCCGTCCAGGGAGCTCGGCCGGGCCTTGTTTGAGAGACCACCGTGCCAGCAGGAATCCAGACAGTGTTGGGGTGGCCTTGTTAATTTGGGGCGCTGACGGGGAGGCGCAGGAACTCTAGAATGTAGGAGCACTTGCTCTGAAAGGCGTGAGGCAAGCGAGGAGGAGGAGGAGGAGGAGGAGGAGGAAATGGGAAGGCCCTCTGCACTGGAGCTCAAATGCTCTGCAGTGTTGCTGCCACTTCCCTGACGCAAGAGATGGGCAGGGAGGAAGAGTGCCTGGGTGTCCTTCCCTCGGGCTGGGGTGACCCCCCCCCGGAACTCACAGTGGAAAGCCAGGCTCTTCCCAAGCATTCTGGAAGGACAGAGCCGGAGCGTGGCCAAGGGTCCCGCAGGGTGTCCCAGGAACTTTTTTCTCAAGGGAGTGCCCTGGAGGGCTGTGCTGTGGAACTTGATGGAAGCATCTAAGGGCCAGGAGAGGTGCGTGCAGGGTAGAGGGAAACCATCGGGGTGTTTCCATCATCTGCGTTTGGTGGGGGGGGGGGGGGAATCTCCCACCAGCCAGGCCAGCTTCACCAGAGAAAGAACCAGACGTGGGTTCCCTCCGGAGGCCCTGTACTGCCCCCTGCTGGCCGAGCTCTGCACCTCCGGCTGGCGAGGGAAGCAGAAAGATGACATGGCGCATTCTAGCTGACAGGCACCCCCCCCCCCCCCCGCGCTCCCTCCCCCCCTGGCGGGGCCCAGATAGGAGAGAGACGCGCTGGTCACTGTGGTCTGTGGACTGCAGAGGAAGGACATGGAGAGGCTCCACCGCCCCGGCTCTGTTGCGGTCACAGCGAGATGGTTTGCAAGGAAGGGTGTTTCCGTGGCTTCTGGTTCTGGAATCCCAGGGAGTCCACAGCCCCCTTCCCCCCAGCAGAAGCTGGAGGTGCAGGAGAGCAGGCCGGCAGCACAAACACGATCTCGGGGTAGAGGCCCCGCCCCCACGGACCCCACCCCACCAACGCAGGACTGCCAGCCCTTGTCCTAAGCAGTCCCTGAGAGCTCACCTCATCTTTCTTCTACCCAGAGACTGTTAGACTTGTTTCTTTGTCCAGCGCCCGTCCCGGGGCCGGGGGTGGGGGGGGGTTTGGACTCTCACTTGCTTTCCCTCAAAGCTGCTGCTCTGCCCCGCGTGCCGCAGATCACCCCAGAGCGAGAGGCGGTGTGGTGTTCACGTAGGTGCTGTTCATGTATGTGCTGACCACTGCCCCCCCCCCCCGCCCCGCTAGGGTGGTGCCTGCCGCTCACTCTCAGACCGACACACTCACATTCCATGTGTGAGCAGACTCTGTAAGACCAGAACATTCTGTGCCCTTGGCCTAGAATGAAGTCCAGCAGTCTGCCAGCCGCGTGGTTCCGGTGAGTGGCCCAGGCTAACTGTCCCCTGGGCTCAGCGCCATCCTTGCGCCTCTTGGTCACCTGAGGTTGCTGTTCAAGGCCCGAGGCTTCACTGGAGACGCTTCCCGGGGCGATGTCTCCCCTGATGAGCAGCCCCGATGTAGCTGCCCTTCACCCCCAGCTCTTTCCTCCCGGAAGCTCCAAGTCAGAACCGAGTCCCCTGTCCTCAGACCCCCGTCTGTCCGTCCTCTTCATGAGGCCGAGCACTGGGTGGCAAGTTTTCTTCTCTGTACCCACATCAAGGATCTGGGTAGAGGAACGCGGGCCTGACAGTTGCTCTGCTGCCGGAGCCACACTCTGACCCCCTTTTTGCACTGCTATGAGATAGGGTCTCCCCCCCCCACCCCACAGCCTGGACTGTGATCCTCCTATGTACACTTCCTGCTGTAACAGGATGGCAGGTGTGTATCACCATGCTGAGATTTCTCTGTGGAGATGAGGTCCTAAGTAGCCGGGATTACAGGTGTGAGCCGCTGGTGCCCTGGGCCTTTCTGGATTTTTTGTTGTTGTTGTTGGTCGTGGGGCCTGAACTCTGGGCCTGGGCGCTGTCCCTCAGCTCTTCAGCTCAAGGCGAGCGCTCTACCGCTGGAGCCACAGCGCCACTTCCAGCTTTTTCTGCTTATGTGGTGCTGCGGAATCGAACCCAGGGCCTCAGGCATGCAGGGTGAGCGCTCTACCACCGAGCCACCTTCCCAGCCGCGCGTCCTGGATTGTTCATCGGGATTGTGCTTCCTCCTGTGCATGTCTAACTGCACCAGTGGCTCGTAAAGAGTCAGCCCAAGATGGGACCGGTCAGCGCCTGAGCGGGGCCGACGCCACGTGCCCGCCCTGAGCAGCGTTCTCACCTACCTTACCTCATCCAGACACCTTATCTCCTCCGGCCAAACAAAGGAGGAAAGCGACACAGAGACGCTGAGGAACTTGCTTAGGGTAACACAACTAGAGCATTGGGGGGGGGGCTGGGCTCACAGGGCCTCACTGAGCCCTCCCCACGAGGACTGGGGTGCCCAGCAGGCAGCCAGCCCCCCAGAGCTCCCAGATTGCCCCCCTCCCCCCCACCCATGCAGCCAGCCCCCCAGAGCTCCCAGATTGCCCCCCTCCCCCCCACCCATGCAGCCAGCCCCCCAGAGCTCCCAGATTGCCCCCCTCCCCCCACCCATGCGGCCAGCCCCCCAGAGCTCCCAGATTGCCCCCCTCCCCCACCCATGCGGCCAGCCCCCCAGAGCTCCCAGATTGCCCCCCTCCCCCCCCCCCATGCGGCCAGCCCCCCCAGAGCTCCCAGATTGCCCCCCACCCATGCGGCCAGCCCCCCAGAGCTCCCAGATTGCCCCCCCACCCATGCAGCCAGCCCCCCAGAGCTCCCAGATTGCCCCCCTCCCCCCCACCCATGCGGCCAGCCCCCCAGAGCTCCCAGATTGCCCCCCTCCCCCCACCCATGCGGCCAGCCCCCCAGAGCTCCCAGATTGCCCCCCTCCCCCCCACCCATGCGGCCAGCCCCCCAGAGCTCCCAGATTGCCCCCCTCCCCCCACCCATGCGGCCAGCCCCCCAGAGCTCCCAGATTGCCCCCCTCCCCCCCACCCATGCGGGTTTCTCACTCTGGGAACGTCAAGCGTTTTGTAAACATGATCTCATCCCCACAGCACAGACGTTTTCAAACAAGTGAGTTAATGTTTGCAGAAGGTCCTTGAGCTGCGAAGATGGCGGGCCCAGCATGAACACACGGGCATTGTCCAGCAGCTGTCCCGCGGGCCTCCAGCAGGACTGCAGTCAGGCCCCGCAGAGCCACCTCTGCCTGAGGGTGGACGGGGTCTGAGAAGCAGCCGGGCCGCAGGGGTCCCCTGGTGACCGGTCTGTGGGTGCCTCCTGCCAGGCAGGCTGGAGAGAGGCCTACGGCCTGGAACGGTGTGCAGATGACCAACCACAGCCACCGTGGGGCACAGAACACCCCCAGAGGAGATTCTAGAAAGCGCCCCTTGGAGAACGGTCCTGCGGCCCATCGGAATCGTCGGAAGAGCTTCGGAGCCAGAGCACGCAGAGACACCACCGCAGCCAAGTCAGACTTCCAGCCAGAGGCACCTGGCCACCCACAGGGATTTAGATGTGACCAGGCGATCTGGGCCTGCCAGCCCTCTTCCTGCCACACGGATGCGAGGCTCTTACTCTTCCGCCCTTCCGGAAGAGCCTTGCCCAGGTTAAGAACTGCGTCGTTCATTAGTGGACCCGTCTGCGGACAACACCAGCACCACGTATCACACCTTCCTCAGCCAGCTCTACCCCACTCCTCGCCAGCCCTGGAGAGAGCCCCCAGCCCCCCGCCCCCCCCCCCCCCGCCCGCCTTCTCCAGCGGCCCCCGGGGTGGGCAGAGCCGCACGCACGGCTTTGTCAGCAGCCGGTCTAGGGATATTTCTGAGGTGAGCACAGGGTTCAGTGAGAAAACCCAGACCTGCAGGAGAGCAAGCTGCTGGGAGCAGTTGCCACGAGGCTGGAGGAGACCCGTGGAGTGGAACTGGGGCAGTGTGCTCTGGTGGGCGCGGTAGCTTTGCACGTGGTGGAGGTGGCTGGGAGGGGCCACGGGCCCCAAGTCCCGACCCGGGCGGCGGTGAAGTGTGGGCACTCACAGCCGGGCAGTCCCGTACCTGCCACTGCATGGAAAAGAAGCAGTTCCTGTAAAAGCAGCATGGGTGTCAGCGACGGCTCATTGCCCGACCACTGCTTTTAGCCCAGGGAGGATCTGGAGTCGGGCTGGCACCATCCCCGGCCGGCTGCTTTGGTTGTGCCTTCAAATCTCCGGGGCCATCACCGGCCGGCTTGGGAGGCAGGGCCGGCGCTGTCGGCCTGAGCCTGAGCGATGGGCGTGGGTGCGGGTGGCCGAGGGCGTGGGCGGCCCAGCAGGCAGAGGCGGGCATCAGCGGGGTGGGCCTGCAGCCAGAAGAGGCGTGGGCCTGGCACCAAGCCGGACGGAGTGGGAGCTGCTGCGTCCAGGGAGCCCTCCTGTTTACGGATTGAGGGGCACGCAGCCCCGTGCTCCCTTCAAGTGTGAAATCTGACCGCCTCGTCCCGTGGAGCAGTGATCTGTTCCGAACATTAGAAAAGTTCACGTGTCCGCGTGAGGGGTGACCTTGAACTCTTGACGCGTGGTCACGGGAGTTGGCTTGTGACCCTGCCCTCCACGCACAGCCTCTCCTGGGGTCTGAGGCTGTGTGTCTAGCCACAGGTCCCCAGCTCGCCTAATCTGATGGAGAGGAAGAAGTAGAGGAGGGCAGGGAAGGCAAGGTAGAGACAGAAGATGGGCGGGGACCCCCAGCCACAGAGGTCTGCAGATGCCGGGGGGAAACAGCAACTTACACCAAGACCCACGACCACGAACACCAGCAGAGTGGCAGTGAACGTTTTATTTCGTCTCCAACAAGCCAGCCTTGGGTGGAGAGGGGGCCTCTCCCCCTCCTCCCCCCCCCCCCCCCGCCCACGTCGGTGACCCGTGGCTGTGTTCCCGGTCCTCCGTGTCCTCCCTGGTCCTCCTCTCGTGGCACACGCCCTTTGTCTTTGCAGGGCAAAGAGCTTTCGTGCTGAGGAGGCCGAGCCTCGGGCGTTCTCAGAGCAGAGAGGCGCGGAGGCCCCTTGTGGAGGCTGGAGGATGTGTGCGGGGAAGAGCCGGCCGATGGTGCAGACCCCAGCCTCGGTCGCGGCCTTCCTCTGCCTGGGCTTAGGAAAAGCAACCCGACACCTCTCACTTAGAAAGCAGTGCCTGCGCGCGCACACACAGCAGGGGGCAGTGGACTTCCTCCTAACGATGACAGTTAGCTTCTCCCCGTACACAGAGGCTGTTGGGTTGGTGACTAGCTCCAGAGCACCATTTTATGTTTTCTCATTCCTTAAAACATCATCATCATCTTTGCGACGTTGAAACACTGAGATCTCATAGAGACGCCGGTCTTTATTCTTGTACAAAGGCAGAGTGGAAAGTGGAGCACAGAGTTTCCCAGTAGTACGAGTAGTATATAAATACAGGGAGCTGCGTTCGGCGGGGCGGCTCTGTCTTAGCAGTCGTATCTCTGTCAAGAAATAAAATGCGATGAGCCCAGGTGAGGGTCATCCAGACGCAACGTCCCTCCACCACCGCCCAGTCTCCTCAAGGACCTCCTAACAAACCCGCTCCGTCCACCCTAGTAAAGTCTGCTCAGGGAACAGGGATAGTGGGGCTGGGCTGGCTCTGTGCGTGTGTGTGTGTGTGTGTGTGTGTGTGTGTGTGTGTGTGTGTGTGTGTGTGCGTGCGTGTGTGTGTGTGTGTGCATGCGTGTGTGTGTGTGCAGGGCTCTCAGCTTATGGATTTAGAAAAACATGCCAGGAGGCTTTCCCACCAGCGTGGCTCAGTGGCAGTGATCTGCACAATGGCATGTGACCTGCCAGAGCCTCCTCCCTCCACCGGAGCCCTGCCCTTCTGAAAGATGCTGTTGTCTTCCAGCAAGGTGAAGCCACCTTCCCAGCTTGGGGTGTCCCCCTGCCCCCCCGCAGGGCAGACCACATGGTGGCTTCATCTACTCCTTGCTTCTGCCTGTTCCCATAACGTTCCGTTCCGGCACCAAAGCCCCGGCTGCCTGGTACGAGCTGCAGGGCTGAGCACAGGTTTGCATTCAGCAACCCAGTGCCCCCACACCCCGGCCCTGCCCCGCACCCTGTCCAGGCTCCCGCACCCTGTCAGGGAGGGGGGCCATCTCCACCCTCCCCAAACGTCCCTGTGCTGAAGGCCCCCTTTCTTTTGTCATGGAAACTTGGCAGGCTCCAAAAGAAATCATTAATCTTCCTGCGTTTGCCCGATAAGAAAAACCAGGCTTTTATTTTAACTTCCCTTCAAAAACGGTAGGAAATTTCCAGATAGTTACCGCCACAACGGTGCACTTTTACTTTCCATGAGGGTTTTGTTTTTTGTTTTTAGTCTTCTTTTAAAGGAAAAGTTAAGAGAGACCCAGAGTTCAGAGGGGAAAGTGGTTTAGAGATTTTAAATTAAATAAGCTTCTGTTGGCCTGACCTTGTTTTGTGGAAGAAGACAGGACAAGCCCCCTCCCTCCAGCGGCCCCCACGGGACCCCCATCGATTCAGCGTTGGGACCCCCACGGACTCGGGTACGCATCACCCAGAAGGGCGCTGGGCTAGAGCTTTCCCCACCCCACACGCGCATAGCCCTCCCCTAACCCGCATCCTCAGGAAGCAGGTGTTTCCTGGCTTTCTCTCGCAGAGAAAGGCTCTCTGTGGGCACCCGTGTACAGCCGGGGCACGTCGTCGGGGACTCCTTATTAGGAAGAACCCATTCAGGGTGTGACAACCTGGGGCCGGGGGTCTGAACTCTGAGTCACAGAGTCTTTTCTGGAAAAGAGGTTCAGCACAACGACCCAGGCAGGGTCAGGAACGTGACACATCACGGGGAAGTCTGGACGCTCTCCTGTGTGGACTCTGGGACCAGAGCAGGAGTAGCAAGAACCAAACCAAGGTGCCCTGCAAGCTTCCTGCTGACCAGCACGTGTGCCAGGGACAGCTTGCCACAAAGACAGCGCAGGAACAAGCTCGAGTAGTGGGCCTGTTTGTTTTTGCTTTTCCAGCGTTGGAACTCCACGCAGGCACTCTACCTCGTGAGCTACTCCCCCTGCCCTTTTTTATTTTTGCTTTCGTTATTTTTCAGATGGGAGTCTCATGCTCTGCCTGGCTGGCCTCTGACCACCGTCTTCCTAGCTTTGCCTCCCGAGCCTTTGGGAACCACAGACCCAGTTTTTGTTGAGTTGTGTTTGTGAGATAAGGTCCAGGCCTTGAACCAGGATCCTCTGGTCCCGGCCTCCCTGGCAGCTGAGTTACAGGTACTTGCACCACGCCGGCGGTTGTGCGTGTGTGGCTTGCCTGTTTCTCTTCCATGGAAAGAAGGAAATGAAGCGGGTGGCGGCCTTTCCTGCCCGCCCTTACCTGCTGGCGCGAGCAACAGTACCCACAGAGGCCTCCAAACACTCCATTGATGGCTTGTATGAGGCACAGGATGAATTCAACTCCACCGAGGGCCAGGAGGAGGGAGAACAGGGTGACGTTCCACTCTACGACATGCTCAGGTTCCTGGCACCGGGACCAGGTGGAGCTGTCCAGGAGGTACCTGAGAGCAGAACGAGAAACTCCTGATGCACGAGCACGGGGAGTTCTTATCCAGAAAAATACATGGCGGGGGGTGAGGGGGGGGAGGGGGCCCGAGGGGAGACGGCTCTGCTGCTGGTCTGTTAGAGCCTCCACAGCAAGCCAGCCACAAAGGGGGACGTCCAGCTCAGACCTAGCTCTGGTGAAAAACATACCATGAACACTTAACAGTGTTGGACCCCTGATGGTGCCTGTACTCGCTAAAAGACACAGGATTTCCTGTAAACAACTAAAGCAAAAACAAGGGCTATACTTCAGCCATGTTTAAAGAGATGTGTGTGTCTCTGTGTGTCTGTGTGTGTGTGTTGTACTTAGATCTGGAAAAACAAACGCCTGTTAAAGTATAGAAAATAGTTTTGCTCTCTGACTGCTGCATACTTATCTCTCAGCAATAAGACATTTGTAGGTGAGGGTTTTGTTTTGGATCTTCAAGACAATAATTTAGATCATTTCATTAAAATTCCCCTTTATTATTTCCTTTTGGGAAAAAAAAATTATCCGAATTCTGCCAGGTTTAGGGACATCCGATGCTCAGGTTCTTCACTGAGATGTTTGGGATACAATTGCTTTGGCTTCTAAGGCGTGGGCTAATTTGCATTAGAAAGCAGGAGGATCAGGCCCCCCTAGTTTATTTCCCTTCTGCACTCAGGTGCTGTGCCGCACACAATCACAGAGCCCACGGGCGGGCCTCCGGTGCAGCTTGGACTTAGGAGATGGACACATACCTGGATGTGCTTTATATCTGAAAACCCTCCCCCTTGGGTTACTTTCCTGGAATTTCAGCCTTCACTATCCAATTGGACATTTGCATTCATAATGAAATAAGACTCAATCTTGTGGGAAAATCAGAGATTGACTCAGCCCCACAAAGAGGTCTGGTGTCTCTCCTTTCTTATCGCTCTCTCCACCTGCCCAGGGAGAACAAAGGAGCTTGGAACCAGACCCCGAACATGGAAACGGTTCCTCCAGCCAACTGGAGATTCAATTCGTTGATTTAAAACAAACACGCACACAAAAATTCCACCCTGCTGGTTCAGTCTCTCTGCTTATTGGTGGGAATAAAAGTCTGGATTTTTTTTCAGGCCACCAAGTTAAAAAAAAAATTGTCTTTGATTATTTGGCAGCTAGCTGATGTTTGGGGACTGGTGGCCGCTCCCCATCTTGAACTCCCTGGACAGTTTCACATGAGGAATGATGTAGAACAGGAAGCTGGAGGGCTCGGTGGGAGGGGCGTAAAACCGCTATAAAAAATAGACGAACAATGCCTCCTCCCCTGCCTGCATTCCAGCTGCCTAAATCACAACTTATTCTAGAGGCCATTTCACGAGGCAGTTTTGTGTGTGTGTGTGTGTGTGTCTGTGTGTGTGCGCGCACACACACACGAATCATCGCTGTGTACCAGCACACTAGGTTCTGAGCAACGATGAATCATCGTCTCCATCACAAAGCTTTTCCTGGAAAAGCTGCCCATTGGTCCACTCGGCCGGGTGTAAGGGGGTGGCGGCTGTGAGGCCCGTGGGCCCCCCCTCCCGTGGGCCTCCCCTGGGCATCCTGCTCCAGATGAAGCATCAGGACGCAGAGAGGCCTTGTTGGGCTTTCCCGTTCCTGGAGAAGCACAGGTCTACCGTGTCCCAAGCTTGTGATCTGGTGGAGAACATGTCTGTAGGCCCACACGCACGCAACCTCCCTGTCCTCTACGTGTGCCGTGCAACGGACACCACCCTGAAGGTCAGGGCAACGCCGCTCACGGCCGATGTGACTTTCGCTCACTACACTCAAAACCACACCCTTCGAAACTCAGCTTTGAAAGGGGAGCCGGGACAGGATGCCCCCCCGTCCCCCGGTCTGTTCCTGCTTGTGACCGCGCGATCCCGCCCACCGCTTGCGTACCGTGATTTCTATAGCAGGAGTGTGCGCGTGGGGTGGGGCAGGTTCACTTTGGTAGAAGGTGTGCCCGGTGGGCGCTGCCCAGCCACGTGCTCTGCAGACAGGCCCCAGCTGTCCGTGGACCTAGGCGGCCTATTCTGGAGACACTCGGGCCCGGGAGACCCAACCCCAGGAGGTGGGGCCCGGTAGACCCCGGCGACCTACCCTCCATCCGTGTCCGCAAAGGTGTAGTTCCACTGGCCGCGGGAATCCATGCACAAGGGTCCCTCTGCCAGGCCCAGAGCGGCCACAACGACGCAGTAGCCGGATCCCAAGATGCCGACGAGGGCGGCCAGGATGGAAGAGAGCGTCTGTGGAAACGGGGTTGGGGGGGGGGGGTGAGCCCGCGTCCTCGAAGCCCGTCCGGGGTGGCCACGGCCCGCCCTGCCCGGGACAGCGGGACGCACCCTGCAGCTCTTGCCGCAGTCTTCCTGACCGCAGCCACCGCAGCAGTCCTCCTCCTCCTGCGCGATGAACACGGACGCCGAGAGCAGCACCTGCCAGGAGACAGAGTGGCCACCGTCCGCCCCTCCGCCTCCGGCCCGGGCTGAGGGGGCAGCCCCACGCAGAGGGGCGGACAGCACAGCCCCAGAGGACCTCGGAGAATGCGGGGGGGGGGGGGACAGAGGAGAAACAGCTACGTCCTCTGCCATCAAAGGAGGTGGAGGATGAGATCGGGTCCAGTGAGGGCTGGGCCCGTCCCTCACCAGCTCACAGCAGACACCCGTGCGAACTCTGCTTCTGAGCTGGGAAGCCCCGCCTTACATCGGATCTTCCCCCCCATGGAGCACACCAGAGAATCTTGGATAATCTCACAGACTTGAATGTCCTCTCCCACAGGGTGGCTCATGCCTGTCACCCTGGCTACTCGGGAGGCTGAGATTTGAGTATCACCGTTCCAGCCCAGACAGGGAAACCTGTGAGACTCTCACCTCCAATTAACCAACCAGAAGTCAGAAGTGGAGCTGTGGCTCAAGAGGTAGAGTGCAAGCCTCAAGCCAAAAGAGCTCAGGGACAGCGACCAGGTACTGGGTTTGAGCCCAGAACCAACACACACACACACACACACATGTACCATCCACCTCTCTCTGGGGCTACACAGCACTTGTTTTAGCCAGCCTAACTGCAATGCTTCATAAGTTGGTGTGAATTACCTGAAGTTCAAGGTCAAAAGAAACTGAAGTGCAAACTTAAGTAGGGCATTTCCATGGTCTTGTCTGTCCTAACAATAGTGATGTTTAATTTCAAAGCAGATTCACCACACCTCATTCATCAACTAGATTTAAATGTGTTGACGTTTCTTACTTTAGCATGGGAAAAAAAAAATGTCTGTATGGCGTTAATGACCGCATACAATTTCTCTTTTAAAATGCTTCACCCCAGCTAACCCAAGTTCCTCCACGCTTTTTCCACGGGAAGCTGATGACTTCGGCTCTCAGGATTGGCGGGCAAATCCCTTGCTTCGATTCAAAACAAACCTTGGAAAAAACAACACAATCCACCCCCAGCTCCCACCCTGCTAACAGCGATCTTTCACAGACTCCACACCCTAGGAGAGAGTTCTCCCTACTTAGTATATAGCAGTTCACTCCATCCTTGGATTTCTCCTCTGTCACCAACACCTTGGAGCTAACAGTAGAGAAAAGTTGGACCCAAAACTGAGCCCCACACCAACTTCCCATCCCCAGAGCCCATGTTGAGTGACCCCCCCCCTCCCCCAACCAGAAACTACATCACCCCTCAACCTGCTGTTTAAGTAAGAGAAGAAGAAAAAAGAAAAGATCGCTTTTAGTTGAAAGAGGATTTTGTGAAGCAACTTACTATTAAACTAATGGGATGTTCAACACAGCCTTTGGGCAATCTGCTTGCAAAACAACGAACAAAAGATCCCAGGGTTTTGGAAATAAACATCACAGGCAAGTTTCTTTTCACAGAAAAGCATGAACCTGCTCATTAAGAAGAGAGACCTTTCCAGGTTGTCAAACTCCCCCGGCCACTTACCAGCAAGCCCCCTCCAGCCAGGCCGGAGAAGAACCAGACGAAGCGGCTGAGGTGGTGTTCCGAGGCGTACTTTGTTTCCCCGTTGGGGAAATAGAGCAGGACATTCGCCACCATGCAGAGCACGGCCAGCCACACCAGACAGTGCCCAATGCAGCGGGCACATCTCCCGTAGCACATGGCCATCGAGTCCCGCTGCGCCTCCTGCTCCGAGAGAACACCAGGGCAGCTCCCGGCCGGTCCCGGCTGCCCTTAAATACCGTGGGTGCTTTGTCATCCGGACGGAGCCCTGGGCTCTCATTGGTCCTGGCTGCAGACCGGCAGGGTAGAGAGGTGGGGCCTTGCCCTTGAGAGGAGTCCCGGGGACAGCCGGCTGGGTGAGATGGGAGGCCCCGCCTGGGCCCCAGGCAGCCCAGAAAATGACAGACCCTCCGCCCACCCGGAGCTGACCCTCTGCCCGGAGCTCTGCGTGCCCGCTTGCTCCACAGGGCAGACTCACCCGGAAAGCAGAGCCTAGCTCTCCAGCCACTGCATGCTCTCTGGACGGCTTTCAGTCCAGTCTCTGTACCCCTGGATCTCTGCACCAACTTAACTGTGACCCTGAGCAAGCTTCCTGAGCGCTGAACTCATTTCCGTGTCTGTTAGAGACAAAAAGCCCAAGCTGTCACCCAGGGGTCTCAGGCGGGCCGGGGGGCGGGGGGGGAGGAATGGGAAAATGACAGAGCAGCCCTCCTCTTCCTTCCGCCTGCAGCCCGCCTGCAGCCCCTCTGGACATCTGATTGCAGAAGGGATCTGCCGCACAGCCAGCCGTGGCCCCTGGGTCCCCCCAAGCACGGTGCCAGGCCGGAGCGGGGAAGAAGAGCTGTGACGTGGGGAAAGGAGGGAGAAAACACCTAACAAACGCAGACTTGCCAAGCCTAGCAGGGAAGGAAGGTGCGGGGGGCGGGGCTGGCTGGCAAGGGGCTGAGCAGGCGTCTCTCTACCCAGCAGAGGGGAGAGGGAAGATGCGCGGTCCGCGCACACCAGGAGACACCTTCCTTCCTTTCTACTTCTGAGGGTTTGCGGACTCCCCGGGGTGCACCCCCCGTGGGGTGTGTATCCGGACCCCACCCGCGGCACCCATCTCCCTCCCGGCCCAGCCAACAGGGATTTTCAGGGTGCGGCCAGCAGTCCGGGCCTTCGTACACCGCCTGAGTCATTTGTCCTCCCTGCCCGGGGACCCAGCCCCAGTCCGCATCCTGTCTGTGGCTTCCCGCTGAGGCCTGGCGCCCCCCGCCCCCGGGAGGTCCCCGAGACACAGTGTGAGGGACACACTGTGGTGGGGGGGCGTCTCCGGGCCCCTGGCCTGCCCTCCTCGTCAGGACCGTCCGGTTCCACGCGGTATGATGGTGGGCGCCCGGAGGCTTTGTCAGGACTTCTTAACGATCTCTCTGTGATGCTACCCAGGGGGTCCTGGTCTTTCCCCGGCTGTGCGCCCTGTGTCTGGGCACAGACCCTCTCTGCGGAGCCCCTCTGGGTCCAGTTCCATCCGGCTCTGGCCTCGGCCCCGCCCCACCTCCTCCTCCCTGCCCCTGCCAGAGATGCTACACCCATCTGTCCCTCACTTTCTGCCGTTCCTTGATTCCCAGTCTCCTCTGCTCCCTCCCTGGCTCATGATGGAGTCCCCCGCACTGGGAACACAGCAGCACACAGAGCCGTGTTCCTTCAGTCAGGAGAGAGACCTGGGGGTGCAGCAGAGCGCCCCACGGCACCGAGAGCCTGCAAGGGGCCCGGGGAAGCCGCCGGGGACAGGGTGACGGCAGGGTGGTGACACACCGCGTCACCCACGCCGCTTGCCCTGGCTTCCTACCGTCATCCACCCCGACTCCCCGCGGTGTGTCTCCCCCCACTGGTAGTTCATTTTGCGGCCTTTTCTCGTATCCCCTAACTCCAGCACCCCCGGATCCGGTATGGTCTTTCCCGACTGATGTTTCAGCACCCTGACAGCGGGGGAGAGAGTCAACCCCACACCTCGGACTCCATCCCCCTGCCCTAGACCTCTCCACCCCTGCCTGCGTCTCTCCCTACACTGCCCGCCCCCTACGTCTCTCCCTACACTGCCCGGTGCTCAGGACTGGCAGTTTGACACCACCACACTCTTCAAACCACAGGTGCTCCACGGTGAGTCCTCCTCCCCCAGGCCAGCCCCAGGTCACCGACCGTGACCTCCTCGTCATAACGACACCGTCACCAGCCACACCGGGCCTGCGCGCGGCTCCCCGTGAGGGCCTGCCTGCCAAGCAAACACGCATCTGTTCAAACGAGGAGGGAAGCTGAGAGTGTGCCGTTCCCAGGTTGTTTGCTTTGGAGCAAAATCAAAACACAGTATGAAAAGTTAGCAAACTCGGTATCCATTCTGCGTAAGTTACATTTGCAGTTTCTCGTTATTCGCACCACCAGTAGGGGTGTGTATGTGTGTGTGTGTCTGTCTGTCTGTGTGTGTCTGTGTCTGTGTGAACCGGGTTTGCACGTTGAAGGGACTCAGATGCTAAACCCAGGCCACTTCAGAGTTAAGACCGTAGGTGTTGATTTTCCCCCAGCAGTCCATGGGAATGGGTTACCTTGAGCTGACACCCATAGTCTGTGGTTCTCTAGGGTATGGGGATTCTCAGGGGAAGATCTGAACTCAGCTCTCTTGCCTCCAACTCCGACTTGGGTGTTTTCCTTTCCTTGCTGGGTAGGCACTAGTTTCTTGCTCACTTGAGCATAACAAACATTGTGATTCAGAGGTAGCAGCCATCCTCATTAGAGCTTTCTGATTACAAGTGACAGACACCAGCTCAGCCGCCCTAACCCAAGGGGCATTAATCATGAGGCCAGAGGAGAATGTGGAGGGACCATGGGACTCAGAGACTAGGGGAGCCTCATTTTTCCCTCTTTGACTCTTTCTGTCCAGCCCTGATTGGGCCTCCGCCCGTGGGGCCTGCTCAGCCATAGCTGCTGTGAGCCAGTGGAATACACAGGTTTCCAGACAGACACACAGACCAGCAGAAAAGACGGGAGGACCCAGAAACAAACCCACACAGCTAGAGCCACCTGATTCTCAACGGAGGAGCCAAAATCAGACATCGAGGGAAGACAGCCTCTTAACCAATGGTGCTGGCAACACTGGATAGTCACATGCAGAAGACCAAAAGCTAGCCTCCCATCAGCCACAACGGGTCCAAGACTTAATATAAGACTTAAAAACATTTAAAGCCGTGGACACGGGGAAACCTTGAAGACAGAGGGACAGGCAACTGTTTTCTGACTAGAATTCTAGCTGCTCGAGAAATAAGAGCCGGAATTACCTACTAGGATTGCATCAACTCCAAAAGCTTCTATACAAATCAGAACGACTCTGAGGTTCCACCTCACCCCAGTTAGATTGGCCAACACCGTGAATTTGGACAACAAATGTCGGCAGGGATGTGGTGAAAAGGAGCCCTGTTGCACTGTAGGTGGAAATGCAAACTAGTGTAATCATCCTGGACGGCAGTCTGAAGGTTCCTCAAAAACTAAACACAGATCTTTCCTACAACCCAGCCAAACCATTCCTGGGCATCAACTCAAAACATCACAAACCAGGATACCGTCAAGACGCTCCAACATCGGTGATCACTGCTCACTATTCACAACAGCTAAGTTGTAGAAACAGCCCAGATGTCCTACAGTAGAGGAGTGGCTCTGAAAACGCGGTACCTGGACACAGTGGAATTTTACCATTAGAAAGAACAAGATATCTTCAAGGAAATGGATGAACCTAAGATAAATCATGCTAAGTGAGGGAAGCCAAGCTCAGAGAGACAAATGGGGCATGTTTCTCTCATAGGCAGAAGCTTGATGTCAGATACCGTGAGATATACGTTATACAGATCTCTGAGCAGTCACACAGTAAGACCAAAGGAGGACGCGTTCAGGAGAGGAATACAAAGCCCCAGTGCTGTGTGCATCTGATCAAAGTAGTACGTATCAAGATGAACTCCAGGAAATGGAGATGAGGTGTTTTTTTCCTTTTTTGCTGTTTTTGCTTTCTTTTCTTGTTGTTCTGTTTGTTTGTTGGTATGTCTCTGGGAGGATACGAGGGGACAGAAGGGGAGGGACAAAAGGTGAACAAATGCAGCAGTGGACACTGTTGAAAACCCACGATGGGACTTGTGGATGGGGAGTGGGGGGAGCGACTGGGAGAGAGCGAGGGAAGGATTACTCCTTGTCTGACTTATGTAACCTTAACCCCTTTGTACATCACTATCCTAATAACCATAAAAAAGTAAAGTAAAAAAAGCTTCTGCACAGAAAAGTAAACAACCAGAACCAAGAGAGCAGGAGGAAATCTTCCAGTGATTCCTCCGGTGAATGATCGGCATCCAGAATATATCAGATTAAACACCTAAAGAACAACGTATCCAACCAACCAAGAACAGGACAAAGCTGAACAGACAGTTCTCAAAAGAGGAGATCAAGTGCTTAATAACCACAGTAAGCAACGTCAGCCTCTTCATCCATCGGGTAAATGTAAGCCCCAACCACACGGACAATCTATTTTATCCAGTTGGAACTGCCGCCGTCAAGAAAGCAAGCAACTGTCGACTGGCAAGGATATGGAGGTGGAGAGGAACGCGTGTACAGTGTGGGCGGGAAGGTAAAGTAGCCCTCACGCAATGGAGATCGGCGTGGAGCTCTCTGCAAAGGCTAAAAATAGAAATAGCCTGGGATCTTGATATCCGCTCGTGCATGCATACCTAGGACTGAAGTCAGCACTTAGACACCCACACCCCGCGCTTAGAGAGCTCTGCTCACAGGAGTGTGCAGTCAGCCTGGGTGCCCAGGACAGATGACTAAAGAGAAGGTCATCCAGAATGCCGCAGAGGAGAGCCCTCCCCACAGGAGCGCAGAGCCAGGCCACCCGCAGGAAAACGCACCGTTCTGGAAATCACCGTGTGAACTGAGACTGGCTCGGAACGGCAGGTGTCAGCGGCATTCTCTCCTGCCTGGAAAGACATGGAGACACGGGCCCAGGCCTCGTTCCTCATTTCTGGGGGCCATCCCGCTCCCTGCTGGAGGTGTGAGCTCTGGGGTTTCCGGAATGTGCCTAGAACTGAGGATGCAGGCGCACTTCAGGAGGAGGACTCTGTGCTCTCTTGAGCAGGGCTCCCTTGGCCTTTGTAGTAGCTGGAGTCTGACCGATGATCCCGCTGAGGATCCCTCCCGAGAGAGGCCTACCGTT